AAATCGTCGAGCTCATAAAAGCACGTCTAACACAGACAAAGTAGAAAATAAATGCAGCTTAAAATGTTATCATCCTTCAGGGGCATGTATACCAACACAATAAAAACAATTGACTCTCGACCTCTCCAAACCCGCGAAATTTAAAAACTCCCGTTATTTTCTGAACACACCTCGTATATTGTATTGAAAAAACAGGTGCTTCGTGGTAGGTTAGAGAGGGACTGCTCCTGTGAGGCTCATTCTCAGTATTCTCAAGTTACTGAGATTACGCGAGGACAAAATATCAACCATTGTTTTCGACAGGCCAGTGGAAATGGGTGAAGTATTGAGATGTACATATCATAAACACAAAATAACCAAAAACGTATTGTTCCAAATACAAAAAAATTTAACTCGGGTAGAAAAAACGTGATAAAATCACGTCGAAGTTCTATCGCCTCGAAGAAACTAGAGCTTGATGCTGATTTTTCTTATTGTTAGTGTGAGGCATTGATAAAGAGACGATAAGGTCAAAGAGTTATACATGGTATCTTCCTTATAAATTAAAATACGTGTAATAACTGCAGATAAGTAGCTACATTTTAAACGAATAACAATGGTGATAACTAAGCCCGAAGACAACGTTATTAAACAATAAATGAAACTTCATTATTTTGTATCACTAGTAGTACAGTAGTATTATTGTCTGTGTGCTTGGCTGTGATAAGAAGTAATGTTTGTCTTAGAAAATATGTGATAAATATTGGAATTAGATCAAGTGTGATGCCTGAATTGAAAAGCAGTAAAAAATTGCATAAGTATATATGGCTCAAGCTCAAGAAATTGTTCAAGAAGAAATCACCTAAAGCTACAGGGTATTACAGATTGTATTCTGATGAAGAACAGAGGTTGGTAAAATTCAGTGACTGGATGCTATTTTTAGTAAATTGCTTAGCGTAAGCAAAAATAGGCTTCCATGTACGAAATTATTATTGATATTGCTATTGGCGAGGAACTATGCATATCGCGGAAAAAATCGAAAATGAGATACTGTCTTTACTTCCCACGCCTATTGGCGGGAAGTATTGTAATCGCGATGTTTGAAAATGAAATATTATGTTTTTTGGGTGTTAAGTGACATGTACATCACGAAAAGCCATGTCGCTCATTTCCGTCTTTTCGTATGCCTGTCTGTCCTTCTGTCGGTCTGCTTGTCTGTCCGCTTATCTTCTAGCGGCCTATAACTTGAGAAGTGCCGCTTGGATTTCGATTAAATTTTTACACAATGTTACGACTATGGTAGGGGCGCAAAAGCTAGTTTTTGAAAATCGGTCCAGTGGCGGCAGAGAAAAAGGCCTAAAACGAAAAAAATAAAAATTGCCCAAATTTCGTTTTTTGACGTTTCAGAGGACCCTGATCATTTTTGAAAAAAAATGTAGAGGTAAAAAACTTTGGGCTGGAGGTTGTAAGGGGGCGGGGAGCGTTTACCTTAATTTTTTGATGCTGGTACATTTATATGCTCCCAGCATTGGCAATTCTATGCATCTATTAGGCATATTTCAGATATCATAGATCTCTGTATACTTTATCTGAAGTCACTTGAAACACTGTGAAATACCGGGTGCGTTTTATATATATATATATAGATTTAACACGCTGTGTGTGTTGCTGCAAAAATCGCCAAATTTCGCAGCAAATATCCCCCGTATAAGATCAAAGGCAGTTTCACCGGTCCATGTGGAGTAAAGCACGCCTATGCGTGGACATAGCCAATGAGAAAGCGTGTTTTCAGAGCTCCGAACAAGTGCAGGTGGCTACTGAAAATTGAAACAGTTTAGCCAGTGCCGTGTAGCGGTGAATAAACGTGTTTTCTTTAGTCTGTCCGTGTTTTTTCATAGATTTTATTAGTTTGTGTGTTTTTGACTTTTGAATACTCAGTTTACTTGTTGATTTAATTGTTGTGTTGATTGTTCTTGTGTGTCCTAAATATGGCTCTTTGGAGACCTTGGGAAAATGCTCCAAGCTACGAGGAGATGGTTGATGAACCTGTGCAGGCAGAATTCTTTCATAAAGATTTAGAGGAACAGACCCAAAGAGTAATCCTAAATATGTATTATTGTCTGAAAAACGAAAATCCAGATTCTTCGCAAAATCAAATTTTAAACAGAATTTGTATCCTGACAAAAATCAGTCGGTCTACCATTTATCGGGTTATAAAAAGGGGAGATGTAGTCAACCATTCCTTCCACAGAAAGCGCATAGGGCAAAAATTAAAAAGAATAGACGTGGGTTTTCAGGAAGATATTCGTCGTATAATATACGGATTTTATAAAGAAAATTTGGTGCCCACGTTGGAAATGATACGGGATAAATTAAAAGATTGTCCTGAAGATTTTTATAATTACAAATGCTTAGACTCACTGCACTGGATTGTAAAACTGTGTGGTTTTCAATACAAAAAATTAGATAAAAGAATGGTGATTATGGAGTCGTCTCGAATCGTTGAATTGCGCCAAGAATTTTTGCACAAAGTTAAAATCTATAGAGAGCAGAAAAGAAATCTGATTTACCTGGATGAAACGTGGTATGATACCCATGATGTTGTGCAGTACGGCTGGGTTGACGACAGCAACAAGTGCATTTTAAATGCACCATGCAACCGTGGAAAACGAATCATTATTCTCCATGCTGGCAGTGAAAATGGATTTATACCTAATGCCTTGCTGTTATCTGCCAAAAATATCAAAGAATCATGTGCCGACTATCATGAGGACATGACCTCCGACTTATTTGAAAAGTGGATAGAGCAGCAGTTAATACCAAACATTTCCCCAAATTCAGTGATTATTATGGACAATGCGCCATACCATTCCCGACAGAAAAACAAAATTCCGAATACAGGCACAAAAAAACAAGACATTATTGATTTTATGAAGGATAAGGGAATGGAAATACCACAAAAATCAACCAAAGCCATATTATTGGATCTTATTAAAAGACAAAAATTTGAAAAAGAGTATGTTGTTGACAATCTGCTTCAGCAAAATGGCCATGAAGTATTACGTCTACCTCCCTATTACTGCATTTTTAACCCGATTGAGTTGGTCTGGGCTGCTTTAAAAAAAAAAGTAAGAATACATAATCAGACCCCTCAATTAAGTGAATCGCTATTGGCCACAATAAGAGATGCAGTATCTCATATTGCTGCCACAGATCTATGGAAGCAGTGTTCTAGGCATATTATTGAAAAAGAAAATGAATATTGTGTTTTGCCTCCTGTAAATCCCGTTGTAATTCCTCTACAAGATGACTCTAGCGACAGCTCCGAAGGCGAGGATGATATATAAATACCTATAATGTAAGTCTTTATATACCTTTTTATATACCTACCTGCTATGTAAATATTTGCCTATGTCAAACGTTGGAATTCTGTAATTTTTCCATTTCTTAACTTTCAGTCAACATAAATTAAACTCCCAATATAAGTATTTTTTATCCCAAATCAAAAAAATAAGAAGATAGTAAAATCCATTTATTGTGATATAAAAACATTATTATTATCGTTCTAAATAAATGACCGCACGCCTATGATACGTCATGAAATTACAAAGGACGCGCCGACCAAAGGTTTTTATGTTATTTCAAGTGACTTCAGATAAAGTATACATTAACTCTGAAAGCTTGGGAAAATATTCTCGGGAGGCGGATCGCGGCCGCGGCTGCTGTTGGCGTCGTGCACCGACCGTGATGAATATTCTGGTGTATAATCACACGTATTTCTGCCATACTGCCATATTGTTTTCTATGCTCTGTCTGCGCTACCACGGTGCTACATTATTTATCGGGGAAAGGCGACGTTTCCAGATGCACTACCGGTAGGGCAGGGAAAGAATGTCTATTGACTAATTGTATCTACCCGTTTGACTGACTTTTTTCTCAGATGGTCTAGTTTGTGCTGAACATGTTCGCTTATGTACTGATACGGCCGTTGCGTGGGAAGTGCAGTCACCCTACTTGACGCCATTTTTCAGCGGCCGTATATGCTTCATTAATTCTACGCACATATTAGACATTTTTCACACATATATTTTTCCGAGGCTAGAATATTTCCAATACCCGTATTGAGTGCAACAAAAATAGAAGATAAACCGGTCGCTGCAACTATGATCGCAACGTTATATCCAACTATCGTACAGCAGTCGATAAATTGCTAGATTGCAACGTAGTCAACTTGAAATATTTGATTTATTTAATTCCTTTGTTATATATGTCCTTAAATAACTTCTTTCTCTGATGAACTAACTTGTGCCGAACATAATCTTTTATGAACTGAAGACAACGGTGCGTGGGAAGAGTAGATCAACCTACTTGACGCCCTTGTTGTTACTACGTTTTTGAAAGATTTCATACTTTCATTTTGTGTATTTTTAAATTTCAATGTGTTTTGAATTAGTTAGCCTCATTCTAGTATGTTTGGAGTTGTTCGTGGCTCATAAAAATGCGTGTTTGACATGTTTTGAACCCACAAGTTTTCATAATTTGGAACTGGATTGTGAGAGAAGTACTAAGTTAATCTACCTGACATGCTTTACTTCATGTGTCTACTGTAACCTCGAAAAATTCCGAAAGTAATGTATTTTGTGTTTTTTGGATGTTATATGACATGTACGCCACGAAAAACAATGTCTCTCCTTTTTTTCGGCCTGTCTGTCTGTTTGTCGGTCTTTGGCCCGTCTATAATTTGGAAAGTGCTGTATGGATTTGGATGAAGTTTTTACACAAGGTTACGACTATGCAAAAAACGGAAGAGCCTAGTGGGTTTTGAAAAAAGTCCAGATAGCGAAAAACGACGGATTTCAGAATATGCTCCATGTCATTTCTAGCTATTTGCCGAGTTTGTGATGATTTTTGGGAGTAGTCGGGTTGTTATTTCTGAATTCGCCATGACCTTGCCAGTTGCTTGTACGATACAATTCTACTAGAATGACTGTAAATGCCAAGTATCGTATGTTATTTTGCAGGTGGTTGGATGAATATGCCGCAAGGCATTCCCAATTGCCCTCCAGGATTGGAATACCTTACTATGATTGACCAGCTTTTGGTACATCAAAAAGTGGAAATGCTAGAGGGTAGGTAGAGAAGATCCCATGGAAAACCTGTAGGGTCGCTCCATAAGTTTTTAGTTTAGCGGTCTTTTTGGCCAGGATAGGAAAAAGCTGTCGGTGGCTACTATAAATTCTTAAAAATCGTTATCTGTTGGAATTATTATACTACCCTAATGAATGAGCAAAAGCAGTCTAAGATTACACTTGTGAAAATAATAATGAGCCAGAGAAATGTGGCTCGTAAATGAGATATAGGGTGACTAAATTCCCTTCTCGCTATTGTTATTTGTTTATATTTCAAGCTGTTGTGTTGTATCGACATGAAAAATTGGTATCGCGGGTGCGGGATGAGAAGGAATACGATTATGTTCCAATTTACTTCCTACGCTACTGGCGAGGACGAAAAATTCCGAAAATGAGATATGTTTTTTTTTGATGTTTTATGATATTTACATGTCCTGGTCCGTCAACGCCAGATATACAGAGTCGTATTTTGTTGTGTTTCCATCAAACTTCAAAGTTATGTCTATTGAACCACTGGGATAGGAATGAAAACACCTTCAAAATGAGAGCTAATGGGTATCTCCACCTCTTCACAACGGTTAATTGGTTATTGCAAAAAATCGTTCATTTTTTTGCCGAAAAGCGCATAAGAGTAAATATGAAATAGTAGCCAAAAGTTGAAGCCTTGTAGTGATTAATATAAAAAAAATCTCCAAAAATGCTCTAGCTATCCAGCTACGTAACTGCTGCAACAAATTAGACATACAGGATGAGTTTTAGGTTTATATCTAACAGATTTCAACTGATCCAGCTTGAATAATTTAATTTATGTGAAAAATGTTCTATTTAATTTTTGTCGAGCTAGGGTACACCCTTGTGATGAGGTGCTAGTGGTGGCAGATGTTTCAAGAAGTGTGAGATGATAACTGAAGTTTCTAGATACTACCAAAACCGTGAAAAAGCGTGATGTGATCACGACTTCGGAAACTAGATGCTTCACGGCAATGGGATCATGGAATCACGGCGTTGGTGTTTAAACGTGGGTGACATTCGCATGCGCGCTAGCCGCTAAGATCGAGAATCGTATATCCTCATCCTCTTAAGACTACTATGGTCTGCGAGCGATTTCGTGCCTTTTCGTCTTTGATGCGATCGTATCGCTGTATTTTGCTCGGGATATCAGTATACCCACGCTATTCGAAAGTTGTTCTCACATCACGGTTTAAATTTACCGATATCGAGAAGTATCGATATCAGAAACAGTCGAAAATAACGATATCAGCCATCTCTAGACTCTGCCACGTATAGGATTAATCTTGAATTACCTTTTGGCTTATTAATTGCGGAATACCCTGTATAAGCTGTGGAAATAGTGCAAGTTAATTTTATCCTAAAATGACTTTTCCAGCATTGACAGGCTTCGAAACCAAGAACAAATTTACAGTAAAAAATAACCTAGGTCAAAAAGTGTACTATGCAGCAGAATCAAATGACTGGTTGACACGGAATTGTTGCGGACACTTGAGGCCATTTGACATGAAAATCTATGACAATTATAAGAACGAAGTGATACACTTGCACAGACCTCTTGCTTGTGACTCATGCTGTTTTCCGTGCTGTTTACAGGTAATAAATTACATTATAGGACGATTTGCATGTGTGGTGTATAACGCGTTGTCTCTTGACATCAAACATTTGAACTTTGAGAAATTAAAAAAACATAAAATAAATTTCATATAAACAGCGAATGCTACAGCCTGTTACTCCTCTTAACATGCTGTCACCTTACTTTATTTGTATTGCCACTGGCGAGGAAGTATTGTAATTGCAAAAGAAAACGATGAGATATCATGTTTTTTGGATGTTATATGACATGTACATCACGAAAAACAATGTTACCGATTTCCGGCGGTCTGACTGTTTGTTCACTGATTTTGATCCCACTATAACTTGGAAAGCACTGATCGGATTTTGATGGAATTTTCATTTAAGGTTACTACTATGCCGAGGACGAAAAAGCTTTGTAGTTTTTGAAAATCGATCGAATAGCAGCGGAGCTAGGCGCAAAAATAATTAAAAGAAATACAGGGTGGTCCATAAGTCCTATGAAATTTCAAATTTGAATAAAATTTAACGGGTGAGCGTGAGCGGCGCGGGCGAGGTGGGGGCAGTATCTTCAGTGTCTGGGAATTCAGTCGCCATGGAGTGTTTCACTGTAGCGGATCGTGCTTTTTGTGTGCGCGCGTTTTATCAAAATAATGATTCGGCAACCATTGCGCGGCGTAAATATCGAGAATACCACAATTTACACAATTTTACAAAGTGTCCAACAGCTCAAACGATTAAGAACTGGGTTGCTAAGTTCGAAGAGACTGGTTTGACGTTAGATAAACAGCGGTGGGGTCGACCAAGGACAACTCGTATTGAAGAAAACATCAACATTGTGGCACAGTCTGTTCGTCAAAATCCTGCCCAGTCTACTCGTAAGCGTTCCAGCGCACTAAACGTACCCAGAACATCTTTACAGCGGATTTTAAGGAAAGATTTACGTCTGCACGCTTACAAAATTCAGTCAGTGCAGGAATTAAAAGATAATGACGCTATTCAGAGACTAAACTTTGCGAATAAAATGTCGAATCGATTTTCTTCGCTCAATAATGTGTTGTTCTCGGACGAGGCTCACTTCCATTTAAACGGGCATGTAAATAAACAAAATTGCCGTTATTGGAGCCCCGAAAATCCAAGGCGTAAGCATCAGAAGCCCTTACACAGCCCTAAAGTTACAGTTTGGGCTGCTATGTCAGCGCATGGCATCGTAGGCCCTTATTTTTTTGAGGACGATAGAGGTCGCGCATTAACTGTTACTTCGGAGCGGTATGTAGCAATGATAGAAGAGTTTTTGACACCAGCGTTGCAGAATTTTCCAGGCTATAATACGCAGACCTGGTTTCAACAGGACGGAGCAACTGCCCACACCTCCAACACTTCTATGCCCGTCGTCTGTCAACTTTTTCCCAGCAAAGTAATTTCTCGAAGAGGAGACATTTCCTGGCCACCACGTAGTCCAGATTTGACCCCAATGGACTTCTTTTTATGGGGCTACCTCAAGAGTAAAGTGTACGATGCCACTCCGCGATCAGTTGATGTCCTGAAAGAAAATATCCGAAGAGAAATGGCAAGCATTACAGTGTTGACTTGCCGCGCAGTCATCGACAATTTTAGACGTCGTTTATATGAGTGCCGTGATCGTAATGGATTGCATTTAGACGATGTGATTTTTAAAACATAATTCCCATTCAATAAAGATGATAACAAAATATAATAATTCTTCATAATGTAACTAGTTTGGTTTTATTCCTTTTTTTCCAGCTCAAAGGACTTATGGGCCACCCTGTATCATTTAAACCCAGCTCAGAGGATCCTGACCATTTTTGAAAAAAACATTTAGGGGTAGAACATTAGGGAACGTATATGTCAATTTTTTGAAGGTATACTTCTTAAACATATTTTACTCATATAATTTCCCGTAAATTTATGAGAAATACTTCGGACCCTCATGGGATTTTTAAGGGAAGGGTGAGTGCCATCCATCGGCAAGAGATAACTTTGTGTGAAAGCTTACCTGCCGCCTAAATTGTTTGAGGAGCGAGGAGTTGCCTATTTTCTCGGGGAGCCAAATCCTAAACAGCCCCAAAATTGTACAGAAAAGCAAACAAGCAAATTTTTATATTTTATAATTTTATGTATGAGCATGTTTGACTAACTCGGCCCATTCAATTTTTTGTTATACATGTTCGTAGCTTTTATCTTACGAGGGATGTCTTTTAAGTTTTGCACATGGAAATAAAACAACACGGTAGGTAGTTTTAAATGACTTTATTGTTTTTCGAAGTATTCTCCACGAAGATTAATATACATCTGCATGCGCTCGAACCAATTTTCGAAGCACTTATTCCACTCGTTTGCTGGCAGATCCAAAACGGCATTTTTGAATGCGTCAAATGCGTCTTCTGGCGACTGGAACCTTTGACCACGCAGTCTGTTTTTAATTTTCGGGAAAGTAAAGAAATCGTTAGATAGAGACTATATGGAGGATGGTCCAATAATTCCACGTTTTCTTCCGTTCAATACTGCCTTGTTTTTTGGGCTGTGTGCGAGCATTGTCTTGGTGGAGGATGATTCTTCTTTCGGGGTTGATTTTTCGAAGCTCGGTGATGAGTTTTGGCAAACAAATGGTCCTATACCAATCCGCAGTAACAGTTCTTTGCTCATTAAGAGGAATTGTTGCAATATTGTAACGGTTTCACTGTCCGATTGTATTTATTAAATCACTTCTCGATTTTCATTTCAGAATCGCAACTCATTAATCCCATCTCTAGCTTATCCCATCTCTAGCTTTTTTACTTGGAAACATTTCCGCTTGGAGCGCGCTTGATGCGGAGTTCCTGATCTGTGATCTTCCTCGCGGTTTCTTTTCACTTCAGCCGCCGATCTAACAACAACTGAGAATTTTGTTCTCTGTAGCATGAGGTCATATAGCACCATGTGCTAGCATTTTAGTAAAATGTGTGTCTGAATAGGATAAAATGATTGGGGCCACCTCCTTTGTCTTTGACTTTGCCTTCCTTTGTCTTTGACTTTGACTTTGCCTTCATCCATACTTTGGCTTACCTATTGCTGGGCCTATCACTTTGCCGTGCCATGCCCATGCATGTGCCTTGGCTGCGCCATCACTTATAGCTTCATCCTTGATGAATATCACCTTTAAGCTCAACTTCACTGCATCCTTCGCCTACATCTAGTTTTGAAGCCACTAAATGTGAGGGCACCCCTCATAACTGGGACCTCCACTTGAAGCCCTTGGCCATCCTCGCTTCAGTCCAGTCAAAATGGACCAGCTTAGCGAAAGATAAGTAGATAATTTTGTAACAGCGCCAAAGATTTAAATCTTTTATTTTGTTCTTTAAAATTTCAACAATGTTAATTCTCAAATGTAATGAAAATGCTTTTCTAGTTTAATAAAATCTGTTAAATTTGTGTGTTCTGTTTGTTCTTCTATCCTCTAGCCATGCCATGGTCGACACACAGCTACACGCCTGTAGATGTCTTCATGCCACCGACTGAGCTACCGGAAGCTAATGGTAACCCCCTTTCTGTGATTGTGCAGAACAGTTGGAATCTTCATTGCATTCCATCTTTTCTGGACTTTTTGCGGAAAGGAAGGATTACAATATGACCCGCTTTTGACACAAATGTCGCGACCATCTTTTTCGAAACACCTCGAGAACGGATGACTTTTGTTGGCTTTTCTTTACCTTGGAACACCCAAACAGCCGACTGTCGTGTATTTTCTGGTTCATAACAGCAAATCCACGACTCATCACCACTAACAATGCTGTACACAATTTTTGAGTTTCCGGAATTGAAACGGTCAAGCGTTTTTTGACACCAATTAACCCTGGCTGCTTTCTGCTCTTCAGTCAACAGTTGGGGTATCCAACGAGAAACTAATTTTCTTACTCCTAATGCTTCATGTGAAATTTTTTGAATTGAGGTCTTTGAGATCTTCAAGGACTCCTCAATCTCGCGATATGTCACATGTCTATCTTCAATGATGAGTTTGCGCACAGCATCGACGTTTTCCTGGGTGACTGCCGTTTTTGGTACGCCTACACTGGGATCATCGCTAAGACTCGCCCGTCCACGTTTGAATTATCCATACCAACGGGAAATTGTCGACTGATGTGGCGCTTCGTTGCCGAAAACAGACAGTAACTCATCAAGGCATTCTTGTTGCGATAATTGTCTCTGAAAGTTGTAATAAATTGTGGCGCGAAAATGTTCTCGGTTGAGTTCCATTCTTCTAATGACTTGGTGACACTTAAAAATTTACTGTAGTGAGAACACTGCACGTATTGTTGTGAAACTTTGAATTTAAGTTTACTCAAGAGTGAGGTTAAGATTCAGTAATGACGTTCGATCCGCGCGGCCTACTATGTTTCTATATGGAAAACTTAAAAGACATCCCTCGTATATATGTAAATTAATGCATGGACAATATCATTTTTTCAGAGTATGGAGGTATCTGCACCCCCAGGCACAATAATTGGCACTGTAGAGCAAGAGTGGAGTCTCCTCTGCCCTTCGTACGCGATTAAAAACGCTAGCGGCGAAACAGTTCTGAGGATCGAAGGCCCCTTCTGTACTTTCAGCATTTGTGGTGATGTTGAGTTCAAAATAATGTCCAGCGATGGGCAGGTACAAGTTGGGAAGATATCGAAACAATGGTCAGGCATGATACGTGAATATTTTACGGATACAGATTACTTTGGGATATCTTTCCCCATGGATCTGGACGTGCGAATGAAGGCTGTCATGCTAGGAGCATGTTTTCTTATTGTAAGTATTGCTGGTTCATGTACCCTATTCCACGAGTATCCACCACGTTTTGACGTCTACTGAGGTGAATAGTTGATCAGCAAGTCACAAGTTTGTGTTAGTCTGCAACGTTGGCAATAATGAATCGGGTATAAATCTTGTAAAACTTGTTTGTGGCGTTTTGTTTTTGTATGCAAAAAACTTTTCTAAATAAAAGAGTTGTTAGCAAGTACAAAATGAATCTGTAGCGTACAAAAAAAAAACAAAACAAAATTCGGCTCTGTCTACCTGGCGTTGACGGATCCGCCAGAATTATGTGTCCTGTGCCGATATGGAGAATTTTGAGATATTAGATATTACTAGATAATCAGCAGTCATTCTATCGTGATGGATACTCGTGAAATAGGGTATAGAACACTTCATAAGTTGTCTTGTAACAATTAGTTACAACGCAGGTACGGCTATCACATTTTTAAAAAACCATCTGGTTTTGTTAGTCTAAGGGCCGAATCGTCAGTCGTTCCTACAATTGTAGGACGCCTTTGAGGCCACCTTGATTTTCATGGTCTTGTCTCTCCTTCAGAAAGGCGGAGGTATTATTTATACTGTTCCGTGTCAGTGTCAGCGCTCTCCTATTATAAAGTTATGTTTTCTTCTCGAATTTCAGGCTGATAAAGCAAATCCTATAAATCAGAAGTACGAACACGGAATAGTAAGTAAAAAGCTATGAAAATCAAGTGTCCTACAATTGTATGAACGACTGACGATACGGCCCTAAGTACAAAGCAGAAACATTCAGCTGTTGATACAGACTGATAGTTTTTCAGTGCGTTGCTATAGAGTGGTTTCTTGCTGTTCGTTTCAGTGCCTTATTTTACGTAAAATATTCGCCATGGTCGATCAGCTAAGAAATTGACGAAACGAAAAAAATATTTGGTGATGATAAGCCATCCGTGGCCTCCCAGAAAAGCTTTCCAGATGTGTGGCTAACTTCCTCTCTTGCCGCAAGATACTCGTCGTAATTGATGGGTTCTCTTCACCCCACAACGTCAGCGCGGGTGTTCCCCAGGGATGGGTATCGGCTCTGACATTGCTTCTATTACATATCAATGACTTTATTTCCTGTACGTTGATCCGATCCACAGCTTTGCTGATGACATCAATCTACATGCAGGAATTCCCGGTGACAAGCCGATCTCTGCCGGTGAGCTGCAGAAAAGAAGACTTAACAATGACTTCATCTCTGGCGAGAAACCTGGAAGTTATCACTGCTTTGTGACGCAATAAATTTGTACAGCTTAATGCTTCCAAAACACACTCGGTATTGTCGGACAATCTACCTCAGAACTGTGCCATCTCATTTTTAATCCTTGATTCTGGGCCTCACTTAGGGATGTAATCATTTCACAATCTCCCATAAGAGTCATCTGAATATCAGTTTTCTAACATGTTTTTTGTTTTATTTTTAGGACGCCATGTTCTTCGAAAAAACCGAGATCGAGAGTTAATGGTAGACAATATACCATTTATATTTCTTGTTATCTTCCAAATTAGCACAGCTTTATATAAACGAATATTATGAAGTTACTGACTCAAATATTACAAATACTACCCATGTGCCAGCTATTTGCACAAATTTATTTTTTATATTATGCATTAGAACTACGAGCAGTTACATTTTAGACTGTTTTATGAAATATATGTGATATTCTCTAGCTACTGTTACGTTCGTTACTCAAATTATGAAGTCAATGTATTTATATTAGATCGTAGGATTTTTTGATTTGTTTCCGTTTTGCGTAAGCAACAAATATGAAATATCGGTTTTTTTTAACCAAAGGCAGACCTGTTGTTTTAGGTCTTACATGTATTGTATCTTTTTTTAACGTTTTATAACTAATTTATTATTCTGACTTCGCAAGTCATTGTACTAACTATATTTTGTATGAATATATGCCTGTTTTTAAAAAAATAATAAAAAAATATGTTAAATTCTTGTGTTTGTTTCCATAGAAGCGCCTCATTCAAGTTATAACAGCTGAGCAGAGATCAAAAAAAGGTAACGGTTAAAGTGATAACCATGCTTTGAGTATGTATTTGATATCATAAAAAATATAAAGTACACAAAACATGGAATTTGACCACCAGTCAATTTTAAGGAAAACTCGTATATTGATAGTTCATGTTGAACAAATCTTCCATTGTGACTATTCTCGTGTACAATAAACAGTTCGAGTTAGTTACCGTAAACTGGTTGCGGCAGGCTTATCTTCAGTGGCTAAGGCACCAAACTTTAACACCCTGTATCTCCAACAGAACGCATTTCTGGGCTTTGCGAGACATTTGAATACGAATTTTCATCAAAACTAACCGATGGTCAAATCCCATATGTTTTGTGCCTGTTATTTTGTTGGTTGACCCAGTATTTCATGAAAGATAGTGAAGGCTTATTTTCATCGAACAATCCGTGTTGTTTCTGAGGAAATATGCCAATACGGTACTGTCTCGAAGGTGGGCATGCGCCCGCCCTGTATTAAATATCGATCTTGGATAGAGATGGGTACGTTCAAATGAGAATTGGGAATTGCGAGATATTCGTTGCACACGAACGAGTTCCGTTGAGGGGTGAGTGAGACAGAACAACAATGCTGAGAAAGATCCGGAACGTGAGCCAGAAAAGACTCCTGGTTGAACAGACCGCCAAAAATAGTACTATTTCGTTCAACTGATCACGTAATTTGAATCAATGCAATATTATAAAAATGGAGTAGTAAAATCTCACAACACGATTGTGTGTAATATTTCTAGGCTGATTTAAAAAAATTATTTCTGGTGAAGAATACTATAAATGAATCGTAGGTATTTCTTGATCCTTATGATGGATACACATAATAAGTATTGATATTGTCCCATAATTTGATACACCTCGCGGTAATAAGCATAGCCCTTGCTTATAAAACTCGACGACTAATATTCATCTATAAAAAACGACACCCAGGGATCTCCATTCTAAACTTACAAAAGATATGTGAAATGCTTTACCCATCTCTATAATTGATATGTAACAAATTCCAAGTACAATCAAGAATGATTTCGACCTGCAGTGAGCATGAACAGAGGTGACACTATGAGCTGAACTAGATTTGCGCAGACTCGGTCGTGCTTATATAATAGTTCTAAAATCTTTACTGGGAACACATGCTATTGACAATTGTTGTTTTCTCAGCTGTCAGGCACGTCAACGTCAGTGGAGTGTGAGTGTGGTCCTTGATGAGCGAGAAAATGTTTATTTTACAGACTTGTATTATTGAGTAACTGCCGTTTATTCCAAATAATGGCTGCAATCGGGTGTCTTGATATAAAACAGGACTTATTTCCAGTGGTACAAATCCGCGGCAAATGAAATGATGCATAGTATGTTCAGCTAGTTACGTGCAATCCTTGTTTTGGGTGGCGATGGAGAACCTCAATGGGGTGAAACCGCGGGCTCGTTCGAATTCAGCCAGAGTTTTGGTGTTTGATGAACCTAAACGGGCCATTGAGAGACCAAAATGTCCCACACTTGCAGCAGAATCTAATTCACCAAGGCATCTTCACTCAGGTTGTGCATTTTTCTTTGTCTCTAACTGACATTTATTTCCTTATTTGACTCCTGCCTTGATACCCCATACTTTCATTTTTCAAGCTCTGCTATCGTTACCACAAAGATTGTATAATTAAGTTTTTTGTTTATTTTTGTACCACATCAAAATCACGGATTTTTATCGTTATCTTATGTGTGATAGGGATATTCAAGGTACCCACTCAAAAAGCATGATTCATAATACCAAAACACGTTTTGTTGTGAATCTGAAATGCCAGTGAACTCTCACATGGGATCTATAAATTTGGTTTGTTGATCAGAATAAATGTGTGTCAAATTGTCAGAGTACCTCGGTTCATTGAGTTTAATTATCTTTGTTCAATATTTTTGTGATTATGTATTAAAAATAATTCATCTTGATTTGCTGATCATACAGGATGATTCCAGAAACAATGGCAATATTTTTATGGGAAACAGTATATCAAAAAATAACAAAATAATTCTCTATAAACATAGTTTCGGCCTAAAACCACTCATTACCAAGATACAGGTTGTTGTAAAACTTATGCAACAGATGAGGCTGAATTAGGATAAAACATAAATACTGTTCAAATAACATACTAAGATAAGATTAATTTCCTAACACACCTTACACAATTCATGCACACATTCATGATTTATTGGTCTCTGCATTTCTTGCACAATCAACAGGCTTAATTGAAATGTCCTGGGTAGTCTTGCTTTTAAGCCATACCATAGACACTGATTTTGACTAAACAAAATGGAGGAAATATACTCAAATGAGGTGAAAAATCCACATGACCTTCACCACTACATATATGGATCAGAATGTTATTTCTGAGGTCAGGATTCAAATCCCTGACCTGTCAAGCTGATGTATCAGTAGCTCGACACTCTGATATGCCAGGTTACCCAGCTATCTTACACAATTTGCATGTCAAACTTTACTAGCTCCAACATTATATTCAAAATTGAAAGTATTGAAGTTTAGAGGGATTTCACTTCAAATATTCAAAACAATTTTCTCCAAAACTAATTGAACCCCTTTTTCAATAATGCAATAAATGCATCAAAAAAACATAGTGACAGAAAACAGTTTTCTTTCTCCTGTAGGGGTCAAATACCAATTTCTATGTCACCGGCATATTACCTACTATGTGTACAACATTTTATGCCAATACCTAAATTCACCCCAAAATATATAATTTTGAAATTATTAACTTCCACACCCTGTATTTTGGTAATAGATTGTTTTAGGAACATTTTTTACATGACCTTTTCATGATTTTGATTTAATATATGCATCAGAAATATTTCCCCTATATTATGAATGACCCTGTAGAAATCCATTTGTTCACTGCACATTTTCAAGTACCTATTCATAGGTACTCCATAGTCTACACCTATTACAATGATTGATTCACACTCTATACATCATAAATGTATGCTGAGAAACATAACATAGTAGCTCATAACAGTTGCATTGTCTTTTTGTAGAATTTATCAGTGTATGCAAATGTAATATTTTTTTTCCAAAAGTTCCATTTACAAAAACATGGAGTCAGGTTGAGGATGCAAATCAAGTTTCAAATTATGGCATGTTAAAAATGCATTTTTTAGGAGGGACAAAATAACCCAACATTCTAAAAAATACTTAAATAAGGTTTAACTAAATCGATAACTTTGATTCACAAATAATTATTTTGTTCCGAAATGATTTAGACACTTTATAAATGTAAGTGTGAACTATTTTTGTGCTAGTTTTGAAAAATACCTATGCTATGCCTATTATAAGTCTACAGTATATTGCCTCCCAAATGTGATCAAAATCAGTGTAGTCATTACTAAAATTATGAAATTACAAGTCAGCCAAATTAACAGACTGATAGAAATCAGGGACACTTATTATCGATAGCTGTCCCTGTTAACCATAGGATAAGTATTAATTTCAAGTCTCTCTTAGCCTAGTTTATTGTCATGTTATCATTTCCTTATATTAAATAAACAGAGGAAAGTAAACATGATCTCTTTATTACAAATATTTTTGTTACAGATACACAAAATGTTACCTCCAATTTGGTTAGGATAAGGAACTCTACTCTAGGCAAATCAGCACCATCACTTTCTTTGTATTCTGTAAGTATTTATATAGAAAAGCTGTTGCTTGCAAAGTGGACAAAAATGTCATAAATGTAAATACATTGAATTTGTTGGGCAATCTTCTAGCATGGCTGATGTTCAGGTAAACATTTTAATTAGTCTGGTCACTCCTGTATGCGGCAGTGAAAGATTTTTGCTCAGGAATAACAGAAAGTAGTTGTGTCAATCAATATTATTTTATATTACACATTTGCAGAAGGATCCTGCATCAGGGATAAACAGAAGAAATAGTCGACCAGCTGCAACCCATAGGTTGAGCCTTATTGCAAACAGCTCTCCAACATTGCCAAGATCTCATTCACCAATTTGTGGCAGTCCAATAGACAGTCCAAGGACTCATGCTAGCTTCATTAATTTCTCTTTCGCTCCAATCAAAAGGTAAAAAATGATGCTATTTTCCTTACATTCACATAAGCATATTTTTCAATTTCTCATACATGTAAATTAAAAATCCTTGCTATGGGTCAAAACTAAGATTCCACTACCTGGCTTGCTGAGTCATATCTCAGATCTGGTTCATTTTATCTTGGAGTACCCTAGATTAAAAAGGTTTATTCCAAGGGTATACCCAGGGGGGCAAGGGGGCAGCTGCCTCCATTTACCCTAACTCTGCAAAAATTGACCAGTTTTTACAAAAAATAAAATATCCATTCAGGGTTCTGCACAAGCTGAATCAGTGTCTGTTATATGAGAAATTTTAGGATTAGTAGAAATGTATGGTAGATATAAACTTAATTTTGCTAAAAGCACTATATATGCTACGTGTGTTTCAAATTCGAACCTCGCCTTTGGGATCTCGGAAACGGTAAAGCAAATGTCACATGATCAGTATTTACTGTAGTCCGTACCATTAGTGGATTTCTGGGTAACATCATGCATCAATAATTTCTGACGTCCAGGCTACACGGTCAATATATACGTATATATATATATATATATATATATATATATTGTCATTTGCATTCTACAGTTTCAACTTAAATTTATTGGTCCATGTACAGGCGATGCCTTCTATTGGGCCTGTTTTGATTTTATATTTATTTACTCATATTGTTTGTTATCTTTGTACATTGAGTGAATAAATATTATATTATATATTATTATTATATTATATATATATCACATCTCATGATAAATATATTGACGCATCACAGTAAATACTCATCTTGTGACATTCGCCTAAACGACGCGGAGTACTTTATGGGGGCAAGTTGCTTAGGTAAATAAAGGATGGAACTTTGACAGTTTGGAAATTATTGCCGGATATACTTTAAGTCATTTTGATTTTTTCCTGACTTTAGGCCGAAACAAAACATTTCAAACATCCACATAGTCTAACAATTTTAAACAAATTACATAACTTTACTTGTTCTCTTTTACGTTGTGGCGTAATTAAAATTTCGATCTGACTCTTTACTTTTTTAAAATTATACCGTTTTCAATATCTTCTTTATTACCCTTAAATAATATAAATTACATTATGTTGTTGCTTATTCGATGAGCTTAAACCAACTATATGAAGTTAGGCACTTGAAGTTTTATCTCAAAGCGTAACATGTTATCATCCTTGATATTCTATGAAATAAATGACTATATGATAATTTTAAGGATTACTCATGAAACTTTTTTTATAAACATGTATTACGTGCAATATTTGAAATCAGAGTTAAAAGCTATTCACCTATGCGAAAATGGCATACATAAGACAAATCAAAGTTGATACCTGGGGATAAGAGATCATGTTAATGTTCTATTTATGCCACCTTGCAGGGATCAAACACTGGCAGTGTCAATATGCAGTTCATTTTGGAATCCTATCTCAAATAAGTTCAGAAAAAATCAGGAACGATTTTGGGAAAATTCGTTCCCTTTTCCCTGTATCTTTGGAGATACTAGGAACGTCGAATTTTCTAAAATATATAAATACGTAACTTTTCCACCATTCAACCGACCCGTATCTCTCGCTCTGGGGATGCGCTGAAAGTTTCTTGTGAAAAATACGAATCTTAGCGTTAAAGGGACACATGGAGGTGTGGGACGTTTTAACATCTCGTTCGGTAAATATTTCGAAACGAAAAAAAATACGCATAATTAATTTTTTTTTTCGTAAAGGAAAATGATCAACTTATCGCTCTATATGATTTAAATTTTGTTCTTGTGCCTCTAAATTGGTCGAGTAGGCCTTTAGATATTTTGGCCCAAAATTTACCACTTTTATCATGCTAGAGCAAGTATTTGAATATTATTGGAGATTGATCAAAGATGTTAGTTATTTTACAAACACATGAACGCCATATTGTGTTTCTAAGCGTTTTTGAGATCACAATGCTTACCTTGGACACACTATAGTCCAGTGGCGGCTCGCCCCATGACGCAGGTGAAGCGCTGCTTCACCTGCAATTTCAAAAAAAATATATTTTTTTTATTTTGAAATTTATAAAAAAAATTCATTTATATCTTAAAAAATTATTTTTCGGACATTCTTTATTTGTATTTGCGATCAACAGAATACTGAGAAACCCCGCAAAAAACAACGCGCCTACGTTTGCGCTTAATTTGGCGTGTTGAAACAGAGACCTGAAGCAGCTTTATTTACACCGCATTGCTGCGTCCAGTACAGATACGAGCAAATACGACGGTTGCCATGACAACGGCACGCGCGCTTCCGTTTTGGCCGAGGCAAGTGAAGCAAATTATGAATTTGCGTCTAGTCTGCTCTGCATTATTACCGATATCGTATTGTGCCGAGGTTAGTTTTCATTGTTTTGAACAATGTTTCCTGTCTATGATACGGTTTGTGTTATGTTGGAAAAATCGTTTTCTCAATGGAGTAATGATGATAAAAAAGACTTTTTAAACTCCGAAAAACCTTCTCCGATATTAAATGTAAATAAAACCGCTAAAGTTAAGGACAAAGTGTACAGTCGAAATTTTAAAAAATCGTGGTATAGTGAGTTTGCATGGTTATGTGGTAGCTATTATTTAAATAAACTTTTTTGTGTGCCGTGTTTGATTGTAAGTGTTAAAGCAACCGTGTGGAGCAAGTACGGTTTCAATGATTTCGGGAATGTGACTCGTGCTCTTCGTAAACATGAAGGATCATCGGATCATATGCGTTGCGCACTAGGTTTTTCAAAATTGAAGAAAAATCTCACTACTATTGAGGATGCTTTACGCGAAAATTCCAGGCTGTATATTAAACAGTTTAACGAAAACGTGCAACTTAATAGACGTTTCATGGAATTGCCAATACGCGCTGTCCTTTTTTTGGGCAAACAAGAACTGGCGTTTCGTGGCCACAACGAAGAGACGACTTCTATTAACCGTGGAAATTTCAAAGAGCTCCTAGAAGCATTTGTATCTATAAGCCCTGTAGACATTCAGGAGCACTACAAAAAAATTGCCTCAATATTTGCGGGCAATTCTAAAACCATTCAAAACGAAATTATTGACTGCATTGTCAAATGCATTGGTGAATATGTGGAAAATGAAATAAAGGAATGCAGTTTTTTTTCCATTCAGGTGGATGATTCCACCGATATTGCCCACAAATCGCAGTGCAGCATAATAATCCGTTATGTCAATCTTGAAGGAAAACTTGTGGAGAGATTTTTAGGATTTCATGATGTAAGCTGCAGCCGAACATCTGAAGCATTATTTAACCTCGTGACAAGGTGTCTACAAAATTTTGATTACAAAACAAAACTCGTTGGACAATGTTTCGATGGTGCAAGCGTCATGTCCGGACAGTTAAATGGTCTTCAGGCTAAAATAAAGGAACAGGCACCCCAAGCAGTTTTTGTTCATTGCCTCGCACACCGCATGAATCTAGTGTTACAACAAAGTTGCAATAGTATTACAAAATGCCGCATTTTTTTTGCAACTATAAGTGGTTTACCGACATTTTTTCACCATTCTCCGAAACGAACTAACGTAGCAGACTCAATAATAGGACGTCGAATACCTGTTTCCGTTATTACGCAATGGACATCAAATTCTAAAGTTATCAGTTTTATAAATAAGGAGTGGGATTCCTTAAAGCAAGTGTTTACTGAAATTATTAATGATCCAACCTCCGATCAAGCCTCGGTTAGACAGAGCGACGGATTTCTAAATAAATTCCATGACTTCGAATTCGTGCTTTTGGTTGTTGTTTTTAACGAGATCTTTGGAATGACAGATATACTATTCGACACACTGCAAAAAAAATCTTTTGATATAAACCTTTGCATTAAGCAAATTAAAAGTGTTCAAACACAATTAAACAAGAAGAGAAATGAAGAAACATTTAAGAATATTTTCGAATTGGCTGCATCAAAAACAAGTGTACAAACGGAACACCGCGACGGCAGGACAAGAGTAACATTGTCTCGGGATCAAATTATTGAAAGATATAGAGTGCTGTATTTTGAAATTTTGGATACCATTTCTCTGCAAATCACGACCCGTTTCCAAGATATGGAAAAGCTTCATTTTGTGACGTTAATGGACACTTCGAAGTTCAAAACATATTCAGAAAAATTTCCAACAGAAGCCCTAAGTAATTTGAAGGAGTTTTATTCAAATACATTCACAGATTTTCAGAGACTGAAAAATGAATTGCAGCTGATCTATAGCGATGATCAATATCAAAATATGGAACCCCGCTTATTAAAGGAATCGCTATTTGAGAATCGCAGTATCTTCAAGGAGGCATATAAGCTTTTGTGTTTAATACTGACCATTCCATCAACAAGTGTTTCGACAGAACGCAGTTTTTCATGCCTTAAGCGAATCAAAAGTTATCTACGAAGTACCATGTCGGAAGATCGGTTGACGAACTTGGCAAAAATATCGATCGAAAAAGAATTATTAAATGAACTGATAGTGTCACAGCCGTTTTACGATGACGTTATAAATAAGTTTGCTAATTTGAAGGACCGACGAATTGCTCTCATATATAAACAATGAAAAGTGCCTGATAATCCTGACTTTGTTTTCGAGTTACTGAATTTAGGTAAGTTATTTCATGTTTTTTTTTGTGTATGCGCTCTACATGGTATGGGGGGGGTCGGTCAATCCTGCGTCACCTATTTGTAAAATCACGAGCCGCCACTGCTATAGTCTGATTTATTAGTTTTTTGCGAATATTTCTTAAACGCTGGGTTAGCGAACGACGTTAAGCAGTATGTTGATTGATGTATTTATAAGGTGGCTAACCTCTATAGTTAGGTCAATCTTCAATAACATCCATATACCTCCTCTAGCATGATGAAAATTGTAAATTTTGGACCAAAATACAGATACCAATAATACCAATACTAATTTAGAGGGCGGAGAAAAAATTTCAACTCAAATAGAGTTGTTCCCTCTTTTTGATTGAATTGGGGATCTTTTTGTGTATGAACGCATTAGAATCGTCAACCCAAAAAAATATTGAAAAAAACAAAAAAATGAATTTTAAAATATTTGCCGAACGAAATTTTACAAAGTCCCACACATCCATGGAAAATGATCAATTTTGCTCTAAAATATCGAAAACTTTAACCAAAGGCCTACCCGACCAATTTAAAGCCACGAATTCAAAATTCCATCTATACGGGGGCTGCTCCATCTCGCTTACGAAAAAAGAAATATTTTTTTGCATTTCCCGACGAGGAAGGTATTCTAATTATCATCTCAGTAAGCCAGTATGAGGTTTCGAAAGAACGACTTTTTACTCAAATATCTGAACGAATTACCATATCGCAATTTGGAGAACAAAACGCAAAAATTAAGATTTTTGAGGTATTTCAAAAGTTTGTGCGCGTCCCCAGACCATACGGTTGGACCTAAGACTCTGAAATATCACAAACACTCATGCCCCAAAGGTAATTCCCATAAAAAAATGGACCCGATCTGAGATATGACCCTCCAAGCCAGCTCGTGGAATTTTAGTTCTAGTCAAAACACTACACACGACTCAACAAATGGACGGGAATGCATTTGTGACACGAAACGACCAAAAACGTATTATTTGTTTCAAAGCTTCAAAAAGAGATGAAAATTGCGTTTCCATTAAGTTGAAAAATCACTTTCGCATACATTCGAAAACTATGAAGCAGGGGGCTTATCCATCGGGGATGCAGTTGCCCCCTTTATCCCTATCTCGCAAAAAATTAAATAATAATAATAATAATGTTTATTTGCAACATACAGTTAGGTGAAAATAGTGGCAAAATACATTTAAATGAGATATGCTACAAAAAAGGGCTAAAGGCATTTAAAAATGATACAAGTTCAGCCCTTTACCTATTACACATATATATACACATATACAGGGTGTTCCATAATTATTGCGACAAAATGATAGGGGTTGTAGAGGACATAAAATATGCAATTTTGCCTTATAAACCCCTGTTCGTAAATATGCCGTTTGAGCACTACAGTTAATTTTACCTTAAGAGCTCATAGGAGAAACAAAAAATTCACCAGCTGCAAAATGTTCGTCTAGCACATTTCATGGTCTCACCGGTTTGTAAAAAAAGCCTGCTGTGTTTACATTTTTGTTATCGTACACCCGTACCACCTTTTAAAAGTCCAAGCCATGGGTCCAGCAGACTATCTGCCGCGTCGACGTTTTTGCCGTTGGTGGCTGCAGCAGGAGTTGAGGCAACCAAACTTTAGTCGCTACGTTTTGTTCACTGACGAGTCCTGTTTTACAAAGGACGGTTATTTTAATAGCCATAACAGTCACATTTGGGATGAAGAAAACCCTCATGCCATAGCCATCCATAGAGACCAACATCAGTTTTCAATTAACATCTGGTGCGGCATTGTGGACGAGCATATCATCGGGCCATATCTGCTTCCACCACGTTTGGATGGGCATGCTTATGGTCGATCCTTACAGCATGTACTACCGGAACTATTACAAAATGTGCCACTGAATATAAGAGCCAACATGTGGTTTCAACACCATGGCGGTCCAGCCCACTTTTCTTTACAAGTGCGGCAGTATTTGGACGACAAATTTCCAAATAGGTGGATAGGCCGAGGTGGCCCTGTGCCTTGGCCTGCGCGGTCACTTGACCTGACCCCACTGGATTATTTTATCTGGAGCTATCTGAAAGCTTTAGTGTACGAAACTCCTGTTCCCAACCAACAAGAGCTACTGGGAAGAGTGATGGCCGCGTCCGCACATGTTCAGGACATACCGGGGGTATGCCACAGAGTTCGCCGATCATTGAACAATCGTGCACAGCTGTGTATTGAGCAAGGTGGAGGACACTTTGAGCAATTACTGTAGGTAAGCTGTTTCAAGAAACTGATCTTTTTTTTGCTGCAGCCCAAACGGCATATTTCCGAACAGGGGTTTATAAGGAAAAATTGTTCATTTTGATGCCCTCTACAACCCCTATCATTTTGTCGCAATAATTATGGAACACCCTGTATATGCACATATACAGGGTGACTTCGAAGTTGAGTCATTTATTTTAACAGTGAGTAGATCTGATCAAAAGAAATGTTTTTTTCCTTTACCATTTTTCTGGTAAAATTAAAGTAACAAAGTTATAGCCCTTTGGAAGTTTGAGTACCGCCCTGTCTCAATAATAATATCATGTGCTCGTGTTTGGCAACAACGGATATAATCCGCCTTATCGGTTCATCGCATCGGAAACAAAAAAGCGAAAGAATTTGGAACGATGTTTTTACAATTATTTTATTCAGTTCAGTCATACATACAGTCAGTGTCAGTCGAAGGGTTTATCTCTGGTCAGTCGGTAACGCGTGTGAATAGTGTCTGTTGCGTGGCTCAAACGAAATAAAAAATGGCACATATTTATGCGGATCGGTTTCCCAATCGAGTGCAACCAACCCCTCGTGCCTTTGTTAATGTAGTACAACGGGCTCGTGAATCAGGTGAATTAAGACCTCACAGGGGACCTCACGATCAAATACAGGTCCGCACTGAAATACTTGTCGGGAGGATACTTTATAAAACAAGGTAAAATTTTTTTTTATATTTTCTTTATTTTTACACACATATTTTGGTTTATCTTCCTTCTACAATCATTATCTGAAAATTAATGACTCAACTTCATATATTATATATATATATATATAAAGAAAGATCTACCTTAGAAAGCCTCGAATAATAGATTTAGAATAATAGAGTTATAGTACAAAAAAAATTATTTGGTTTTAAACTGGTTTGGATGCAGGATTTTAAAGTCATTAGGAATTTGATTGTAAAGCCGATAAATGTGGTATGAGAAAGATCTACAAAAAAGAGAAGTTTGATGAGGAGGAGGAGTTGATATGTAGCCCTGAAACCGCAAATTTAAGTTATCGGTGCGAAAAGTTATTCTATTGAATAAATATGGTGGTTGCTTAAAAAACATAATTTTGTGAAAAAAGATTATTATTTTCCTTACAAACACTCAGGGGTTTTAACTTTTAGGAAAAAATTGGAAATTAATTAATATTTTCAGAACCGTTTCAGATATTTCACTGATAGTACGTAGTGAAAGTTAATAATGTTGCATATTTTTCAATTCAAGAATAATTTTTAGCTTCAACAGTGGCATGCGTACGGGTATTGACTTCGATATTTTTTAAGAAAAAAATGGTTCGCCAATGGGTTTTTGCCAAATAAAAATTATTTTTGATTTCCCCGTTCAATTTAAAACAAATGATCTCTCTTGAATTGTTTTCCACCAATTTTCGGTTAACGTATGGGCAGGAATTATTGGCAACCACTTTATTGGCCCATTCCTCTTGCCGGGCAGACTTGACGCACAGACTTACCTCATTTTTTTTCAACAACAGTTACCTTTGCTGCTTGATGATGTTCCGTTAGTAATAAGAAACAATATGTGGTACATGCATGATGGTGCTCCAGCGCATTTCAGTGTAGCGGTTCGTAATTATTTACAAACTGTTTATCCAAATCGTTGGGTTGGCCGCGGTGGGCCCCAAGAATGACCACCAAGGTCCCCAGACCTCAACAGTTTAGATTTCTTTTTGTGGGGCTATCTTAAGACACTAGTGTACACAAGTCTCATTAACACTGTAGAGGAATTAAGAGAAAGAATAGTCGCAGCTTGTGATAGAATAAAAACACTCCAGGGATATTTCAACGAGTGCGCAATTCCATGAGAAGGAGGGCGGAAGCATGCATACTAAGCGAAGGGGGCCATTTTCAACAATTTTTGTAATCATTTCGTTGGTTTTAATGTTATGTTTATGTTGTCAGTTGTTGTTCATTACCCCTAATGTGTTTAATTTTTCCAATTAAATTAATAATAATTTTGCAAGTTAGACAATAGAACGGTTTTTTTTTTTTTTACTCAAAAATGGCGCATCGAAGGAGAACAATTCAAGAGAGATCATTTGTTTTAAATTGAACGGGGAATTCAAAAATAATTTTTATTTGGCAAAAAACCATTGGCGTACCATTTTTTTCTTGAAAAATTTCGAAGTCAATACCCATACGCACGCCACTGTTAAAGCTAAAAATCATTTTTGCATTGCAAAAAAGCAACTTTATTAACTTTTACTACGTACTAAATATCTGTGAAATATCTGAAGCGGTTCTGAAAATATTAATTAATTTCTATTTTTTTCCTAAAACTTCAACACCCCGAGTTTTTGTAAGGAAACGTTTTTGGACCATAGTTTATAAAGCAAACTAACATTAATTTTTCATGTAGATTCACACCCTTAAATATTTGCATATCATTAAGGAACACCCTGTTTACGGAATTTATTTTTGCTTGATATCCATTCCCAAATGATGTGTTAATGTGAAATTTTATTTTACAGTCTCGTGAAAAAATCGCGGGTAAAATAGAAGTGGCGAGTTATTGGGATGTTATGAAAATTCGTTCATTCCAGTTGTCGGATACAATATTGCTGGCCTTTATCTATATTATTTGTTATCTTTCTCTGTCCGTCCATTGGCTGGGGCTCCAGTCGTATTTTGGTTTGTGTAATTCCAAGAGAGAAGTTTGATAGTCTCTATGTTTCGTCAGAAAGAGATCTATAACGACCACCCAATGTTGCCATTATGTCACTCACTACACAACTGACAAAAATTGAGGAATTAAATTCATGTTGTTTTTGACGCTCTAATACTGTTGTCAATAAACAACTGTGGATGTGAAATTTTTGTAAACTGTCACAAATTAGTTTATAAACCTCGTACCAATTACCAGCCAGTATAGGATTTTAAATATTCACGTTTTTACAAATATTTTCAAAAAGCACTGTTTAATGGTTTTCGATAAGAGGGTTTAATTGTGAGCCTGATAAAAATCTACTTAAAACTGAAGAGTTCTTCTATATGTATTTATTGTATGATTTTCAGGGTTGCTACTGGTTATCGTGGAGATGGCAGGAGGTGGTCCGTTGCGTCATTACCATCTTCTGGCTATGGTACCACCCCAGGAAGTTCAAATATGTCGGTGAGTACCAGTTTTTCAATGAAAACCATAAATGCTTGAGAATAGACCTTGATGGATTACGAAAGAGTACATTACATATACTTTATCTGAAGTCACTTGATACACTGTGAAATACCGGGTGCGTTTTATATATCTATATTTAACACGCTCTGTTGCTGCAAAAATCGAAAAATTTCGCAGCAAATATCCCCCGTATAAGATCAAAGGCAGTTTCACCGGTCCACGTGGAGTAAAGCACGCCTATGCGTGGACATAGAAAATGAGAAAGCGTGTATTTCAGAGCTCCGAACAAGTGCAGGTGGCTACTGAAAATTGAAACAGTTTAGCCAGTGCCGTGTAGCGGTGAATAAACGTGTTTTCTTTAGTCTGTCCGTGTTTTTTCATAGATTTTATTAGTATGTGTGTTTTTGACTTTTGAATACTCAGTTTACTTGTTGATTTAATTGTTGTGTTGATTGTTCTTGTGTGTCCTAAATATGGCTCTTTGGAGACCTTGGGAAAATGCTCCAAGCCACGAGGAGATGGTTGATGAACCTGTGCAGGCAGAATTCTTTCATAAAGATTTAGAGGAACAGACCCAAAGAGTAATCCTAAATATGTATGATTGTCTGAAAAATGAAAATCCAGATTCCTCGCAAAATCAAATTTTAAACAGAATTTGTATCCTGACAAAAATCAGTCGGTCTACCATTTATCGGGTTATAAAAAGGGGAGATGTAGTCAACCATTCCTTCCACAGAAAGCGCATAGGGCAAAAATTAAAAAGAATAGACGTGGGTTTTCAGGAAGATATTCGTCGTATAATATACGGATTTTATAAAGAAAATTTGGTGCCCACGTTGGAAATGATACGGGATAAATTAAAAGATTATCCTGAAGATTTTTATAATTACAAATGCTTAGACTCACTGCACTGTATTGTAAAACTGTGTGGTTTTCAATACAAAAAATTAGATAAAAGAATGGTGATTATGGAGTCGTCTCGAATCGTTGAATTGCGCCAAGAATTTTTGCACAAAGTTAAAATCTATAGAGAGCAGAAAAGAAATCTGATTTACCTGGATGAAACGTGGTATGATACCCATGATGTTGTGCAGTACGGCTGGGTTGACGACAGCAACAAGTGCATTTTAAATGCACCATGCAACCGTGGAAAACGAATCATTATTCTCCATGCTGGCAGTGAAAATGGATTTATACCTAATGCTTTGCTGTTATCTGCCAAAAATATCAAAGAATCATGTGCCGACTATCATGAGGACATGACCTCCGACTTATTTGAAGAGTGGATAGAGCAGCAATTAATACAAAACATTTCCCCAAATTCAGTGATTATTATGGACAATGCGCCATACCATTCCCGACAGAAAAACAAAATTCCGAATACAGACACAAAAAAACAAGACATTATTGATTTTATGAAGGATAAGGGAATGGAAATACCACAAAAATCAACCAAAGCCATATTATTGGATCTTATTAAAAGACAAAAATTTGAAAAAGAGTATGTTGTTGACAATCTGCTTCAGCAAAATGGCCATGAAGTATTACGTCTACCTCCCTATTACTGCATTTTTAACCCGATTGAGTTGGTCTGGGCTGCTTTAAAAAAAAAGTAAGAAAACATAATCAGACCCCTCAATTAAGTGAATCGCTATTGGCCACAATAAGAGATGCAGTATCTCATATTGCTGCCACAGACCTATGGAAGCAGTGTTCTAGGCATATTATTGAAAAAGAAAATGAATATTGTGTTTTGCCTCCTGTAAATCCCGTTGTAATTCCTCTACAAGATGACTCTAGTGACAGCTCCGAAGGCGAGGATGATATATAAATACCTATAATGTAAGTCTTTATATACCTTTTTATATACCTACCTGCTATGTAAATATTTGCCTATGTCAAACGTTGGAATTCTCTAATTTTTCCATTTCTTAACGTTCAGTCAACATAAATTAAACTCCCAATATAAGTATTTTTTATCCCAAATCAAAAAAATAAGAAGATAGTAAAATCCATTTATTGTGATATAAAAACATCATTATTATCGTTCTAAATAAATGACCGCACGCCTATGATACGTCATGAAATTACAAAGGACGCGCCGACCAAAGGTTTTTATGCTATTTCAAGTGACTTCAGATAAAGTATACCTAGCTGATTCAGCCATTATTGGGCGAACTCTTTTATTATGTTATACGAGGGCTGTCCGATAAGTAATTAGCCTAAAAAAGAAAAACAATTTTGGAAAAGTGGCGATTTATTCCACAGCGTAGTCTCCTAGCTCGATATATTTGACCGAGCGATGCCGCAACTTCTTTAACCTGTCTGAAAAATTAGCTTTCCGGAGCTCTGCAAAGTATGCCTCCATGGCGGCGATAACCTCCTCATTCAACTCAAATTCCTGCCGGCGAGGGACAAATTTGAAAACAAAAAGAAGTCGCACAGGGCCAAATCTGGAGAATACGGTGGATGGGGCAGCAGTTCGTTGCCTAAGTCGACCAATTTGGTGTGAGCCGGTGCGTTGGGTGAAAGAGCACTTTTTTATTCGCCAAATGGGGCCGTTTTTTCTGCAATTTTGGCGTCGAATCGGCCCAATAATTCGGCTTAGTAAAGCCCTGTGACCGTTTTGCCAATCTCCAGGTAGTCGATGTAGATCACCCCTTGTGAATCCCAGAAAACGGTGGCCATCACCTTTCCGGCCGACAGCACAGTCTTCATCTTTTTCGAAGCACGTTCGCCGGGTAAAGTCCACTGTTTCGGCTATTCCTTGGTCTCTGTGTACCAGAGGATCCATATTTCGTCGGTGGTCACGAAACGACACAGAAATTCCTTTGGTTTGCGCTTAAACAGCGTCAAACACTGCTCTAAAGTGGTTTCACGGTTGCGCTTGTTGTCCGAAGTGAGCAAATGTCGCACACATCGCGCAGATAGTTTTCTCATGCCCCATATTTCATGCAGGATATGACCCACGCGGTCTTTTGAGATGCCAATACGAGATCGTGGATTTTTGTCACGTAATCCTCCGTGATAGCCGTTTTCGGGGCACCTGGGCATGGTTCATAGAAAACCTACGTGCGACCACGTTGACACTTGTTAAACCAATATTAGACGGCCTCGAAGGAGAAGAGTCACCGTACACAGCATACAAGTACTATTTGATTTCGCTCCGTGATTTCTCTTCTAAAAACAAGAATCGAAAGACCGGCCGATATTGTCTTTTTTTTTCATTTTTCTAAAATCCTCGGACACAGCCGCTTCTACACACGGTCAAAACAAAACTACGAGTCCGATTCTGCTGAAATGCTGCCAGTAGGCGTCTACGTCAATGTACACGATAGTAAATTTCCGATAGTAGTGCCATCGGGCGGCGAGCAGAAGTACTTATCGGATTGCCCTCGTAATGTGTGAGATCAGTAATGGCCTTCTGAGACGAGTTGTGTATAGAATGTTCACACTGTTAACAATATATATCACAAAATATTCGATTTTACATCAAATTCATGTCGTTTCCGAATTATTTTACAAATACAATACAAACACAATACAAATTAACGCATCTAACAGCCAGCCGGTTAGTAGTGATCGATTTTGAAGGTGTAAATGTTTGTTGGTATGTGTTTTCATTCTGTTCACATCTAAATATCTTTTCCAGTGTTACGATGCAACATAATGAAATTTACAGACAGGTTGGTAGTGATAAAAATAATTTACAATGCAAACTTTTTCATTTTACAGTCCAAGTGTTCTAGTCAAGAGAGGTTGCATCAGTTACCCCATATCCCTACTTCGGACGACATTCGGATTCTCACTCATCATTTTTCAAGCAACGAAAGTAGCACTTCACTATCTGGGACCCACTTTGAGGAAAATCATCATCATGGTTCACCAATGCACCGGCAAAGGTCTAGGAGTTTAAGGTGAATGAATGAGTTTTTGTGTTCACATTTATTCTATGAAAGATGATGGATTGTAATAAATTTGTAATCTTGGGGTTTTACTTCCATAGTGAAACACCTTAACCCATTTATGATTAACTTTTTAATTAATCCTCATTTCTAGGTACTGTAATGTAATTGTGGTTATTCCTCTTCTGACTGCAGCATTTCCAGTGACCTATATTACTTGCGATACCTAAAATATGTTAACGATTTCTAATAACAATATTTATACAGGGTGTACAAGAAGTATTTCAAACAAGGCGTTTGAGATTTTGCTATTCGAATTTTTTTCACATTGACGTTTTTTGGATGCTTCTTAACATAAACCAGGCTGTAAGCCGGTACAATTTTTTTAAACAATTTACAAAAAGAAGTAATCTTTTCATTCGGGCAAAGTTGTTTGAGGTTTTACTTTCCAAGCCACTGGCGGGGAAGTACACTACTCAAAAAAGAATTAAGGGAGCAAGAAAAATGTCCATTTTTGAGAGGCTGTATGTCGGTGAAAGATGGTTGTATCTAGACTTAAAAAAGCATCTTCATCAAGATTCTAGTTTTCATGCTTCTTAGCCGAAACATTTTTGAAGCAACGGCTCTCGTGTAATTTCTATAGATAACGCAAGAAAAAAGTTTGCAAAATTTGTTTCTTCTTTTTTATCCACGGGTTAAACCTAAAAACATTACCAGCATTAGCAGTTTAAAAAAAAAAACAGTATATTTTTCAAAACAAGGTAAAAAGGAACTTCGTTTGAATTTTTTAAAATCAATACTAAGTAAAAAAAAATCCCCAAAGATCGCAATCATATTTTATTGGAGATTTGTTCCATTTCTGGGAAATACCTTTAAATTCTCTGTACGATCACTGATTACCGAGATATCGGTGGTGGATGATAAAGGGATCCTTTTTCATTCCAAATCGGATATCTTCGCGCCAAATGATCGTATCGAGATTTTAAAAGCAGAATATTGAAGCTGAATATCCTATTCATATGAAGACCTGGCAGAAACATTTTTTTAAAACTCGTGAACTAAAAAGAAGTCAAATACATTTTTCTTGAACTATCTGTTAGAATTGCATGAGAACCGTTGTAAAAAAACCCGAAAACCAGAATCTTTGTGCTTCAAAATGCTTTTTTAAAGTCTCGTTACGACCATTTTTCACCGAAATACAGCCTTCCAAATATTACCGAAATATTGGGTTTTTTTCTTGCTTCCTTAATTTTTTTGAGTAGTTGTAATCGCGAAAAATATGATGTTACATGATGTGTACATTGAGAAAAACCATGTCACCAATTTCCGTAGGCCTGTATGTGCCGCTAGTTCTTTTTTGAAAACATCACTCGGATTTTGATGAAATTTTCGCACAAGTTACTACTATATCAAATACCAAAAAGCTTACTTTTTGTAAATCGATCCAGTGGATATCCAATTTTTGCGGCCATATATGTCTTAAATTTTTTGAGCAAGCAATCTGTCTACCATTTACCCGGGACTATCTTCTGTCTATCAAGCGCAATGTTCGAAAGTCTTAATCACGGTTTTAAATAACTGCTATCAAAAAGTATGGATATCAGATGTCACTCATATTCAAACATAATGATATCGGCCATCTCTGTTGGCGAGTGCTCGGGTTAGTCACAGCAACGATGCCAGAAGAACGGTACTATCGGTAGGGCAGGGGAGAAACTTCTAGATCGCAATATTGTTAATTGTGTAGGGACTATCGACTAATTATGTAGGCCTGTTTGAGTAACTTGATCTATTTTATTCCTTTGTTATACACGTTCGTAGCTAACATTATTCTTATGCCGAACATAATCCTTTATGAACTGATGATAGCGTTGCGTAGGAAGTTCAGAGTTGACCTACTTGACGCCATTTTTTTTGTGCAGCAGCCCAAGCAGATCTCCGGTCGTTGATAATGAAATCTGTATGATGAACCTGCTGTACAAGGAGCGGTTTCCCAAAGCTACGCAACAAATGGAGGAGAGACTGAACAACTTCATTGAGGAGAATAACACGTTGGATAGCTTGGATTTCGGCGGGGAATGCGATTACATGCCGATCGTGCGCTTTGTCCATCACCAGGTGCTTGAAATGGCCAGAGACTGTCTTCACAAGTCCCAGAACAAGCTCGTTACTAGTCAGTACTTCTATGAGATGTCGGATAACCTGGAGAGGCTACTGAGCGAAGTAAGTATTGGAAAAGTTCACGTTTTTATAATATTTGTTACCCTCGTAAAAATGAGGTAAGTGTTATGATCTCAAACATTTTCGATATTTTGTCCTATTTAGGATATTCGAAAACATCCGTGTCGTTTCAGGCGGTTTTCACCATTTAAAATTCAGAGATTGTAACTTTCATTCTAATGATACTTTTAGGGACGAAATTTGAAAAGCTATTGTTACGGTAATATAAAAATAAAAGATTTTTGAATAAGAACAGGTTCATATTAAAATGGAACGAAACAAGATCTTAATCGAGATATCAAAGAAATCTATTTTATTTGACTGGCTCATGTGTGGCAGTTTGTATGGAGCAAGATATTGGTATTTGTACGCTGACTAAACAGTGACGCGTATTCAAAAGGTCAAATATGTAATGAATATTCGCAAACATATGCGACTCAAGAAAACCCAATAAGAAAAAACATGTCACGTACATGCAGATAAAAAGAGTAGTAGTCTCCATGTCCTGCCAAATGAAAGCGCAGTTGTAGAAATGAAGGTTTACAAACGTCTCAGTCATATCGATGGCCTTTTTCAAGCTCCAATTCAAAAATGACACTGACAATATATACGAAGGCGGTTAAGTACTATCATGTAGTAGATTCTTGTAGACGGCAACTGTCAAAATTTCAGCTGATGCGGACTCGTAGTTTTGTTTTGACCAAGTGGAAGCGGGCGTGTCCCCTGATTTTAGAAAAACGGAAAAAGAGCAATATTCGGTGATTCGGTTCTTGTTTTTGGAATTTAAATCACGCAGCGAATTCAAAGAGCGCTTAGATGCCGTGTACGGGACCGTAAAAATTTGTGAATTTCAACGTGGTCGCACTTCGGTTTTGATGAGCCACGTCTATACTATAACTATCTAAAACTGTAATGACTCATCGATGTTCACGTGAACATCACTTAACTACCAGTAGTCGGCTGTTCATAGGCGGGGTATGAATGTTTAAGATGGGTGAACTAGATTTGTCACATGCTTAATAAAGAGTGGTTTGAAACATATTGTAAGTCAAAAATTTGGGAATTACCTTTATTCATCGTCGCTTCCACTTACATCTGACAGTAATAAACTGTCGCTATCGCTTTCCTCGTTGAAATTGACTATAACTGGCTCTATGATGGTGTCGATGTGGTGGTCAAGCTGCCACATTTTTGTTTCTTCCTTCACAACATGACGGATAACATTCTGCCAAGCTTCGGGCGTTACTAGCTGTATGGAAGTCTCAAGTAAAACCTTAACGTCTGGTAATTTGAAGGTTGTGTTATGGCGCGCAATATAACCCTTCACTTGAGCCCAGATGAGCTCTATTGGGTTCAGTTCACAGTGGTAGGGCGGTAACCGCAGCACAGTGACACCACATTGACAGGCCATCTCATCAGTCACGTAACTAACGTTCGCAGGTTTGTGCTGTTTAATTTTTTCATACAATTCCGCTTTCACACATGAATCGTCAAATGGGATTCCTTTTTCGCGCAACCATTGCTGCATGTCACTTTTTCGAGATCCCATAGTCGGTACCGTTCGGCTCGACGACTATGGTAGGAAGCATTATCCATGACGATCACAGAGTTGGGCTCAACTCGCTGAAGCACCCCTTGAAACCAGCTCTCGAAGCAGCTGGCATTCATTTCGTCATGGTAATCACCTCCTTTCTTAGAGACGAAAATCAAGTCACACTCTTCTAAAAAGCCACTATCGCTACCAATATGAGTTACGATCAATCTTTGACCTTTCCCTGACGGTCCACGAAGACCTGTTGACAAACCTTCAATGCTTGCTTGTCGGTTACTCACTACGTTTTTGTCTATCCAGGTTTAACTGTGTGACCTGCATTTACAAATGTCTCGTCCAAATAATAGATTTTTCTGCTTTGTCGCCTATATTCAATCATTTCGCGTAGGTATTTTCGACGCCAGGCGACTATTTCAGGTCTCTCTATCAATACTGGCTTCCGATTACGCGTTTCGTAACGAAAATTAATTTCGTGCAGGGATTTCCTCATTACCTGGACGCTCATTTTGGGTATAATTTCATTTTCCTTGATCGCTGCATGTACAGCCTTGAGGGATGGTATCTCATTCCTAAAGAAGAATGAATGTACGGTTCGCCTTAACGCCATTTTGCTATCGTCATCCAATTTAACGGCCTTTCGTCCCTTCAAATTAAACTTTGGATCAGTAGTAGCTCCAGGTTTCTTCTTTTCATGCACCACCCTGCGAATGGTCCACTCTGGAACGCCTGTCATACTTTCACAACGCGCGAGTGCATCTCCCTGCGACATAGTTCTGTTCAGATAATTGAACACGTTGAGCACGATTTCTTTCGCGTCCTTCTTCAGTGCTTTACGAAGCCGTCTACTTGTTCCCTGGCTTTCAGTACTTCCACTCGTGCCATTTGTACTCTCCATGGTTAAGTATAACCAAAACAGTAACCACAGAAACCACAACAATAACAATCACACAACAATTCTTATAAAAACACACAATATGCGATCGCTCAACGAAACACGTTCCAATGCGTTGCCGACGCCTATGAGTCTGCCGGTCGAGGCGCGTCTTTGATTTGATTGGTTCTACCGGCGGAGAACAATCAGCCATTATTTCCATCTCTGTATGTGCTGTTGACCACCGCAAAGCCACAGAAACGACATATGTCGTACGCTATACGGCTGTACTGGAAGGAAGCCGGGATCGAGCTCTGATCACGTGTTGATCACGCGTATGAGTCATTACAGTTTTAAATAGTTGTAGTATAGGTGGGTCATATCCAAAGGAGTTTTTGCATCGATTCGTGACTGTCGACGAGACATGGATCAACTGGTATACACCAGAGGCCAAGGAACAGTCGAAACAGTGGACCTCACCCGGCGAACGTGCTTCGAAGAAGGCGATGACTGTCGGACTGTGCGATTTCTTTTTGTTCCCAAACTTGAAAAAGTCACTTGCCGGGCAGAAATTTGAGACGCATGAGGAGGTTATCGCCTCCACGGATGCTTACTTCGCAAACCTCCAGAAAACGTATTTTTCAGATGGGTTAATGAAGTTGAAGCATCTATGGGACAAGTGTATCGAGCTGATAAATAAATCGCCACTTTCCAAAATTTTCGTTTTTTTTTTTGTAGGCTGAGTACTTCGTTGATTTGGCGTGATTGTCGTTGATGCTGATTATTTAGTCAATCTGTTTTCGGTATACTTATGCTTTTCGGTAGATATTGAAAATTTTCGATAGACAGTAACCCAAAAAGCAAAAACTTGCAGGTGATTAAAAACTTGAGAGAGGATAGCATCAAATGCTAAAATGCTGCTGTCTGACAAATTTAAGAACGGAGGGTAACACCAAATTCTACTAATCGTAAATTGAAAATTGGGACTGGTCATATGGATCTATTCTTATGTTTATTTCTATCAGTAATATATTATTTAAGCGTTTGAGAATTTTTCGCATTAAAACCGGTAGTTTGGTAGAATAGATAGAATAGACCTGGTATGCATCAACATTATTTCTAAAAATGAAGGTGCAATGACAGTGTCGACGCAAAATCCACACCACAAACAACTTTTTGTGGATTGGCTATCGTATGAAGTCAATGCCAATTTATTCATACCCTCCAAGTCGGCATAACACAGATCGCCTAACAAGTTCAGTACAGGATGTTTTTAAAGCATGGAGCAAACATTCAAGGGGTGATTATTTAGGCTATTATGAGACTTTTGTCATTTAATGATTTTCGAAGCACTGCTTTGCTTTGGAGATAAAGAACGCCACTTTAAATTATATTTTCTTAAAATTTGAACATTATCTTGTAATCCAATGCAATTTTGATAGTATTGCAACTAGTTTATGCTTTACATGATGATATCCATAGAAAACAATTAACTCATTCAGTTAGCCCTAATGCAATATTGCTAATGTTTTAATCCATGTATAACAAAAAATATTACTTCTTTATTATTTAATATCACTTTTGAGCCATTATTACACAGGGAGTAAAAAATAGCTGTATTCCATTAAGGCTATCCTGTACCTAGCAAACTAAACTTCAGCATTGATTTGAATTCCGTTGCTACAGCTTAAAAGAAAAAAAATTAGACCAATTTTTAATTTTCAGACTAAAGAAAAATCCGAAGAAGCCGCATCTTTAATATCAACATTTATCAAAAAATTGCTTTTGATAATATCACGCCCAGCCAGATTGCTGGAATGTTTGGAGTTTGATCCGGAAGAATTCTATCACTTTCTAGAAGCAGCCGAGGGGCAGGTGAAGACATTGCAAGGGATACAGTCAGACATTCCTCAGTATATTATCGAGAAATTAGGTAAATAGGATCAGCTTGCGTTTGCGGTTCATGTTTTTAAGCAATCAACAGTATCTAGTCATTTGGAGACATATGACAGAAAGCAAACAAGAGAAAATGGTCTATTGAAAAACTCAGTATTTCGCGCAAGGTGCTAATTGTCTATATTTAGTGGAAAACTTTACAACACTGGCATTTATTATGCGAATCAAATCATCATATTGTCGTCCCTCGCGAGCACGTTGGTCTTCACCGATTCAAAAGTCCTAAAAATTGATATGCATTTGTCAAAAATCAGAATGGCGGAAATGCTTGCAAAACTGTTTTGAATTATGCTCAAATTCGAGTTATGTATGTTTCCGAGGTCGCTAACAACCAATTAAATATCGCACTTTCTGAAATCAAAATGGCTGATCCAGTGTGTTGCGTACATGCAAAACATTGTTTCACTGCGCTCAATTTTGAGTTTTATACGTTTTTAAGGTATTTTGCCAATTATTGTATAATGTCGCAGCTGCAGCCAAAATTGACATCTCTTTTAACGGGTGTCTAATAAGCTACTATTCCAAAATTAGAAATTTCTTTTGCGCTTTTTTAACATTATTTTTGTAGAGTTCATTGATGGGGCTCCAAATAATTGCACCGTATTCTGATTTACTTGCAGCAAACACTGAATATAACTCAATAAGTGTTGTGATATTGAAATTTTTACAATTTCTGCCATATGTGCGATACGCATTACTTATAATTTCACTGTGGTAGTAGTTAAAGGTGAGCTGACAATCGAAATACACTCCCAAATCTTTGAAAGTTTTACACATTCCCAATACAGTCATTTATTTTGTCTGGGTAAGTTATAAATTTGGCTTCCCGGATGAAGGTTAAGATGCGGCATTTAGAGTTGTTCCAATACAAATTGTTATTGATACACCATATTTGTAAAAAAATTATTTGTTATTGGAGGCTTTCACAGTCTTGCCAGCTAGAAACAGATGCATAAAGGTCATCAGCAAAAGTATTTGAACTTTACCATAGTTGTTCAGATTTCTTTGCATTCATACCAGTGGAGAGTTTAAACCAATATTAGTTCTGCAAAACGGAATATTGAAGTGTGTATAGTGTCTTTAGGAGTCGGTACATGTATATTGATTTTCGATGAGAAGTAAAAGCAGGCAACTTGATTGTTCAAGATTCTGTGAAGAAAACATAAATCAGATAATACCCCTCTCTTAGCCAGAGGTAAGGTTTTGAAATGTTCCGTTATCAAGCTATAATCCTGATTATGGGCCATAAATACTCGCCTTGTAAGCCAGAATTCACAAGTACTTATGTTGGACAGACTCAATTTTCCTTATGTGGACTTTGTTATGTGGGTTCCAAATAATAGACGCCAAAGAGAGATTACTATGTATAAACTCATAATTTAGTGATAACAGAGTAGCTACATTTCATATCTAGTCGAACACCCAGGTCCCGAATATTGCTCACAGAATTAATATTGATATTCTCTATCTGATACTCATACTGGAATAATTTTCTTTTTTTCGTGAATATGATTGAACAGCAATGTTTTTAGTGTTAAGTGGCAGGTCATTTTCCTAACAATAATAATTGAGTTTATCGATAACTTTTGTTATTCTGACCAGTCTTGAAGGCTTTAAACTGTATGATACATCTTTAAGTCATCAGTTTAGAGAAGGAGAAATGGGCAATGGCTGAATCATTGTGCGATGTCATTTATATAGATTAAGAATGATATTGGACCTAGGTAGCTACCCTGAGGAATAATGATATAGGGTGGCCGATATGTAACCGCCTCTAGAAGCCGCGCAACCCTGAGCCCTGTTGATTAGATTTTCCATAACTTTTTGGAAACTTTCGGGAGGACTATTTTCTATCGCTTCCGTAATATTGTCCTTTAGCTGCTCTACAGTATTTGGTTTCCCCATTTCCTCATAAAAAAGGGCAGGAGCCATTAAATCCGGTGATCTTGGTGGCCAGTTGACATCACCAAATCGAGAAATTAAACGTCCCGGAAACATTGTTCGCAAAAGATTCAGTGTTTCCCTAACTGTGTGGCACCATCCTGCTGGAACCACATGTTTTGCAGGTTAAATTGTTGGATTTGAGGAGCCAGAAAGTTTTTACCTGCAGCGTCTTCAAAGAAGTAAGGTCCAATGACCTCCATTCCAAACACTCACCAAGCTGTGACTCGAAGATGTAGTGGTCGTTGGTGGATGACAGGAGGTTTTCTAATGACCAGACCTAATCGCTCATTATCAGTTGTCGGTAAAAATCGTTATTCTGGGTATTAGCTGCAATATTGCATGACTGTATTGTCGGCTGTATGGTCACTAGGCTGTAGTTCTTGGGTTAACTAAATTTTGTATGGCTGCAAATGCAAGTCTTTTTTTTAAATAGTGCATTATGACGTGCGACGAATACCCAGTTCTTGAGAACGATGTCTGGAAGACAGCTACTACGACGCCAAGTACTGAAATGCGTGTATCAAAAATGGTGCGCAATTTAAATCAGTCAGTTATATATTTTCCACCCTGTATTTCCGAGAGAATCAGTTTTATCGTCCCTGTCCCTGTTCATGTCCTTGCACCACGTCCTTCTAATTCTTGTAGGTTTTGGCTTAGGTAAACATGTTTTTCTGGAGCTGATTTGTACACGAAGGCAGAATTCAGTATTTTTAGGGCGAATGCCTTCTATTTTTTTACTCTTTTTTAACGTGCGTGGCGGCCCTCTTACATGAAAGCGTACTCTGCCAAATGCATCACACTTAATGCTGATGGTAGTTGATATTCCAGTATTTCTTCAGTTTAGGTATGTATTCTGACGGTGGTTCCAGATCTCTTTCAGATGTCTTAAATTGAAATGGTTTCAAACGCCAGTATCCTTGCACGACACACAGGACCGTTACCAAAATTTGATATGGTCAACGCTATATACCACAATATTTTTGACCTGTTTTTTTTTCTCGTTTCAGTGAGAACCGAAAATATACAGAGATGCAAGATGTAACTTTCAACGTCACTTTACGGCACTGGTGAATGAAAAAAGTTGAACGGATTTATTTTATCTACAAGTGTGGCCTCAAAGGTTGAAGTCATTTTTTCTCAAGAAATGTAGTTATACAAAATTGCGATGTGGTTTGTTTCAAGATTGATTTGTTTATTAGTTATATTCGTAATGACATTTGTTATACACGTGATTTAAAAAGTTGCCTGGCGGTAACCTAAGGCACGTTTGTTCAGTTTTCCTCAAATAAATGACAAAAACTGTTTTTTTTGGCCCGGATAAATGAATGAATTATAAAATTAGAGGCATACCGGCCACCTTGAGGAGCCGGCGCATTGGCAACTTAGACGGACCCTTATGCACCTCTACATTCCCTAAACCTCAAGCCTCGCCCTTCCAGCAAAGTTGAGTATGGCCTTGAGTCCCAGCTCCTTAACGTTCTGGAGGTCCAAAGTTATGGACTCCAGTATAGTCTGCATGTAGTAGCTCAGAGCCTCGCAGCGACACAGAGCACGCGCCGAGGTCTCTTCCTCTACCCCGCAGCGCTCACACAAGGATTCTCAGCCACTCCCATCATGTGCAGGTGGCGCCGTAACGTATTATGACCACCAGCAACCTTAGGTTGGCTCTATCCAAGGACAAGGAAAAGCGTCCATCCTTAGCGCTGGGCCCTACGATGATTTCCGATGCCTGACGGGGATGTCTTGAAAACCATTTCTCCACTTTCCTCCTGACTCTTTGCGCCGGCACCCCTAAGGTTCGCTCAGCACCAACGAGTTTGCTGGCTGGTACTGCTTTCGCAAGGGCGTTCACCGTATCATTGCCTTTTATCCCAGCGTGCCCCGGTACCCACACTAACGACATCGCATTCCTCGCTGCGAGACAATCCAGTGCCTCCCTGCATAGCAATACAAGGCTTAGACTTAGTGCCTTTATTACAGTCTAGCTGTCGGAGAAGATTGTTATTCTTCTCCTAGGCGCTCCTCCCTCCAAAATGCGGGATACGCAAGCCAGATTCGCAAAGATTTCCGCCGAAAATAGTTGTGTATCCACCAAGAGGCAGAGATAGCCTAGTTCTAGGCCGAAAAACTCCGACGCCGGAGCCCTCTTCAGTGGCCGAGCCGTCTGTCTACCAGAACTGCCCACTCTCTCCGCGGATCTTCCGGCTACCGGAGTCCCACTCCTCAATCGTTGAATACTCCACATTAAACTGCGGTAGAAGCGATAGTTAGGGGTGATCAGATCACCCTTGCTCAGAAGAACAGGATCCTCCCTTTGCAGTTCGACTAAGATGGCAGTGTGACTCAAAAAGGCCCAGCTGCCCTGGCTCCAGATAAAGTTTTGTTTAGGTTTTTAGGATCATTCTGGGCCAAAAAGTCTTTAGTAACTTTTCTCTGATGTTGTTTTTTCTTTGAATTTTAATCGATTTAAAATTTTATGCTTGAGGTTGCCGAGTATCTAAATTAAAGTAAAAAGCTTTCCCTACAATAGTCGGCTGTTTATTTTAAAGTATTGTTATTTAATCATTGATAACGCGTCCATCTAGCGTACAAGGCGTTGTGTTGCCCATAGTCCATTGCCAATAATTAAATAATAATGCCTTAAAATAAGCTAAGCATAGATTTCTCTTCGGGGTCTCGTAGGGTAATGTTTGAACAGGTAACATCGAAACCTCATTTGAGGTTTTGAATGTCTTAACTCGACAATCGTCACATTTATGGTACAGTTTAATGCTTCCAAAACACAGTACTGTACAAACTTGTAATATAGCTTTCGTCCGTCCGACCACAGACGGCCAACCATCGACAGCTGTTGCTTTTTGGCAACAGATGATTTTTTTTATGTCGTCTTATTTCGATAGATAATAATAATATTTGTCTTCAAAATATACACTATACTATCCAAAAATTATATCGAGACAAATAAATGAAAAACCCGCCGGAGGGTCCTTGTGCGTGGGTAAAAAATATAAAATACTCTTATACTAATGACAATACCCCGCGATATGGTTTTCTTTATTCTAACATATTCGGGTAAGATGGCATATATGGAAATGTTCTCTAGTCCGTTTTTTTACTCTACTGTCTCAATTCGGGTGAAAGTTACATATTCGGGAATATTGTCTAATATAGCTTTTTTTGTTTTCTTTGGTGAAGTCATTATCTATTGTTTTACTTTCTTCTTAAATAGTCCAAATGAGCTTATTTGTTGTATGGGAGCATATTATAACATCCAAATCCCAGAAAGCTATAGAACCTTTGTAAGACATTTTTTCTGCTTTTGGGACGTACAATTTTTTTTTCTTTGTGTCATATTTATGCTTCACGCCTTTCCTAGTATCTTGTATAAGTATAGTTGACGATCATCAGAAATATTTGATTCTTAGAACAGTAAGTCTGTTGATATATCTTTGTTTCTAAGCATCGTCTCCTTAATGAATGTTTAGATTATTTCCAAGTTTCGAACATGTGTGGTATTTGCAGCTCTCCAGACGATAGTACATATAGTACCTTGACTAGCAAGAAACGTCCAAGCGCTCATCCGTCTTCGATGCATGGCCGAGTTCTACCCAAGAATCAAAGAGTCATTCATTTTGGCTGGTCGGAGTTCAGATCACTGAGGACTTAATCTAGCTCGAACTTATCTCGTCAACAGTGTCACCTGCTGGCAAAAAGCTAGGCTATTTGTTTTGGGCTTTTTCACTATGTACAAGATCTAGCATCCAGTACTGCTCAGATGTTTGGACAGTCTCGAGACCTCTTCGCACCGATGGGCCGTCGGCGATCTGGCTCTCTTCTACCGATATGCCAATGGGCTTGGCTGCTCATAGCTCTCCTCCATGACGCCGCCGCGCGATGAGTCTGCCAAACAGACTCTCCTGACTTCGTCCTCCCATTCCAACAGTACATCCAGAACTGGCCCATACGACCGCTCCTTTGTCCCTAAGTTATGGATAAATCTGCCTGAGGAGGCTTTGCCCACTTCTACTAACCTTAGACATTTCAAAGGTCGGATTAAGCACGTTATATCCGCCGCGTGCCCAGGTATTTAGATCTACGCGGCCTCTTCGTTATAAAAAAATAGAGAAAAGTTACTAAGGACTTCTTATAAAAATTGTCCAAAACACTGCGTTACCGCCTGGCGACATTTTGATTCATGTTAAGAGAAATCGCTCGAACGTGATTTTGAAAAATCTGATCGGAAAGCGTCTCCCACCAATGCCAGGGTTTCGGCTATATAGAAGAAATACATTGATTTTTGAAATGACCGATTCAATTTTATTTGAAGGTATCAACAGAGACCCCATAGCTGAGCTACAAAACGAACTGCGCGACTACGACTGGGCGAACAATTCTACAAACTCCTCAGTTGGTTTGAACTACGTACCGAACGTCAAGAAAACACTTTCAAATCCCAGCGAAAACGATTTTGAAATAGTGAAGTTGATATCAAACGGGGCTTACGGGGCCGTCTATCTAGTGAAGCACAAACAGATGAAACAGCGCTTCGCGATGAAGAAAATCAACAAGAACAACCTGATGTTGAGAAATCAAGTTGAGCAAGTGTTTGCAGAAAGGGATATATTGAGCTTTGCCGATAATCCGTTCGTGGTCAGCATGTATTGCAGTTTTGAGACCAAGAAGCATCTGTGTTTGGTAATGGAGTATGTTGAAGGCGGGGATTGTGCGAGTTTACTCAAGAATATTGGCCCTCTTCCTCCGGATATGGCCAGATTCTACTTCGCCGAGACAGTCTTGGCTGTGGAATACTTGCATTCATATGGAATAGTGCACAGGGATCTCAAGCCTGACAAGTACGTACATAATTTCAACAGTAGGTCGTTATACAGGGTGTTCCGTGAGGAAATAGAGATGATGAAATAAGTCGCATAGACCAAAGCCGTTTCATATCTGAAAGTAAAAATTTAGGACTTCGTGGAAAACAGGAAACAATGTGTGAAGATACTAGGTGAAAATATGACAGTTACATATGGACTTCCACAAGGAAACGTATTAGGACCAATCCTGTTTCATTTGCATATTAATGACCTTTTTAAGTTAAAATACCATGTAGACATTATAGATCTCGCGGTAATTATTAATTCAAAGATTAGGCTTCTTTGCAAAAAAATGTATTAGATTTTCAAAAGGTTGCAAATTCCACGGAAAGGATTGTAACAGTTAACTTCAACAAAACATATTTTATTGCATTTTCTTGCGACAACAGATCTTCCCCAAATTTTAATCAGCTCCAAATTAAGACGTTGAATAGCTGCAAAAACATACAATCAGGGTATAAATACAAATATTTAGTGGTTTACACGTTGAAAATTTAATAAGAAAATTAAGATACCTTATTCCGAACATCAAACATTTCATCAGTTCTTTAAGTGATACTTTTTTGAATGAAAAATGTCGATTGCGAGACTCGAAAAGGTACTCGTACTATGAGTTTCGTGCGACACTGTAGCTATCTCGCATGCGACATTAACCTTCCGACATTCGAGACCACCACCTCTTTGAACTCAGTTTTGTTTTTACTTTTTTTTCATTCTATCAAATTAACACCTTTTATGCAGAACATTTAAATGTACAAAAACGCCAATTATTAGAGGAAAATGGATTGAATGCGCCCTTTTTTTATTTGATCATTTTTATATATTCAAATAGCTTATTTTCTGTTTCCCTGGTACAAACCTAAAAATTTCAAATTTCACATGCAAAATTTATAAAATAATACTTGGAATTGAACCAAAAGTGATTCTTCACAATGTCAGGGCCGTGTTCCGTTTTTAGCTTAATTGTATTTCATTAAGTACATCACCATGTAACATCATTTTGCTGGACGAAGTAATTTATGGCAATTTATAACAATTTTGACTAGCATTCCGCGTTGTTTGACTGTCTCGACTGTGACTAATCGCTTCTGACATCTGATCGGACATTTATGTGGTGAATTGACTGTTCCCGATGCTCTTTAGCATTTTCTAGCAAAAACTCGATGTCTTACGCACGTGAATGCAATATACATGATTTTGTAAAGCAACGAACACCTACATCGCCAGGCAGCTTGACGCCACTCAAGGTCACAGTTATACGAGGGCGTTACAAAAATGTTTAATGATTTGGCAGAAAAAGAAATAAGTGACATGGCTTAAAACGAAACAATAACATGAGATTTTCTTAAAAGGGACACGGCATTTAGTATGCAATTACAGAATTTGTTCTCCCAGACCAACTTGAAATTTGGTTAGAAATATTCATAAATCTAGTTTGCAGGTCTGGAATCATCATTTCTATTTGCGTGATGTACATATGTCTGCATTATGCAACTAAATCTAATGTAGAGTTTTGGTTAGATCATATTGAATGTAACAACAAAATCCTTATTCCAGATCTGTTACTGGTTTTAGACATTCTTAGCATATATTTCATTTTATTTCAGTCTCCTGATCACAGCGTTGGGGCACATCAAACTGACTGATTTTGGATTGAGCAAGATGGGACTCATGTCACGTGAGTTAACTTGATAGCATCTTGACAGAGCTTAGGCCATGTCTTTCCATAAAAAGCCAAGGTCATGTTCTCTTTTAGATTTTCATGGATGCGAGAGGGAGACATCTTTCTGAAAAAGCGCGCCATATAAGCTTCGTCACCACAGCCACTCTCTGCGCCCTCCCTCGCTGTCTTTGCCAGGCAACGTGATGACAACGCTTATATGACGCACTCTTTCTATCACGCTTGTCTCGCTTCTCTCTCTCTCTCTCTCGCTCGTACACATGAAAATCTAAAAGATACTTTGGCCTGCACTGTATACGTATCACGCTTGAAGGATGAAAAATTTCAAAATGAATGATCCGTTCATTGAGATTTTTTTGGGAGTAGTGAAATCAAAGAATCAATATCACGGCTCTGTTTCTAGACTGCAAAATTCTACAATATTCTTATTTCAGTTGCGACAAATCTATATGAGGGGTATATCGACAGCGAGGCACGCCAGTTTTCGGATAAACAAGTATTTGGTACGCCCGAGTATATTGCTCCAGAGGTGATACTAAGGCAAGGATATGGTAAACCCGTTGATTGGTGGTCTATGGGCATCATTCTCTACGAGTTTCTCATTGGATGTGTTCCGTTTTTTGGCAATACTCCAGAAGAGCTGTTCGCCCATACAGTTCAAGGTGTGTAACTAATTTTCAAGCCACATTATTTTCACTTTCCATGCAATCTGTCAATCTGCTGGCGTTTTTTTCTACCTTCATAATCCCCGTTTGCATTAATTTTGATGACACTTGTGGTGCAACATCCTATGGGGTTATAGGAATGCTACTTTATTTTTGAAAATCGCTTCTCTGACGTAAGGGCTATGACCAAAAAAACAGATTCAGATCATTATGAAAATTCGTTTAAGCATTTTTACAATATCCTGATAATTCTTGGCTACAGTAAAAATTGGTAAAAAAGATCCTTTATGATGCTCAACTTTGATAGCCCACCAGTCCTCCATCTTGAAATTTTTAATTATCACGATCCATAATTTAATTTCTCGATCTAATTATAATTGTGCATTGATTTAACATTTGTTTTAATGCGGGTGCAACAACACTTTTATTTTTATATACGTTTTGCATCCTAGCTTGTTTTATTATAGATTTGAAGTAGAAAGTGTTGCGCTTATATGAAAATAATAAATTAAATAATCGAAAATGGGTGAATTTTGGACAAAAATGCCAAAATTAGGAACTTTTGGTTTTAAAAAATAATCAGTTGCTGAAATCAAAAGAAAAATGTAGGCAGTTCAAAATATTTAAATGCAAAAATTCATAGACGCGGCCAACTCGAAATTGGAGTTACTTTCAGTGACGAAAACTCCGCTTATAGACTTGATCCTTTGAAAATAGACATATACTAAGTGACATATAAATCCGAACACCCAGTTTAAATGGTTTTATTTTAATAAAATTTTGTATAAGTACTTAATGAAGCATAATAAGTAAATGATAAAATTTTCAAAATGATTGCACTGCTTTAAAGCCCTTTGACCTTTAATAATGTGTGGATGCACCCTGATGTGCTACGCATTCTCCAACGCGCCTAGGCATACTTCTGATCAGGTGGTAAATGTCCTCCTGGGGTATCTCATTCCAGGCAACCACCAACTGCTCTCGAAGTGCTTCTGGAGTCTGAGGAGGAAGTTGCAAATTGAGCAATCTCCTACCCTTCATATCCCACACGTGCTCAATTGGGGATAAGTCGGGAGATCTTGGTGGCCATGGTAACAATGTGACATCATTATGTTGAAATAAGTCTATTGTGACTCTTGCAACATGTGGTCGGGCATTATCTTGTTGACAAGTTGGATCTGATGAAGATTAAAGGTGACCTGGAACCATAAGCTATAGCACCCCAAACCATAACTCCAACAGTGTGATGAACATGTCTTTCAACAAAAAACTGTGGATTCCTCCTTTCACCACGTCGCCTTCTAACCCTGGCACGGCCATCGTGCATGCCTAAACAAAATCTAGACTCGTCACTAAAGACAATACTGTTCCATTCCTGATCCCAGAGTGACCGTTGTCTACACCACTCAAGGCGATTACGTCGGTGTTCTCGAGTTAAAGGGAGGACCCAGTGTGGCCGGTATGAAAACAATCCAAAACTTCTCATTCGTCGGTAAACACTTCGCATGCCAATAGGTCTTCCGTGTTCTGCAAACCATTCATTTGCAATGGACCTGGTAGCGGAGAAACGGTCCCTTAAGGCCAATAATCTTAGGCGGCGATCTTCACGGTCTGTTGTTCTACGGCGGCGTCCAGTGCCCCTTGCTCTTTGCGCACGGCCTTCTCGAAGCCATGCCTGACAACACCTAACCACAGTGTCTACACTACTTTGCACTCTAACTGCAACTGCCCGAAAAGAAAGTCCAGCTTCCCGAAGTCCCACTATACGGCCCCTATCAAACTCACTAAGTTGACGAAATCGTACAGGTCTCCGTACTCTAGGTATCGTAACCGATCGTAAAGGATGTCAAGAACCAAAATCCGCCAACGTTGATTCTTTACTGCGGCTGAAATATTCATTTTTAGAGCGTTAGTGAATTAAAAAAAAGCAGTATAAAAACCAGATTGTCCAACTGATAAGGCTGAAAATTTGTTCACTTGTTATTTACAGTAAGATAAATACATTCACCAACTTTTATTAAAATAAAACCATTTAAACTGGGTGTTCGGATTTATATGTCACTTAGTATATATAGATGTATTGGAATTTTTGAGTCAATCTATTTTTGACACCGTTTTTTTTGCCCTGTGATGCTGAATTTAAATTTCGGATTTTGTTTCAGATGATATCGAATGGCCAGTAAACGAGGACTGGCCAGTGCAAGAAGAGGCAAAAGATCTCATAACAGCTCTGCTTCAGCATTCGCCAAGAGATAGGCTAGGAACAGGAGGAGCACACGAAGTAAAAGAACATGTTTACTTCTTGGGATTGGACTGGAACTCGCTTCTGAGGCAAAAAGCTGAGTTTGTTCCACAACTTGAGCATGATGAAGACACTAGTTATTTCGATAGTAAGATTTTATATTCAATATATAGAATGGACAGCTGTTTTGTGCTTTCTGACAACTCGTCTTCATGCTGAAGAGTTGATGATGGTCGAACGGATGAAAGCAGCATGTTTAGTTGTTCAATGGCGAACATACCACGTCGACTACATCGCCAGAATCGTCAGCCTCTAGCGGTCACAGTGGTGACTTGGCTACTAAACGCGAACTGAGATCTTTTTCCAACCTATAGTTGCTAGACATTCTCGCAGTGGATAGAGGATAGTTGCTAAGATTTCGTTCATTATCTCAGAGGCCAATACTAGACCATGGTGATGAGTTGCCAAAAAACACGTAACAGCTATTCATTTGTAGCTGTTTGTTGTCGGACGAGGGAAAGCAGCATGTTTATTCAAGTCAAACTACCTGATCATATTTCCTTCCAGGTCGTGCTGATAGATACGCTCATGAATTTGAAGACGACACTGATGATACCGACGACTCACCAGTGTTTGGATTTTTCTCTTCGTGCACTTCACAGTACAGAAAAGTTTCAAAATTCAATTCAGCTACAACTTGTAGCGCGGATGCTTCGAATGATTCTTCGAATAATGAAAGCACCCCAGTTCCAAAGCCCAGCAAACTTGCCGAAATTAATGATCTCAAACCCAAAAATAAATCGTGCACTAGCTTACAATCTCTTGTAAAAGAGAAGGAGAAAACTCCCCCGGATCAGAAAAAGGTAAGTTAAAGTACATATAAGATTTATCAAAGGAAAAATTATTTATTATTTTTCAAAATGCTTTACATCATATTCAACGCAAGAATCAATCATTGAACCAGTGCTCCCGTTGCTCCTTGTCAGTATAGTTACACAATGAGTCCAGGCTGCAGGTACTTTGTCTTGTAAATCTGCGTCCATTTATAGTCTTATTTTCAGCTCCTATTTGACATAGTCGCGATTGAGAATACACCCTTAGTGATTTCACAATCAGAAAAATCTAAAATCGCGTTGTGGCAGGACTGGGCCATAAAATGGATGATCCTACACTTGGATTTCTGATTCCTCAAAAAAAAAAAAACTGTTAAATACAACAAAACTTATAAAGTGTCACAAATATTGCACTTATAGGTATAGGATGACGAGCCCTACTTTTTTTCCCCGCGTCTCGTCACACGCCAGTAGCCTGCTGGATCTCTTTCTGACCACGCATCCAGTCCCTTACAGCACTGCTGTCCTGTCCCCCCTTGGGTAACTCAGACCACGGTGTTGTGAAGGTTAGGTTTCGGTCAGAACCCGCTGTGGCAGCAGAAACTCGTACAGGCCGCAAAACTTGGCATTACGGACATGCCGACTGGGAGGCGCCCAGAGACTTCTTCTCTCGCTTTGCTTGGAAAGATGTCTGTTTCACTGACGCGGATGCGTCGGCTGTCTGTTCTTCGATAACCGAAATTATCCAGGTCGGAATGGAGGAATACATCCCTCACACAGTGAAAGTGTCTAAACCAGGGTCCATCGGCTGGTTTAACAACTCGTGTCACACTGCTCGCCAGCAGAAGATCAAGGCACACAGAACCTACTTAAAAAAAGTCCAAGGCGGAAGTGCTAGCCAAGATCTTTGTTGCCAACTCCACCATGGACGTCCCCCCCAACGCCCAAGTGCCGTCAATTCAAAGGGTTCGCTACACTATGCGGGAGGTAATATTCAGGCATAAGACCGTAAGACGAGTGCTCTTGTCGCTCGACATCAACAAAGCTTCTGGTCCGGACTTGATTCCTGCCATTGTACTGAAGAGGTGTGCAGCGGAGCTTGCTCCAGTTCTTTCGCGTCTCTTCCAGATATCTTATGAATCCGGCACCTTCCCAGAAAACTGTAAATTTGCTCATGTCCAACCCATCCCAAAAAAAGGATCTAAGACCGACCCTTACAACTACAGGCCTATAGCTCTGCTTTCTGTTATAAGTAAGGTGATGGAGAGGTGCATAAATCGCGAGCTTCTGGACTACCTCGAAAGTCACAGCTTGATAAGCGACAGGCAGTATGGTTTCCGGCACCAACGATCCACAGGGGACCTCCTAGCCTACGTCACGCAATTGTGGAGTAAACTCATCCAGCCTTATGGTGAGGCTCATGCCGTTGCTCTTGATATCACGAAAGCTTTGATCAGCTGTGGCACGCTGCCCTCTTAAGCAAACTTCCATCCTATGGCCTTCCAGAAAAGCTTTGCAGATGGGTGGCTGACTCTAACCGCAAGATATCCGTCGTCATTGACGGATTCTCCTCTTCATCCCACAACGTCAACGCGGGTGTTCCCCAGGGATCGGTCTTGGCTCCGACACTGTTTCTCTTACATATCAACGACCTCCTTTCCTGCACGATCAACCCAATCCACAGCTTCGCTGATGACAGCACTCTGCATACAGGAATTCAGAGTGACAAGCCGATCTCTGCCGCTGAGCTGGAAAGAAGAAGACTAGCGACGACTTCCTCTCTGAAAAGAGACCTGGAGGCTAGCACTGCTTGGGGACGCAACAATCTTGTATAGTTCACTGCTTCCAAAACACAGTACTGTACTTTGACGAACAAAAAGCGTCCTAGCGCTCATCCGGTTTCGATGTATGGCCGAGTTCTGCCAAAGAGCCATTCCTTTCGGCTGGTCGGAGTCCAGATCCCCGAGGACCTGATCTGGCACGAACACATCTCGTCAGTAGCAGCGGCTGCTGGGGAAAAAGCTAGGCTATATTTGTTTAGGGCTAAGAAGTACTTTTCTCCGCATGACCTTCTCACTCTATACAAGGCCCAGATAAGGCCTAGCCTCGAGTATTGCTCACACGTTTGGGGTGCTGCCGCCCCGACTACATTGTCCATGCTCGATGCTGTCCAGAGGAGGGCGGTCCGACTGATCGATGACTCTTCTTTAACAGACAGTCTCAGGACCCTTTCGCACCGGCGGGCCGTCGGTGATCTAGCTCTTTTCTACCGCTACAACAACGGGCTTTGTTCCTCAGAGCTCTCTTCCATGATGCAGCCGCGCGATGTGCCTGCCAGGCTCACCCGCCTGACTTTGGCGTCCCATCCTAACCGTATCAAACTTCGTACATCCAGAACTGGCCGATACGACCGCTCCTTTGTCCCGAGGGTGTCGAGAGGAAGCTTTTCCCAGTTATACTAACCTTAGGCAGTTCAAAAATCGTATTAACAAAAGTTCCTTGGGATCATCATAGCAGCCGCGGTGTTCCGGCATTTAGGCTTCTGCCTGCGCGGCTGCTTCGATATAAAAAAAAACCTTGAATCCCCGAAAGTTTATTCAAATTTCTTGAAACTCTGCACCAATGCATGGAAAATTAAGACTCCTTTATTTCAGATCTCCTTGGACTTATCACTTTGCTCAATAAGTACTCCAGAGTCATCCCAAACAGATAGCGATGAAGTGTCGCCTCAAATAAGTAGAAGACGCAAAAATGGATACTCTTCCCAGGAGATAATGCCGAAGTTTTCTATATCTGTCGAAGATGAACATAGTAGTTCAGAAACAGGTGTATCTTCAGAGAATCGAGAGCTCTCTCCATTGGGTAGGCTCCAAACTAACTTGCCACTGGTCAAACACAAGTCTAGGTCTGTAGTCAAGAGTGCTTCTGCCTCGGGACTGTCTCTGATGATACCAACAGGTAACAGTATAAATAAAAAGTTAAATGACACTCAGAAGCTGAATCTGAAAATGATAGGAAATTACATACGAAAGTATATTGATGCATGTATTTTGATTATTTCAGACGAGTTCCAGACCCACGTTATAAATTCCCCAGACGCAGAGGGAGGCTCAAGCACAGCTAGTTCAAGAGACACATCACCTTGTCGTGAATTGTCTCCTCTAGTAACAAGTCTCCAGCCCCCTATTATAATTGGAAGAGGACCTAAGGGCTTCGGTTTCACTGTTCATACTATCAGAGTATACTATGGAGATACCGATATTTATACCATGCATCATTTGGTCATGGTAAGTATAAGTACAGTTGTACATATACTATTATCCGAGGGTGGTTCAAATATGATCGAGACATATGGTCTGACACGTTTATTCACTATCGAAAAAATTTACAAAAATTTACGGGTTTTCTCGGGACATTCCCTTACTAGTTACGCATTTTTTCCACCTTTCCGGAAGATTTTTAATGCCGGTATTGAAGAACTCCTTGGGCTACTCGGACAGTCATGCGCGCACGAACTCTTCTACCTCGTCGTCAGTGTTGAATCTTTCACCTCCGAGGGCTTTTGTCAGTGATCCAGACATGTAGTAGTCGTAGGGTGATAAGTCCGGACTGTAGGGTGGGTACTCTAGTACTTCCCACCCCAATTTCGATATTGTATCGAGCGTCAGACGCCCAGCATGAGGGCGCGCGTTCTTGCTGGAATGGTTCTCCATTTCGAGCGATAAGCAGGTTTCACCTGTGTTTTTAGAAGGTTGGAGTAGTATGCAGCATTGATTGAACATTGGTTGCTCAGGAAGTCGGCGTACAGCACGGCGAGTGTTGACTGGTGTGATGCTGGTTTGCGGTCTACGATCATGCGGCTCATTCTCTACGGTTTCGCGGCCTTCCTTGAATGCTATGGCCCATTTAAACATAGCAGCCATACTCAGGCACTCACTGCAGAACTGATTTCGCAAACGCAAAGAAATTTACGTGTTTTTAACGCCTTCCCACACTAAAAAACGAATGACAATACGTTGCGCAACGGCGGTCAGCACTTGACCTTCACTCATGGTCTTTAGCACGCGCGTGAAACATGCGCTTATAACGAAAGCTGGCCACTCTGTTCGTAAGGGACACAGCTATCATATACTCAAGCCACGACCTTCAAGACATACATGCGCGCCATCTAAAGCATTTGTCTCCATCATATCTGAACCGCCCTCGTATATCATGAAATTTTTGCACGCAAATACTATATGATATAATATGATGATATATCGTTTTGTTTTTAGGCTGTAGAAGAGGGAAGTCCAGCATTTGAAGCAGGCTTGAGGCCAGCTGACCTGATCACCCATATAAACGGCGAAACAGTCCAAGGTCTATATCATACCCAAGTGCTGCAACTTCTGCTGGCTGGTCAAGAACATGTGAGCCTTAGGGCTGTACCCTTAGAGCAAACCTCGATAAAGACAGGTGGTCGTAAAAGAGAGCCTGGAAAAAGCAAGTTGGCGAAGAGGAGTTTGAACAGACAGAAGAAACAGAAAAGGGAGAGTGATAAAAAGAGGAAGACTTCGCTTTTCAGGAGAATCAGCAGCAAAAGGGCCAGCGTTGAGATGCAACAAGTAGGTACAACCTCAGATATGTGGGAAGTACCGAGTCATTGAGTCAGCTTACTTGCCTCGTTTTTTCTATCTATAAAAAATATATTGTGTCGTTTCACAAAATTACATGGCTGTGTGAAACGCTTATATATCAGTTATTTATTCACATTTTTGCTTCAACTGTATAGATAAAACATGATAAAATACTTTTTATGGCAATATCGTGTGAGACTCTAGCCCCATAACTTATCAGACTCCAATAAAATGTAGCACGGTGTGATATGATATCTTTGTGTTTTACTTCCATGTTCTGGAAATCTAAAAACCTCAAGTATAACTTGAAACAGTCGAAATTTGCGGCACAAACAATTTACATAGTCATGCCATAAGTTCTGTCCCTCGTTTTCAAACAAGTGTAGACCTGTTAATACTTGTCCGATTGTTTACATTGTGGTGTCAGTTGATTAAGCGCTTTTCGGGTAATTACATATACCTCAGTTTGTATTGATCTCTCGAAGCATAACGATGGAGTGGGGCAAGGCAGAGAACCGTATTGCAGTGATAGCTTTACATAAGTGTAATCACAGTGCTAGTCAGATTTTTGAACTCTTACGCGGCCTTCAAATATCGCGTAAATTTGTGTCTAGGACCATTCAGCGGTACAATGAAACGTCCTCTGTTGATGACAGGCCAAGAAGCGGAAGACCTCGTCAAGTAAGGACTCCAGCAGCCATCAAAGCCGTAAAAGCCAGGATTCAAAGGAATCCACTCCGGAAGCAGAAGATCCTATCCAGGGAAATGAAGATTCCTGTCCGGACGATGTCGCGCATCATTAAACAAGACCTAGGGCTAGGGGCTTACCGGAGACGTACGGGCCAGCGACTTACGGCCACCTTGCGACACATCAGGGCGACAAGATCCAAGAAGCTCTTGGAGAGGTACGCAGCTGGGGGATTCCGAAAGATTTTGTTCACGGATGAGAAAATCTTCACCATAGAAGAAAAATTCAACCGACAAAATGACAAAGTGTATGCAAGGAGTTCACAGGAAGCTTCGGAGATCATTCCGAGAGTTGAGAGAGGCCACCACCCTGCGTCAGTCATGGTTTGGTGGGGGGTGTCCTACGAAGGGGTCACTCAGCTCCATTTCTGTAAACAGGGCGTGAAAACAAAAGCGGCAAACTATCAGAGCGACATACTGGATCCTATCGTCAAGCCTTTAAGTGGTACATTGTTTGCCAACCAACACTGGGTCTACCAGCAGGATTCCGCCCCCGCTCACAAGGCTAAGAGTACGCAGCGCTGGCTGGAAAGCAATGTGCCAGAGTTCATTGCTGCGGAAGATTGGCCCTCAGGGAGTCCGGACCTCAATCCTTTAGACTACAAGTTGTGGGACCTGCTAGAGCAGTTGGCCTGCTCCAAAGCCCACCGTAATATCGAGTCCCTGAAAGCGGATTTGATCCGATCAGCGGCAGCTATTCCTTTGGAAGCTGTGCGTGCAGTGATAGATGAGTGGCCCGCGAGATTGAAGCAGTGTGTGAAGGCCAAGGGGGGACATTTTGAATAAAACTGTTTGATTATGAATTCTAAAAATGTTGTCGAATAAATAATATCTTTCATATAAATATATCTTATCTTGTTTCATTTTTATCATGAGATTATCATGGGACAGAACTTATGGCACGACTACGTATATTAATCCAAATCCTGCTAGTAGCGAAAATGTCATTAGTTACGTCATTATTCCTTCTCGACTGCCGTCAAAACATCGGTCATTTATGGGTCAATCACAACCGGAACCGCTTGCGAAAAGAATTCGCTTCTTATTGTACTCGTACATTATACATACATCATGCATGGCATGTTGATAGGTGATCTCTTGTCTGTCTGGGCCTTTTACGTGAAACTTTTGTTATGAAAATAGTATAATAACACCATGTATTTTTTAGTTCTCGAGTAGCCTGCAGTCTCCCGTAAGTGTCACTCCAAGCAGGAGTTTTCAAACCTTCGCCAGAAGTAGCGACAGCAGTTTTTCTGCTTCCACTTTGCGAGGTAGTGCAAATAGGTCCAGTCTTTCACCTTCCGACTGTTTCGCCCAACATTCAACGAGCTCGTCTTCCCAGTCTACATCAACATCTGGGAATTCATCTCCAACGGCCCCTCAACATTACCAGAGGCCTTCAACTTTGCATGGCTTGAAGCACAAACTGCATTCATCTGCTTGCCCCAAAGCTCCCGGGGCAGTTTCTAACAGGTAAAAATATATGCCAAACTAAGGTGCTACAGGGGATGGTATTCTAGATCGCCGTCATGACTCTTTCCGATGACGTCTCTCCAAGCTGTTGTTTCTACAAAATAAAATTAACAAGATTTGTTTTTCAACAAACGCAGGCTGATTTAAGACAGTGGTAATACTTATTTGATGGAAAATTGGTTAAAAAATAACACAGAAAGATAGGATAGGAAACTGGAGAACAACATCATTCAAACCATTGGTGAGATCCAGCCCGACTTATGCAGTAGAGTTTTACAAAATTGGATCTCTAGGATCGAGTCCTCTAAACGAAGCCGCGGAGGACATTTGAATGATGTAATTTTTACAACGTAATGGTATTGAATGTACTTTAATACGCAATTTAAGTTTCCATCGTATGCCGCACAGAACTCGTTTTATTCAATTTTAAATTTCAGACACACTTAATGAAAAACCCTTTAATATACTTCGCCAGTCAGGGATTTTCTTTTCTCTCTCATTTTTTAAATTCAGTCCAATCATATCCGCAAATTTCCCCGAAATACATGTAAAGTCTGGTTTTATTGGTGCAAGTTGTTCAAGTGGGTATTTAAAACATGGACGCATGAACTAACCCTGTATATTGCTCAATAAACTAGTAGTGACGGCCGGAAAAAAGCTGTTTTGGGATAAACAATTGAGGGGTTTCTGGGAAAAACAACATTTGTCAGAAAACAAAAAATGTGGCAAGTTAACAAAAACTGATTTTGTTGCTTATACTGCTGTGAAACGCATTTTTTTAGTGTTAAGGCCATGTAAGAAGGCATCTTATATATTTTAAGGTGTATTTCAAGAAAAAAAAACGGATTTGTGAATAAAAAAAGATACAAAAACGTGGTGACAAATGTTGTTTTTTAGGAATTTTTTAGAAAGAGGCTTGTTAACCAAGAATATTTTTTATATATATTTATTGAAACGAAACTTAAGTATTTCAGAAAAAAACAACATATTCTTCAAAAGTATTCTAAAAGTATTTCAGGAAAAAACATATTCTTCAAAAGTATTCTAACTGTATAACAATATTTCTATTCTATGTCACTATTTCCACTGCTGTTGTCGTCATTGTCTGCATTATTGTCTTCAGTATCTTGTTTATGAGTATTTAACAACCTTTTCTAAAACATTGTATGTTCAGGTTTTTTAATACACTTTAATAAACCTATGTTGACTAATGTCGTTCTTATGGAACCGACGATTCTTTAAACGTATTTCAGACGGAGATATGTGCTTTTGACGGGAAACTTAAACATCAGAAAGCAGCATTGAAACATGTAGAACACAACAGCGTTGCCAACTCAATTTCAACAAAAAGTGACTAATGTTGTTTTTCCCGGAAACCCCTCAATTAGAACTTCTCAAAAATACTTTACCAATCTACTCCAATTTTGTTGTGGTTATTTAGAAGTACGAATCCTACGGATTTGAAGAAATTATCGTCGCATTCCAAAAAGTGCCAAAACCTGCAATTTGCCCCGGTTTTCGGCCATAACTTTTTCGCTATTAGTCGGATCTTTTTACGTGTGATCTCATTTTGTAGGTCTCGTAAATACCTAAAAATCTTATATGAAGAGTTTTTCCGTTCCTGCCAACACTTTCGATTGAATCCCAAAAAAACACGTTTTCTCATTTTTTGTTGTCGAATAAGTTTTTCCACAAAAATTGGTGTACCCATTTTATGCGTCCATGTTTTGAATACCCCCTTGAACAACTTGCAGCAATAAAACCAGACTTTACAATTATTTCGCAAATCAGGGTATTTTCGTCTAATGTGATTAGACTCATATGTAATTACCAGGATGAATAAGAAAAAGTGAATGCCTAACTAATTTCTAGCTTTGCATACATCTCAAGTAAGTGTATTTGAGACAAGAAACCAATGAAATGATCATCAACACAGATTATTGGCACACAAATCCTCACTATGCACCTATGCACTGCTGTTTCCTTCCAGCTATAGTATACAATTTACAGCTTAGACCTCCATCTCTGAAGCAAATCTTGCATCACATCGGAGCCAAACATTGATAGCTGTTGTGCTATGACGTTTAGACAACACGTATAACCACAGAACGAGTGCACATCAAGTGAACAGCAGCCAGTTCTAAGTTGACATCTTGTATAAAAACCTACATACTACCTATATAATGTCAAAAAAACGGCGTCACTTTGCAAGATACGTAATATCCCTGCCGCACACTACATAAGCCATCCACGTGTCAGTATAAACATTATTTCACTTGATGATAACTAAAATCATAATGAGGAGCAAGAATTCCATTTTTGAGCGAATAAAACTGCCACGCATAAGTACGAGTATGGATGATTTGTGATGTCTTGATCAAGAACTCACTTTCATCACTATGGCTAGTGGCGATTGTGTCACTACGCAATCTCAGTAACTGTCGCAAGTATTATCTACTACCTCTTATCTTTCATTGAAATCATTGTGACGGCTTCTTGTGTTGCACAATGACAAAATCGTCGTCAATAGACAGACTGTTGGAAGTGGCTTGGATTTTTACGATAAAGACATCACAAATCATTTAACCCAAAAATATATTTTCTATACGATATGAATTTTTTACGTTCACTCATACTTTGAAGACCATCAAGTCGTCGAAAAAATGTAACAGATTATAAAAAGTAATGAGAAACTTACAAAGCAGTATTATAATGATATCGATTCAAAAATTCTCCATTGAACTTAGCGCAAAACGTTGCATCCCAAATCACCCTATCCATAGTCTAAGCTGTAACCACAAAATCTGATATCTGATATTCTGATATTCCTCCAGCTGTATGGGGTTATAATAGCGACCTGGACTGCTACCTTCTATAGTACCTAACCAGAGACTGGTCCAGTAAATTTGTCATGAATTTTTACTGAACCGATCTTTGTTGTGTGATTTGAAAAGCTGAACTTTGATCTCCTGGAAGTCTTTGAAAAACTCACAAATTTGACTTGTCATACAAGAGTGAATTAATATGGTCGCGAAAGTTTTTGAATCAAATCATATCACCCGACTGTTAGCGTTTTTTTCACATCTGTTTTTGCGAGATCTTTAATTTTTATATTTTTTCTGTGTATTTATTTCAAATGACAACTAGAGGTATTTGATTTTTTTACAGAAAATGGTGTGTTTCCGGTCGTTATGAGAACGTTCACTTTCCCACAGGATTTTATCAAGATAACAAATTTCATTTCCGAAAATATGGTGTACTGTTCTTAAGTATTTCAGTCGCAAAAAAAAATCTATATCACGAGGTCTGTAAATTAAGTCGTGGGACTGAGTTTTTTTAATTTTTTTTTTATCCAAATATAATTCCAATTTTATATTGTCACCCTCAAAATAACTTCCATCAGCGTTGGAGACGGTTGAGGTGATTCTTCAACTTCGGGAAGAGTGACAGCGACTCGAAGTCAGGCGAATAAGGATGCTGAGGAGCCACAGAAATGTTTTTACTGGCCAAAAACTCGTTTATTGACATTTCTGTGTGACAATGAGCATTATCGGGATGCAACACTCAATTAGTGATCTAATGAACGATGCGGTGAGTCAAATTTAACTCTTCCTTGATCATTCTGACTGTCAACCAACGATCTCAATGCACAAGATCTCGGATTCTGTTGATATTTTCATCGGATCTTAAACATGAAAGCCTTCCGCTTCGTGTGTCATCTTCAATCGACTCTCTTCCATCTGAAAATGCCCTAAACTACTGAAAAAACTGGTCTCTTGACAAAACACTCCCTCCGTAGCCCTGCTGAAGCTTAGCAAGAGTTTCCGTTGCACTGTGTCCAAGTCTGAAGCAAAACCTGATAGCACAGCGTTGCTCGAAATTCATGTAATTTATTTTTAGAACACCAAAGGAAAAACTGTTTTACAAAAAAAATCGCCACCGACAACTAAATGAGCGAGTTCAAACTGGTGCTGAAGGCGGATCACATGTTCCCCTGTCTCCCTTTGAAGTCCGGCGCCTCCAGTGTTGCCAGATCGAACGCTACGTTGAGAGTCTCATCACTTAATTTACAGACCTCGTACATGCAAAAGCCGTGTCACTTATTTCCGTCGGTCTGTTTGTTGGTATGTCCGCTTTGCCACTCTATAAATAGTAATGTATTGCTCGGATTTTGAAGAAGTTCTTACACATGATCACTACAATGCTAAGGATGAAAAAGCTTTATAGGTTTTGGAATGCGATCCAGTTGCTGCGAAGTTGTGGTTAAAAACTGAAAAAATCATTCAAACTTCGTTTTCGATGTTTCCAAGTTTAGTTTGTGTGTTGACTCTTCAAAACTGTGATCACAACCTTGTCGAATGGGTTAATTTTATGGGCATGTTTAACTGACTTGATGCATTTAATTGTTAATTTCTTCCTTTCTCATACATGTTTGTAGATAATTTTTTTCTAAGAGGGGCATAACCTTTTATAAACCGATGACAGCATTGCGTGTGGCGTGCATAGTCAACCCCCTCGACGCAATTTATTTGTTGTAGCTTGGCAGTTTAGCTGTATAATCCTGAACTTGTCATCTATTTTGAATGTGGATTGATGGAGTAATGGGTGACGGAGGTGTTTGTCCTGTTCATAATGAAATTATTCCACAGGTATATTACAAATCAGCTAAGGAAATGCGGGAGAGAGTCCAAGAGCTGTGGGGAGTTACATTGGAAGTTATATCAAACGGCTTTAGACGTTGATCCGGCAAGTTTAGAAAATATGCAGATGTAAGTTGCCTATCAGAGCTCTCTGAATACATTCTTTATTAATCTTCAGCCAGATAGTGGCCTCTTTTCTTCTAAACTTTCTAATGATAGGCAAGTCGAGTACGGCTTTTTAGAAAACTAACACTTAAAAATGCACTAGCACAGTCTAATCGTTATTAGTCCAGGTAGTATCTTTTCATGTCTGATGGAAAAAATATTCTTATTCGAATCTTTTGCAAAATCGTATTCAAAAAGGGCCCCTTTTAACTTATCTACATGTTGCCCGCCCAAAATTGCGTCAGAATTTTTTTTATAATCTAATTTATAAAATTGTATTTTAGCTCCAGTGGAAGTATTTTTAGGTTTTTTATGACATTCTAAACAAAAAAAAGTGCTTCAAAACTGTTCTCTAAGGTTGATAGTTTTCGAGACCTAAGCAATACAAAAGCAATATAAAAAGTGCAAAATATGCCATTTTAGATCCCGAAAACAATACGAAAAAACGGATATTTTAATGTTACCGGACTTCCTAAATAGTTTTTAAACATCCATTCACAATGTCCCAAAGAATTTTTGGTGGTATTGTTATTATACACCTTTGTTTGTTAATTGTTAACCAAGCGCGCGCTCGGTGTATTCTCTGCACAAGTGCGAGAGAGTATAAAGACAATTTTTGGAATTTGCTTAAAAAAATGCTCAAAAAATGTTTGATACAAATTTGGTCATAAAACATGTAGATTCGTCAAAAGGTATCGTTTCTCAATAAGATTATGCAAGAATTCCGAATCAGAATAGTGTTTCAATCACATGCGACGATACTACCTGGACTGTATGCTCACATTCTTCCAAAATCTTCACTGACAGCGCTCTATTAAATTCTTGCATAACTAGGGGGTAGGGTCAGACGAGACGCAAACCTCTTATTTCTTGGAGAAATTTTCCGGCTCGATTTTTTCATAATCACGTGAATGTCCCTTAAAATGAAACAAAAGGGGGTGCAGATAGATGGCACTTTGTACTGCCTTATTTCGATAAACATTATAGTATGAATGGAATTGCTTAGCTTTTTTTTCGTTGACCGAGACTATACCTGCGCCATGCTGAGGAGTTGCCAAATAACATGAAACAGCTGCCATGGTTGGCCGTCTCCGATCGGACGAACGAAAGCTACATTATTGGTATGAATCAAAGAGCTAACGGTTACAAATTTGTTTACATTTATTTTTAAAACAAATTATAGAGACATATTTACCGACGCGATTTTTTTCATAATCACGTTTGTTGGATACCCCTTGATTTGAATCAAATTTATTTAATATTTCTTTTAAGCAACTTACAAAAAATATGTATTTCGCTCCAAAAAAATATTTTTCTTAGTTGTTTTAAATCTTCCAGAAAAAATGGCTCTTAGCAACCGTTCCCCAAAGTTGATTGCTTCCGAGTTATAGTCAATGTGAAGTTTGAAAACCGCCAAAAATGACCACTGGCGATGTTCAAATGCTCACTTAAAACTTATTATTTTTGAGGTTACCAAGTGTTTAAATTAAAATTCAAACTTTCCTGTACAAGACCTCAAAGAGTGTTTTATAATAATAATCTTTATTCGAACAGATTTGCACCCAATCACAGGAACATCCAATAATAAACATCAAGTTCTATGCTCTTGTGTAAAAGAGATCATTTTACAAAAAGCATTTAAAACATGAATGAAAAACATTATTACATTAAATTATATCACGTATAATACATAAACATGAACATGAATGACAGTAAAATTGACACAAAAAAATATATTTGTATATCAAAAAATTACGGCTCTATTAGCAAAAATATACATTACAGATTAAGCACCGCAAACGTTTGCTTAAAAATGCTTAAAATCACCTGAATGGTATCAATATTGATGGCATCCCTGACAATGAGTGTCAAACACATCACACATCCTTTTAACAGGAGACATGTCCGATATGTTGGTTCTTAGAGCGAGTTGGCACCACAAAATTCATTTTAGATAATAATTCCAGGCAATCAAGGTTATTATTAACCATACTATGAAGCACTGTAAGCACATTCAATTGTCGACGATAAACCATTGTATCAAAATTCAGGACTTGAAGTAGCATATTGTGTGGGAAGCCTCTTCCAGGGTATATGCCATAAACTTTGAAATGGGTGTATTGCAGGCTCTTACGCTGGATAAATTCAATAGTTGAAATTGCATTTTAATAAATCGGCGAACAAACCAGTGCAACATATCCATTATTTTGAGGCTGTTCACATCAGCAGACCCCGACCAGTTTCTGACATAATATCCTAACATTTTATTTGTTGAAGAGACCGTTTCACTTAGATGGCCAGAGAACGTGAATTTAAGTAAGCTTGCGAGTAAAGCTCAAAATTTTATATTTTGCTGTGTTGATATTTAGTTTTTGTCAACGCACTATCTACTCCACCTATTCGGTCTTGCTGCAATTCCATATTGTCACTGTTGATTAAGCATTATATGTAATAAAATAATATTTAATAGGAATATTCCATACGCTACAGAGACTGCGCATGATACATAGCTCGTTATTAACTACTAAATAACAGTGCTTTGAAATAAATCACAAAATATTCGTTGGGGTCTTGTAGGAGGAGGTTTGAACTGTAACTTAAACTCGTAATCTCTAACCGAGCTTGTGATCATTGAATATGGCCATTTTTAGGGGTTTTAAACATCAATTCGCTTATAACTCAAAAACGGCCAACTTTAGACAGGGTCTTTTCCGTTCAAATTGATGCAAAAAACTCAGTCTGGAGCGAATAATTTGTTCAAATGAAATTATTTATACAAATTTGCACGTCATCCTCATGCTTTATCTGAAGCAACATCTAACAAATGTCAATATGAAAAAAGAAAATCGAGTTGGAAAATTTATTTAACGAATGCGAGGTTTTCGCCTCGTATAGGTACACAAATATCACCAAGGTACAAAGTCATCAAATGGACAAGAAGTGTTGGAACTTGAGTGGATGTAAGTACGGAATAGAATTCAGCTTGGGACCATGCCTGGATACGACTGTGTAAATATGGTAACCACACCTTTAACAGGATATGGCGGACTTAGACAAAATAGGTTAAGAGGCATTTCGGATTATAATTGCAAAACGCTAAATCAAAAAAAAAATTAACAGTTCCATACAGTATGAAGAGGAAAACTAGTAGTAGTAGTAGTTGAAAAAGAAAACAAAATAAAATAACCTTAAACGCTGCAGTATTACCATGACTTGGGACCTACATATAAAAACACAAGAGCACGTTTTTTTTTGATGCCTTACATGTGTCAAGATATCTGTAAAACTTTTGATTTGATTCAACTGTTGCTGTCGCTTTAGGTTTAAGGGACAACCACAATAGGTATTTTTCCAAAATATACATGTTGTCCATTGAAGTTTTAACAAAGATTTCAGGATATCAAAAAATCAATATGTTGATGATCACATATATGACCTTGATAATGACCTCAGAGACCATTTGGAGGTCCAGTTTGTAAATAATATCACAACTGTACTACTGCAACTTCGGAAAAGCACACGAACACACCGAAAACTTTCCAACTACACATCGACCAGTCCTTGGTTTCACTATTCTTTATATTTTTGATTGTAAAAAAATGGGAATCAAACTTTCAGCTTAAAGCTTCACATTTTAATATAATTTAGTTCGTAAATTGTAAAGCAGAAAAATTTATACTAAGTGACATATAAATCCGAACACCCAGTTTAAATGGTTTTATTTTAATAAAAGTTGGTGAATGTATTTATCTTACTGTAAATAACAAGTGAAAAAATTTTCAGCCTTATCAGTTGGACATTCCGGTTTTTATACTGCTTTTTTTTAATTCACTAACGCTCTAAAAATGAATATTTCAGCCGCAGTAAAGAATCAACGTTGGCGGATTTTGGTTCTTGACATCCTTTACGATCGGTTACGATGCCTAGAGTACGGAGACCTGTACGATTTCGTCAACTTAGTGAGTTTGATAGGGGCCGTATAGTGGGACTTCGGGAAGCTGGACTTTCTTTTCGGGCAGTTGCAGTTAGAGTGCAAAGAAGTGTAGACACTGTGGTTAGATGTTGTCAGGCATGGCTTCGAGAAGGCCGTACGCAAAGAGCAAGGGGCACTGGACGCCGCCGTAGAACAACAGACCGTGAAGATCGCCGCCTAAGATTATTGGCCTTAAGGGACCGTTTCTCCACTACCAGGTCCATTGCAAATGAATGGTTTGCAGAACACGGAAGACCTATTGGCATGCGAAGTGTTTACCGACGAATGAGAAGTTTTGGCTTGTTTTCATACCGGCCACACTGGGTCCTCCCTTTAACTCGAGAACACCGACGTAATCGCCTTGAGTGGTGCAGACAACGGTCACTCTGGGATCAGGAATGGAACAGTATTGTCTTTAGTGACGAGTCTCGATTATGTTTAGGCATGCACGATGGTCGTGCCAGGCTTAGAAGGCGACGTAGTGAAAGGAGGAATCCACAGTTTTTTGTTGAAAGACATGTTCATCACACTGTTGGAGTTATGGTTTGGGGTGCTATAGCTTATGGTTCCAGGTCACCTTTAATCTTCATCAGAGGTAACATGAACGCGCAGCGTTATATCCACGAAGTTCTAGAACCCCATCTTTTACCCTATCTTGACACCCTGGCAATTCCAACTTTCCAACAAGATAATGCCCGACCACATGCTGCAAGAGTCACAATAGATTTCTTTGAACATAATGATGTCACATTGTTACCATGGCCACCAAGATCTCCCGACTTATCCCCAATTGAGCACGTGTGGGATATGATGGGTAGGAGATTGCTCAATTTGCAACGTCCTCCTCAGACTCTAGAAGCACTTCGAGAGGAGTTGGTGGTTGCCTGGAATGAGATACCACAGGAGGACATTGACCACCTGATCAGAAGCATGCCTAGGCGCGTTGGAGAATGCGTAGCACATCAGGGTGCATCCACACATTATTAAAGGTCAAAGGGCTTTAAAGCAGTGCAATCATTTTGACATTTTTATCATTTACTTATTATGCTTCATTAAGTACTTATACAAAATTTTATTAAAATAAAACCATTTAAACTGGGTGTTCGGATTTATATGTCACTTAGTATAATTGTCACGTGCTGTACGGAGAAAACAAAATTTGTCTGACGGCTTGAGTTCAATGTGTACGAGAGAGAACCGCGAGAAGTCTATATTAACGCATGTTAGAAAGAGATAGAAGCCGGCCGAAGAGCGAAGATCATCAACACATTGCCTAGCATCGGTGACGCAGAAGGTCGTGCAATCTGCGGCGTTGCCAATATGTTACACCAGAAGATGCTCGCACAGGCTGCTACAATAGGTTAGGTTACTGTCAAACCCAAGAAGGAGGTCTGTTCGAACATTTGATTTAATATTTTGATTAGAATTTTTTGTTTCAATTTTGATGCTTCTTATTTTATTGTAGAATTATCTTTGATAGTGTTAAAATCAACACATCCTGTGTTATTGTTACGTTTTGCCACCGCAGCACGTTACGCAATACAAATTATCCCTGTCTACCTGTACGTATGTGGCAGCCATTTCGAAGCAGGACGACAGTTCCCTACGAGCGGTAGATGGGTTCTGATCACAATCGCTCAAATATCATTATGGAGGTGGAAACCTTGACTTGGAATCTAGACGATGCGGTGCTGCCAAGCGAACCAATAATGCAATGTTGCAGAATTTGTGGCGATCCTGACCTTTCATTTTGACCTAAAATGGAGCGCCGTTAGGACCGATCGGGAATCGATCCTAAACAGATTCTACACAATTCACAACTCGTAAAGAATAAACTAACTCATACTTTCAATATGCATTTAAATTCAAGGAACTGGTGTAATATATTGCCGCATCAGCGTTGCTAGGCAACGCGATGATGAGCTTTGCTATCCAGGCGGCTTCTATCTCTTTCTAACATATGCCTCTATACACACTTCTCTCTCGTACACATTGAACTCAAGCCGTCAGACAAATTTGATTTTCAGTGTATACCTGCCAGGTCAGTTGAAAGATATGCAATATACAGGATGTTTCCAAAACATGGGGTGACAATTGAACTGTGATTCTTTGGATTATGCTAGGACTATTTTGTACTGCCTTACCTCGGAGGCATCTAAATGATCCCACTGGAACGCGGTTTTACTTTACAACATGCTTTGAATCGTCTCTAAAAAATATCTAACTTTCAACTACGACCGTTGCCTGAAGGGTGCGTGAATTCTTGAAGCTGTTTCCCCTAATCCCTCTTTTTTAAAAATATCTCACAAAAGTTGTTTTCGCATTTCTCATTCTAAACTAACTTTCCTTCAGGAGGAAATCGGTGGGGCACGTTCCGCTGTCACCACTAGCTCGCACACCGTCACCGTCACCACTCCCGGCTTCCCCAACGAGGTCACCAAGCCCGTTGGCGTTCCCGATTGGTCACCAGCCAGGCAGTTCGAACACAACACAATCTTATAGTCCAGGAGCTGGCTCAGCCCCTATTGCTGTCACTGCCCAGTCCAAGAAAGGATTCGTCCGTCCTAAAGGTAAAAGTATGAACTATTTTTTCATTACTAACCTGAGAAATCGCCATTATTTACCATTTCTATAATAAAAATAATAATAAGTTAATGTCAACAGACATACACCCAATTGCAGGGAATATCAATAAATCACAGTAAATAAATACATAGATAAGAGTAACAACATATTGATAAATAATCAACAATAATATACTGACTTTCAACTTAATCAAGGTAAAGTTTGATGACGCGAGGTTTAGTGTCATCAAATATGTCGCAGATACTAATACAATTGAATAGTGTACATGTCCTATGAACGGGAGACATGGACAAAAATTGGTGTGAAAAAATCACAGTAAAATATAGCAAACGGTTACCTAAGCGAGCAACATTAAAACCTATGTTACTTAAAATATATGGACAACAAATCTTATTGTGAGGTAAACTGAACAAAAAATACCGAGGCGGAAATATTTCTGCGTACCTCAACCGGTTTGATATCAAAAATTTTGAGCAATACACATCATAATGTGTGAAGTTCTTCCAAAGGGTTTACTGCTGCATCATGATACATCAACTCTTTTAAATAGCCTCACAGAAAAAAATCGCATATACCATATTTAGATGTTCATGAACTTCTCGTCTAAAATGCGGTGGAACCCCATCAAGTAGGAACCACATATTCTGTCTCACATTTAGAGGAACATCTTCTAATAATCGTGGCAGATTGTGTCGAAGAAAATCTAAATAAATTCACCAGTCAGTCGAGGTGGAAAAAAGGAGGGTCCAATAAGCATACCATTTACCACGCCAGCCCAAACATTTAATGAAAATCTATGTTGAAAATGAGTTAGTTTTACAGCATGCGGATTTTCTACTTCCCAAACATGATTGTTGTGGAAATTGTGCACTCCATTCCGAGTGCATGTGGCCTCGACTATACACAAAATTAATTTCGCAAAATCTTCATTTCTGCCGAAAGCCACTGGCAAAATGCACATCTTCTAGGTTGATCTCCAGGTTGTAACGCTTGTATCCATTGACAATGATAAGGATAATAATGTTCTTGTCGTATTGTCTTCCACACTTCACTATGAGAAACTTCAACTTGATCTGCTGTGGCTCTAGTACTCATTGTTGGGTCGTCTTCGAACTTTTTTAAAATGCCTGCCTCAATGTGTAACATTTCAGGTTGAGCAGCTCATCCGGCGTGACCTCCTCGTTGTTCTTTTAAATATCCTGTGTCACAAAGTCTAATAACTAAATTTACAAACATCCGTGTGGCCGGATGATTTCTTAAAAGGAATACAACCTGCATGCTGCGGCTACATTTTGTTGACACTCTCCGTATGTTAGTATTATGTCTACTAGTTAATTTTTTGGGCACATGGGCCCTTTTAATGCAAAAAAATAATCAGACAAATGAAAGTATACGCACTATTAAAAGCCTGATACAACTGATCGAACCAAAGACTCGTACAGAAAACCATACAATAATACAAAAAGTTTGCCAAATTTAGATAAATAGTAAACAAAAAAACTCTAAGATTTTACACGGCAATTGTCGAACATATCAAAAAATCTGTGTAATAAGATTCTTATTTTTATAAAAATTTAATATTTTACTATTTCTTTTATCATGCAAATTTTATATAGGTGATTTTTGGTATATCAACTCAACTTTGAAAACACCCTGTACAATAGATACAATGTTTGGGTCAAGACCGACCCTGGGAACCTCCGCGTTGATATTGTGGTATTAAAAGGAGAAGCCGTCAATTACTGCGTATATCTTACGTCCAGTGAGAAAGACAGCCACCCATCTGCAAAGTTTCTGTAGGAGACCAAAGGATGGAAGTTTGCATAAGAGGCCAGCCCGCCACAGCTGATCGAAAGCTTCCGTGATGTCAAGAGCAACGACATCAGCTAGGAGGTCTCCCGTTGATTGCTGGTGTCGGAAACCGTACTACATGTCGCTAATCAAGCCGTGATGATTGAGATACTCTATAAGCGCCCTATTTAAACACTTTTCTATCCCTTGCTGATAACAGAAAGCAGAGCTGTTTAGCATCAGAGTATGTATGATTTGACTAGTTCGTGTCCTATCAGTACACGATGATGTAGCAAAAAATTCTCTTGTTACAACTACTCTTTGAATATTTTATGAAATGCTACTTGCTCTCAGGTGCCGAGCCCGGGTCCCCGTTGTTGAGGAGAGCGCTGTCTCCAGATCGTCTGCATCCTCGTAGCGCAGAAAACAAAACGATATCTCCACTATGTACCACAGGCACGACTTCAACGCCAACCAAATCTCAAGGAGGAAGAGGCTCTGCGTCGGTTTGGAAACAGACTACACAGCCTGAGAGGGAGAAAGATGCAGATGGTGCGCATTCGCAGACCACTGAAATAGGTAAGCTCCAAGGGTGTGGAAACATAAATTTTTAACCGAGTGTAGACTTTATGGGAGGTAATTTCAATGAAGTCTTCGACATATCCACAAAAAATCCGATAATTGACTTTATGGAAGGTAATTTAAATGGATTCTTCTACATATCCATAAAAAATCTTCCCTTTCCAAGAATTATGTGGCATTTATTTATTTTGAATTTTTGATTTCTGGAAAACTGTAGAAACACCTATTTTAAACAGAATCAATCCATCACCATCTCACAGACCGTCATCATCTACAAAAGACATTGAGACAGACCCCTTAGGGGCTCACTGCAAGAGATCCTGCAGGAGTTCTACGCACCTATTAGCTATGCCTCACATCATGGGTTTGTCTTTTAAACATGGAATGATAGAGAATTTTTTTTGCTGTGCGTCTCCGTCTGCTATCTGGGCTCAGCGGCTGGCGTAACGATCTGCCCGTACTGCGGTGGGCGCTGCCGCGTCGCATCTAACGACTTGGGAAGGGATAGCGTTGCCAGATGGTAACTGTCGGTAGGGCAGAGAAGTGCAAAGTCAACCTACTTGACGTCAATTCTTACTAGATGTCTGTTGAAATGACGGAGAAGTCAGCCAGTTACACACAAAAAACTGACCCTGTATATTGGAAAATACTGAGTTAATCTACTAGACGCCATTTTTTTCAGGTCTAGCGATGCCAGTTATACCCATCACAACATCAACTGCCGAAAATCGCCTGTCCTTGAATCTATCTGGTGTTGGAGAATTGTTACCCAGGATTGCAGAAGAAAAAGATTCACCAACAGGTAGCCAAGAAACTAAGATCGAAAAGGTCCTCAAAATTACCGAACCACCTTGCAAAAAACCTGCTCTTCAGAAGGTAGATACGTCAGGGGAATATGAAACCAAGAGTGTTTCAGAAACAGTCAAATTTTTTGATCGCGAGAGAAGGGCCAGAAACGAAACAAAACATGTACCGGAGCAAAGCAAAAGTCTTGATACAAAATGTTCCACTGAAGCCCCTAAAAAAAGTGTTCAGCAAAGTGATAAAACAACTGCCAGTGGAATGAAATCAACTAACGAATCAAGTACTACTGTTAAAAAAGAAGCTGTTAACGAAGTAAACATAAAAATCGATAAAAATGATGTTAAACTTTCGAATGAATTAGCTAACAAAGCGACTGATAAACAAAAGACAAAAAATGAATGCCCTGTTGATGCGAAGACTGTTCCAGAAACTACTCAGTATGTCAGTGATAAACAAAAAGCCGAGAAAGATAGAAAAGACAAAGATAAGAATGAAAAGAAAAAAGACAAAAGTTCAGCTGGTGTAACTTCTATTGTCGAAACCAAGGGCGACACTAAAAATAAGTAATTTTTTTCATATGACAGCAGCTTTTGAGGGAATAATCAGTCTTAGGAAATCAAAATTTTGTTAGATATTTTTCCTAACACTCTAGATGACATTGCTGATGTGTCTTGAATTAGAGCAATTTTAGACTGCATTAGAAGTAGATTACGTAGATAGCAGTTTGCTTTACTCCCAAAATTAGACAAAAACTATGATTCTTTGAATTAGTCTGTTTTGTCTTTTAGCGATTTTCGAAATATGATTTCAAGGGACGCCACTGAAAAACAGGTTTTCTTAAATAATTTGAACAATGAGATATTGTTAGTATTCAACTGCTCAGTTGCTATCTAAGATGATCGAATTTTCAGTGACGATAAACTAAACAGTATTTCGAAAATAGAAATGCCTTAGAATAATCCACTACTTGAATTTTCACCCCACGTTTTGAAAACCTAATGTAGAACACAAGTAGTTCATATTTTAGTCACTGACTCAGAAATTACTCTGATTATTCCCGAAAAAATGCTTCAGCGTGAAACGGACTGATATTGCAATGGCTGATTATGTGAAAATTGATGCTTGAACTATGTGGTTTATGCAGAATGCAACACGTTGAGTTTATTTTGTTTATTATTACGCTGTCTTCTCCAGTATTCTTTCGAGATTTTGGAGACTGGCACGTATCTTGAAAAGTGACATTGTCATTTTTTTATATTATATAGGTTTTTGTGACATTATGTATGTTTTTCTACAAGGTGTCAACTCAGAACTAGCTGTTGTGCACTGTTGTGTAGTACATAAACGTCATGATGCTTCAGCTATCAATGTTTGGCTCTGATGTGATGTAACATCTGCCTCAGAGATGGCATTATTGGAGGTCTAAAACGTCTGAACTATTTAAATGCACAAATTTCGTTGATGTGATCAACCTAAAATTTGACTTTTGGTTTCCAACATTCCGTGTATCCATTACTTTTGATAACAAAACTACGGAATACTGATCTTATTTTATTCTAAAATTGCTATAAAAATGTTTGTTATTCTCAGAATTTGTCTGACGGCTTGAGTTCAATGTGTACGAGAAAGAAGTATGTGTAGACACATATGTTAGAAAGAGATAGAAGCCGCCTACATAGCGAAACCCATCACCGCGTTGCCTAGCAACGCTGACGCGGCAATGCCGCAGCGTTGACAATATGTTGCACCGGTTCCTTCAATTAAGATGATTAAGATTCTTTACGCTCTCGCTAAATGTAACAGTAACTCAGAATATGTTGGTTTTATCGCCATTTGTGGAAATCAATGATAATTCTAAAATAAATTAAAACACTTAGTTGCATCAAAATTGAAATAAATAATTCTAATCAAAATAAAAATAAAATATTAAATTGAATGTTCGAATAGACCTCCTTCTTGGGTTTGACAGTAACCTAACCTATTGTAGCAGTCTGTGCGAACATTTTCTAGTGTAGCATACAAAGGTAGTATAAAAGTTTTGCAATACAGCTTTATTTATAGACTTCGTTCAAAACTTTGTATGCAAAGCGGCAGATTGCACCACCTTCTGCTCAACCATTGTTAGACAATGTGGTGATGACTGTCGCTCTTCAGCCTGCTTCTATCTCTTTCTAACATTTGTTGGTACACACTTCTCGCGTTTCTCTCTCGTACACGTTGAAATCAGGCCGTCATACAAATTTTGTTTTCTCTGTATATGATGTGTATTTATGCTACACGTGTTGCACTTTTTACGTGTTGTTTTTTGAAGAAGTCAATTGAAGCCGTATCTCAATTTGTTGTTCATAGTCGTAAGTTTATTTCTTATGGAAATTATCACTCTATAAACTGCGAGTTGGTATATCAGTTGATACTCGATACTAGAAGACTTAACAGCTTTTGGTTGCAGGTCTTTTCTTTCTAGTGCTTTTATAACTCATGGGATTAGGCAATTTTATGTTTTTCGGAACATGTCAAATTTGTAATAATAAAAATTTATATTTTACTCTAGAATGCTCCTTATTGGGGCTAGATCTGCCCGATTTATTATGAAAACAGTACTTTCATTCTTTTGAAGTTTGAAGTTTCCATCAGAAATATATAATTGTCCATGTGAAATTGGTTGAATGTCAAACGTCCTCATTTATTGCGGCGTGTAAGTTAAGAAATATGATATTGAATCAATCACAACACTGTTTGAGTATAATAGCATTGATTAACGTATTCTGCCTAAAGGATAGTCAACTATATACTGTAATTCAGCGTCCAAAAAATTATTCAAGGTGAAATGCAAAAGAAGTTGCAGAAAATTTCTCTTCGATGAATTGTAGTGTTTACTATATATTCCTTTTTATATTCTATATATTTTTTTGTTAAATCTGCCAAAAATGATTTGACCTTTTCCGTTAAATTATATCTTTTTATACATATTTTTTTTTGGCGCTTGTAATTATTTTTAATATTAACTTATATAAATTGGTTAAGAACTCCTCTGTTGTAATTTTGTTTGTTGGGCTAGTACTTTGATCAGCTTGTCTGTTTTTTACTGGTCCCTTTTGCAGGGAATTGATGTTGTTTCTTCATTTTTTCTTTGTATTTTTTATATATAAACGCTATCATTATTATTATTATTATTATATTCTGGCGTCCTGTATGAGAATTGGTCACAGCTATCGTTCTCCTCTCTGCAGTAACTAGGAATCTACTTTGAAGGGGTTATATGAGCATAATCGGCTATATTCAGGTAGAATATGATAATCACTAGTAATAGTCATCATCCCTTCCCACATTTTTAATATTGTTGTTGATGTATTTTTTGAAATCTTACAAAAGCCTCTTTATGTCAACGTGTCACCAATCTATAAGAAATTATATATTCATGTCTAAAAGTATTAAATGGTAATCTTATATATCTAAAGGGTGGTCCATATTGAATGTGCCAAAAATTAAGTCATGGATTGAACTAGTGAAATAATATTTAACCAAATAAGCCTCATTAATATGTTGCTAGCATGTAACAGTTTTTTTGTATTTCTCACTATTCTGAGATTCCCAACTTTCATGTTGATGTGAGATACAGTTTAAGCCAGAATTTCGAGAGTTAAACTTCACCACTCTTCATGTCATTAATGAGTATTATTTTATCAAGGCATATATTTATTATCACAATTTAATCCAATCCTTTTTGGCGCATTTATTATACCCTACCGTGTGTCTATTTTGCTCTTCTATTAAGTTACTTAAATTTCGATTGTGAAGAATTATTTTGAATTAATTTGTTCATATTTCAGACATTTTATGTGTAGTTTATTTTAAAATGGTGTTTTTTTACAGATATTGTAAACCTACAGTATAACTACTATATCTGTAGATCAAAAGCTTCTCATGCAATTTAACAGAATGTACTTATTTTCTTGCTATAAAGAAGTAACAATATTTGATTTAAAAGTCTGTAAATAAAATATTTGTTTTTAATGATTTGTTTCAATCCAAACCTCGTGCTTCCGGGCGTAAGGTTTCACTAATATTCTTTATTAAGATTTTGCTGGTGACGTGTATGGTGTCAGCCTACTAGATCCAGTATCAGGATAGTAGAGACAGTGAGAGGCAAGTATTCGACAACCAAATTTGTCGGACAACTTGTACTAGAAGCAAGCACATTTCTCACACCTCCTCGAGTTTCTGTGATACTGATAGCAAAGTTTCTCTCAGGGACACTAAGAGGTAGCTATTCGAGATCCAAATCACCCACACAACTTCTATCTAGAGCATGCCTACCTCTCGTGTTTCTGTGATCCTGATAGCAAAGTCTCCCCCAGAGGCAGTGAGAAGTAGATATTCGATATCTAAATTTCCCGCACAAATTTTATCAGGAGCACGCATACCTCCTCGTGTTTCTGCGATCCTGGTAGACAAGTTTCGCTCAGGGACAGTGAGAGGTCGTTCCAAATTTCCGGTACAACTTCTATCAGGAGCACATATACCTCATCGTGTTTCTGTGATCCTTATAGCAAAGTTTCGCACACAGACAGTGAGAGGTAGCTATTTGATATCAAAATTTCCCGCATAATTTAATATCAGGAGCACATATACCTCCTTGTTTTTCTCTTATCCTGATTGCGAAGTTACGTCCAGAGACAATAAGAGGCAGTCATTCGGCATCCAAATTTTCCACACAACTGTTATCAGGAGCATATATAGTCCTCGTGTTTCTGTGATCCTGATAGCAAAGTTTCGCCCAGAGACAGTGAGAGGTAGCTATTTGACTTACTAATTTGCCGCACAACTTATATCAACAGCACACATACCTCCTCGCGATTCTGTGATAATGATAGTAAATATCCAACCAGAGAATGAGAGGTAGCTATTCGGCATCCAAATTTCCCGCACAACTTGTATCAGGAGCACACACTTCCTCCTATCTCTGTTATCCTGATAGCAAAGTTTCGCCCAGAGGCAGTGAGAGGTAGCTATTCGACTTCCAAATTTCCGGTAGAACTTCTATCAGGAACGCACATACCTCCTCTCGTTTCTGTGACCCTGATAGCAAAATTTTACCCAGAGACAATGAGAGGTAGCTATTTGACATCAAAATTTTCTGCTTAACTTGTATCAGGAGCGCACATACCTCCTTTCGTTTCTGAGATCCTGATAGGAAAGTTCCACCGATATACAGTGAGAGGTAGCTATTCGCTATCTAAATTTCCCGTACAAATTGTATCAGAAGCACACATACCCCCTCGTGTTTCTGCGATCCTGGTAGAAAAGTTTCGCCCAGAGGCAGTGAGAGGTAGCTATTCGATTTCCAAATTTCCGGTACAACTTCTATCAGGAACGCACATACCTCCTCGCGTTTCTGTGACCCGGATAGCAAAGTTTTACCCAGAGACAATGAGAAGTATCTATTCGACATCCAAATTTCCCTAAAACTTGTATCCGGAGCCCATATACCTCCTCGTGTTTCTGTGATCCTGATAGCAAAGTTTCGCCCCCAGACAGTGAGGTGTAGCTGTTTGACATTCAAATTTCCCGCACAACTTGTATCAGGGGGACACCTCCTTGTGTTTCTGCGATCCCGATAGAAAGGTTTCTCCTAGGGACAGGGAGAGGTAGTTATTCGACATCCGAATTTCCGGCACAACTTCTATCAATGACATACATACATCCTCGCGTTTCTGTGATCCTGATAACAAAGTTTCGCACACAGACAGTGAGAGGTAGCTATTCGACTTCCAAATTTCCGGTACAACTTCTATCAGGAACGCACATACCTCCTCGCGTTTCTGTGACCCTGATAGCAAAGTTTTACCCAGAGACAATGAGAAGTATCTATTCGACATTCAAATTTCCCTAAAACTTGTATCCGGAGCCCATATACCTCCTCGTGTTTCTGTGATCCTGATAGCAGTTTCGCCCCCAGACAGTGAGGTGTAGCTGTTTGACATTCAAATTTCCCGCACAACTTGTATCAGGGGGACACCTCCTTGTGTTTCTGCGATCCCGATAGAAAGGTTTCTCCTAGGAACAGGGAGAGGTAGTTATTCGACATCCGAATTTCCGGCACAACTTCTATCAATGACATACATACATCCTCGCGTTTCTGTGATCCTGATAACAAAGTTTCGCACACAGACAGTGAGAGGTAGCTATTCGACTTCCAAATTTCCGGTACAACTTCTATCAGGAACGCACATACCTCCTTGCGTTTCTGTGACCCTGATAGCAAAGTTTTACCCAGAGACAATGAGAAGTATCTATTCGACATCCAAATTTCCCTAAAACTTGTATCCGGAGCCCATATGCCTCCTCGTGTTTCTGTGATCCTGATAGCAAAGTTTCGCCCCCAGACAGTGAGGTGTAGCTGTTTGACATTCAAATTTCCCGCACAACTTGTATCAGGGGGACACCTCCTTGTGTTTCTGCGATCCCGATAGAAAGGTTTCTCCTAGGGACAGGGAGGGGTAGTTATTCGACATCCGAATTTCCGGCACAACTTCTATCAATGACATACATACATCCTCGCGTTTCTGTGATCCTGGTAACAAAGTTTCGCACACAGACAGTGAGAGGTAGCTATTCGATTTCCAAATTTCCGGTACAACTTCTATCAGGAACGCACATACCTCCTCGCGTTTCTGTGACCCTGATAGCAAAGTTTTACCCAGAGACAATGAGAAGTATCTATTCGACATCAAAATTTCCCTAAAACTTGTATCCGGAGCCCATATACCTCCTCGTGTTTCTGTGATCCTGATAGCAAAGTTTCGCCCCCAGACAGTGAGGTGTTGCTGTTTGACATTCAAATTTCCCGCACAACTTGTATCAGGGGGACACCTCCTTGTGTTTCTGCGATCCCGATAGAAAGGTTTCTCCTAGGGACAGGGAGAGGTAGTTATTCGACATCCGAATTTCCGGCACAACTTCTATCAATGACATACATACATCCTCGCGTTTCTGTGATCCTGATAACAAAGTTTCGCACACAGACAGTGAGAGGTAGCTATTCGACTTCCAAATTTCCGGTACAACTTCTATCAGGAACGCACATACCTCCTTGCGTTTCTGTGACCCTGATAGCAAAGTTTTACCCAGAGACAATGAGAAGTATCTATTCGACATCCAAATTTCCCTAAAACTTGTATCCGGAGCCCATATACCTCCTCGTGTTTCTGTGATCCTGATAGCAAAGTTTCGCCCCCAGACAGTGAGGTGTAGCTGTTTGACATTCAAATTTCCCGCACAACTTGTATCAGGGGGACACCTCCTTGTGTTTCTGCGATCCCGATAGAAAGGTTTCTCCTAGGGACAGGGAGAGGTAGTTATTCGACATCCGAATTTCCGGCACAACTTCTATCAATGACATACATACATCCTCGCGTTTCTGTGATCCTGATAACAAAGTTTCGCACACAGACAGTGAGAGATAGCTATTCGACTTCCAAATTTCCGGTACAACTTCTATCAGGAACGCACATACCTCCTCGCGTTTCTGTGACCCTGATAGCAAAGTTTTACCCAGAGACAATGAGAAGTATCTATTCGACATTCAAATTTCCCTAAAACTTGTATCCGGAGCCCATATACCTCCTCGTGTTTCTGTGATCCTGATAGCAGTTTCGCCCCCAGACAGTGAGGTGTAGCTGTTTGACATTCAAATTTCCCGCACAACTTGTATCAGGGGGACACCTCCTTGTGTTTCTGCGATCCCGATAGAAATGTTTCTCCTAGGGACAGGGAGAGGTAGTTATTCGACATCCGAATTTCCGGCACAACTTCTATCAATGACATACATACATCCTCGCGTTTCTGTGATCCTGATAACAAAGTTTCGCACACAGACAGTGAGAGGTAGCTATTCGACTTCCAAATTTCCGGTACAACTTCTATCAGGAACGCACATACCTCCTTGCGTTTCTGTGACCCTGATAGCAAAGTTTTACCCAGAGACAATGAGAAGTATCTATTCGACATCCAAATTTCCCTAAAACTTGTATCCGGAGCCCATATACCTCCTCGTGTTTCTGTGATCCTGATAGCAAAGTTTCGCCCCCAGACAGTGAGGTGTAGCTGTTTGACATTCAAATTTCCCGCACAACTTGTATCAGGGGGACACCTCCGTGTGTTTCTGCGATCCCGATAGAAAGGTTTCTCCTAGGGACAGGGAGAGGTAGTTATTCGACATCCGAATTTCCGGCACAACTTCTATCAATGACATACATACATCCTCGCGTTTCTGTTATCCTGATAACAAAGTTTCGTACACAGACAGTGAGAGGTAGCTATTCGACTTCCAAATTTCCGGTACAACTTCTATCAGGAACGCACATACCTCCTCGCGTTTCTGTGACCCTGATAGCAAAGTTTTACCCACAGACAATGAGAAGTATCTATTCGACATCCAAATTTCCCTAAAACTTGTATCCGGAGCTCATATACCTCCTCGTGTTTCTGTGATCCTGATAGCAAAGTTTCGCCCCCAGACAGTGAGGTGTAGCTGTTTGACATTCAAATTTCCCGCACAACTTGTATCAGGAGGACACCTCCTTGTGTTTCTGCGATCCCGATAGAAAGGTTTCTCCTAGGGACAGGGAGAGGTAGTTATTCGACATCCAAATTTCCGGTACAACTTCTATCAGGAACGCACATACCTCCCCGCGTTTCTGTGACCCTGATAGCAAAGTTTTACCCAGAGACAATGAGAAGTATCTATTCGACATCCAAATTTCCCTAAAACTTGTATCCGGAGCCCATATACCTCCTCGTGTTTCTGTGATCCTGATAGCAAAGTTTCGCCCCCAGACAGTGAGGTGTAGCTGTTTGACATTCAAATTTCCCGCACAACTTGTATCAGGGGGACACCTCCTTGTGTTTCTGCGATCCCGATAGAAAGGTTTCTCCTAGGGACAGGGAGAGGTAGTTATTCGACATCCGAATTTCCGGCACAACTTCTATCAATGACATACATACATCCTCGCGTTTCTGTGATCCTGATAACAAAGTTTCGCACACAGACAGTGAGAGGTAGCTATTCGACTTCCAAATTTCCGGTACAACTTCTATCAGGAACGCACATACCTCCTCGCGTTTCTGTGACCCTGATAGCAAAGTTTTACCCAGAGACAATGAGAAGTATCTATTCGACATCCAAATTTCCCTAAAACTTGTATCCGGAGCCTATATACCTCCTCGTGTTTCTGTGATCCTGATAGCAAAGTTTCGCCCTCAGACAGTGAGATGTAGCTGTTTGACATTCAAATTTCCCGCACAACTTGTATCAGGGGGACACCTCCTTGTGTTTCTGCGATCCCGATAGAAAGGTTTCTCCTAGGGACAGTGAGAGGTAGTTATTCGACATCCGAATTTCCGGCACAACTTCTATCAATGACATACATACATCCTCGCGTTTCTGTGATCCTGATAAAGTTTCGCACACAGACAGTGAGAGGTAGCTATTCGACTTCCAAATTTCCGGTACAACTACTATCAGGAACGCACATACCTCCTCGCGTTTCTGTGACCCTGATAGCAAAGTTTTACCCAGAGACAATGAGAAGTATCTATTCGACATCCAAATTTCCCTAAAACTTGTATCCGGAGCCCATATACCTCCTCGTGTTTCTGTGATCCTGATAGCAAAGTTTCGCCCCCAGACAGTGGGGTGTAGCTGTTTGACATTCAAATTTCCCGCACAACTTGTATCAGGGGGACACCTCCTTGTGTTTCTGCGATCCCGATAGAAAGGTTTCTCCTAGGGACAGGGAGACGTAGTTATTCGACATCCGAATTTCCGGCACAACTTCTATCAATGACATACATACATCCTCGCGTTTCTGTGATCCTGATAACAAAGTTTCGCACACAGACAGTGAGAGGTAGCTATTCGACTTCCAAATTTCCGGTACAACTTCTATCAGGAACGCACATACCTCCTCGCGTTTCTGTGACCCTGATAGCAAAGTTTTACCCAGAGACAATGAGAAGTATCTATTCGACATCCAAATTTCCCTAAAACTTGTAGACGGAGCCCATATACCTCCTCGTGTTTCTGTGATCCTGATAGCAAAGTTTCGCCCCCAGACGGTGAGGTGTAGCTGTTTGACATTCAAATTTCCCGCGCAACTTGTATCAGGGGGGCACCTCCTTGTGTTTCTGCGATCCCGATAGAAAGGTTTCTCCTAGGGACAGTGAGAGGTAGTTATTCGACATCCGAATTTCCGGCACAACTTCTATCAATGACATACATACCTCCTCGCGTTTCTGTGATCCTGATAGCATAGTTCCACCCTGAGACAATCAGAAGTATCTATTCGACATCCAAATTTCCCTACAACTTGTATCCGGAACACATATACCTCCTCGTGTTTCTGTGATCCTGATAACAAAGTTTCGCACACAGACAGTGAGGTGTAGCTGTTTGACATTCAAATTTCCCGCACAACTTGTATCAGGGGGACACCTCCTAGTGTTTCTGCGATCCCGATAGAAAGGTTTCTCCTAGGGACAGTGAGAGGTAGTTATTCGACATCCGAATTTCCGGCACAACTTCTATCAATGACATACATACCTCCTCGCGTTTTTTTTTTTGACAAAAGCAAACTACGAAATTGCGGCTGCATAAAAAAAATTGACTCGCAGACGACAAACTATTCCGTGTTTACCCTATGGGCTCACGCCGCTTGATAAAGGTCCCCAAATGCCCCCACTCTTCAATTTCTCTCAATGGTAAAATAGGGCTCTAGATTTCGCTCTGGCCTGGAAGGCCTTAAGCCGCAGGCCCAGAGCTTCCTGTATTGCCAGGTGCTCCTAGACTAACACAGCCATGACGACAAAGATTGAAGAGTATTTACTGCTGTCGCATGTTAGGGTAACGCATAGGATACTGATTTGATTCCCCACAACTCTATAGAAGGAAAGGATTAGATTTTTCAGCCAATTCTACATCTTCAACATAGCTCATATTTTTGCGATCCTGATAATGAATTTTATACTGTTACTAATGCAGAAGCAACATGGCTACAAAAAATTCATCACAGGACCACAGAAAAAATCTTAGAGGGGAGGAGTTCTGATAAAAGACATATGAGATCAAATTATTTTATTGTGATATTTAGCGTACAAGTCAAAAATTGCTACGTGATAATTTATTTAGTCTATCTACAATTGATTTTTTCATTTCCTATGGTTATAAAGTTACAGAACAATGAAGTTGGTTGTTCCTAGGTGGAGATTTATTCTTGAAGAAAATAATTACATATTTACAAAAATAGGACAAATTCGCCGTTAGCCGAAATATCCTTATTTCTTTCTAACCATAAGAAATTTGACACCAAATATGTACATTTTCCATATAAATAAGTAGTTTAAAGATAGAAGTTAATATTAGATTAAATAAAAGACCATGATTACAGACTATTTGGTCTATATTTTCAACTATACACCCTTTTCAGGATTACTCAGATTTGGTTTCAATTAATTGGGTAACGTTCCACATTAAAGTAAGTACTATTTACTGTTAGTTCGGTTAAATTTCACCATTAAAATTCATCTTAAAGGAATAGACATCCATCACATCTTCTTACATCAAAACTTATTCCAGATCCTTATGTTTCTGTTGAAACCACCGCAAAACATATCAAGGTCGGCATGATTTGGCCCTTTTGAGCTTATTTGCAAAATATTTTAATTCTAGATGACAAAATATATTAAATTAATTCATCTATAATCCAAAACAATTCCTTATTTCGCTGGTAGAAATGCAAGAAGATTTGCGATGGACATCTTCATGGACAGTAGACCAAAATATAATACATCGGCCACAAGAGACTAGGTTATTTGAATAGTTTAATACCCTCGGTAAAAATACAAAATGCTCATTATGATTATACACTGATCGTATACGTCAGTTTTGCTGAAAGTCAGTCAGGTATCTGCAGATAAACAAGACCCTTCATACTGGATTCAGATCTTACAAGAAAAGAGCTCAGATAGGTTTTGGAATATTGAATACTTTATACTAGACCATAGACAAATTGATACAAAATATACATATAAGTATTTACAAGATATAAATAAAAGGATCAGGGTCCGTAAGAGGTTTTTGACTCCTTGACAAATTAACCATTACCATGCTCTTATGTGAAAATAATGAATAAAACTTGGACTTTCAAAAAACAATCAAGTTTTAAAATGAAAAGGAAAATGTTGACGGGAATTTTAAAACACACATGTTCTAAAATATTTAAGCGCAAAAAAATTTAATCACTATATTTTCAGGGTTGACAATCCCCTTATGGATCCTTAACTTTAATTTCAAGAATTTAAGTAGACAAAAATGACTAGATATTCATCTTTTTTTCTTTCAGTATCTGCAGATACAAGATATTCAAGGAATAGGCTTTAAGCTTTGGCATACAGCACTTGAAGCATATTTTCTGGTCATAACGAGCTTGATAAGCCAGCTAATAAAGGCAAAAAGTAAGATGCCATATCACCATATGTTATACACGTCGACATGGTAGTGAACGGACGGGTGTTCATATGGTGGTTTTTGGTCCTGAAAATAACTTAATTTCAGGTTAACCGTTTCAAATCTATAATAGAACACCGATATATTAAAATGCAAAAATTTCATAAATGCGATTTACTTAAAGTATGTTATTTTCAGGTCTAAAGAAGCTTACAGACCCTTATCCCAAAAGTTGACGTGTACAACATATCAAAAAATCGCACTTATTCCGGGGAGAGCCTTGCTAATTACTGGCTTATATATTACAAAGAGTTCCATAGGAACTATAAGAAAACTATGGAAATTACATTTATCCATAAATTCCCACAAATCACCCTGTTCCATACAAGATCAGAATCCTGGTTTTCGACAGAATCAATGAACTTTATATGGAGTTACTTTTTTATAGAAGGTGCAACAAAATGTATTCTCAAGATAAAACGATTTAAAGACAAAATGTTCAAACAAAATATAAAACATTTCTTAAAGTATTTCGAAACAAAAACGAGGAACAACTATAAATTTTGCTGAAACAATCATAGAACAGAATCAGAACACTCGAAATTCATAAAAAAATACCTAAAAGTATTAACAGCTCAGTGAGGGAATGCAAGCCACAGGATGTGATGATGTCAGACGTTGTGTATGACATATAGCTCTTAAGCTGTAATTAGTAATATTCTCGTATATTTTTTCATTTTAATAAATAGCTATAAGCTACTGTAGTCTGCTAAAGTCATGAACATGCAAAAGAGCTTTCAAGCAGTATGGTATAGCAACACTGTAGGATAAAAGGTACATGACTGGTCAAAGCCTGTCAGTGGAGGGTGTTTTTAGTATTAACCCATCACCATTTCCCCACTTGCGTTCTCTCGCTGGGCTAAGAATAGTTTAATCACTGAAATTTCTCACAATTCACGCTTAATGATACCAAAGGATACCAAACACACAACAGCCTACTATACCTACCTGAAAATTATGTTGAATTTTTAGGCGAAAATGACTTGGCAAACGCTGCAAAACGCCTGAAATATCAATTTTCAAATTTTCTTTAATGTTAATGGCTTCCTTACCAAAGTCAATTATATTTTTACAAAACGAATATCAGCCTCAACGTTCAGATGGACCTTGATAACAATAAGCTGCTGTGTGCTAGATATTCTGTAGTGATACTATCACCATGGAGTCACGTGGTGTGTAACTTAGACTTCTGTGGACTTGACAGCGTTGGTCTGTGCAGGTTTTTTGTTGAACAGTCCTCCAAACAAGCCTTGGTGTCCATGTGGAGCTACTGGCACTGGCTTTCCTCCCACAATAGTTTTCCCTGCAAGTTTATCTGATCGTGAACAAGTGCTTGCTGACGTTGATTGGAAAGAGACAGACATACCACTGTCCAGAGAGCCCACTGACCCACGGCGTTGCGCCTTCTCTCCTACAACTGAAACAACACTACAGGTTAGAAATATGTAATCAAATTTACAAACGCAGATAAGAGTATGATCTAACACTTTGTTAAGCCTAAAATTAAAGCTACTTATCGGGCAAAAAGACGATAGCGTGGCACGCTTTCGATCCCTCTTTCGGGACTCCTGCCTAGAGCTGAGAATGAAAAGTGAACTGGCGAAAGTCGTGGACAGTTCACAAGATCACGATTCAGTTTATTCCATTAAACTGGCGATTACAGGAGCTTCTGACAAATTGTTGAGATGTTTTGAGTTTAGATTTGAGTAGTATGTTAGCGAAGAGGTTTTAGTCACGTGAACAGATTGAAAATAAAAGAACAAGCAACGTTAAGGAGTGGATTCTTACATGAAGAAATTTGGGAGAGCCCAATTTGGCAGATGCTTAACTAAGAGATGATGTTGAATTTGATACGAACTCTGCAGTTTAGTTTGACTTTTCAAACGTGTTTGATATCGAGCGTGAGCGCTTGTAGACTAGTATTTATCCCAATAACGTCAAAGGCAAACTCACGACACCTCATCCAGATGAAGGCAATTCCACGAACGCGAGAATCCACGCTAGCGTGCCACGCTTAAATGTTAGAACCGTTGGTACTTTTTGATAATATATTTCTATCATCTATCAAAGCGTTAAACAAAACATGTAACTATTATAATAATAGTTAAATAATAAACTGTGTACAGGGTGACTCAAAATATAGCAATTTTTCCAGGACAGAAAACAAATCCAACACGTAAAGTTCTTATAAACATGGGTCCTTTTCGAGATTCAAGGTGGGGAATTTATAATTTCAAAATCAAGAAAATCTCCACAGTTGAAAAAGGTATCCGATACAGACTCGATTTTCAGTGACCCACATAAATCTCACAACTGTGATGTCGACTTTTTTGCTGGATCAAACTGTTTTCAAAGCCTTGATTCAACCTTGAAATGGCCATGAAGGTCATGGTCATGATCAAGGTCAAAATCATATTCGGATGTGCAATTTCCTCCTCTTTCCATTTCCGGTGTAAAATAGGATTTCCATTTGAACATATCTACTTGACCTTAGAAGTCATGGTCATAGTCAATGTCATCATCATTTTGCCCCATCGAAACCCTACAACCTTTATTTCAAACTTCTTCTGGGATGCGAAGTTTTAGAAATATCTATATCAGGTGATTAAAATGGGACACCTTTTATGATCCATATAAAAAACCTAAATCCTTTCTAGTTATACTATAACTATAATGAAGTTAGGGAAGTTCAACATAAAAAATTGGATGTAGTAACTAGAGTAGTAATTTGATCTCCCCAAAGAAGAATATCTATTGTTTTGTCATTAGTGAGTCTCAGCAGTGGCATATTTAGGACCTATGTTCATAGGGAATTTTTATGTTATCTGGTATTTGTATGACTTACATTGTTCATGTATATCTAGCAGCGAGTTGCTAAGCGCAGATCTCTTGATTTTGGTAGCATCGTGTTGAGCGTCTTCAGTGCAATTCTCATTGGCATTTGGTTGGTTTTGCATGCAAGGATATTGGCAAGGACACACTTCTACGTCGGCTACTCCACTATCTCTATTCTCAGTTCCTGTAAAAAGCAGATAACAATTTGAAAGTAATTACAATAGGAGAATAACAATTTGCTTCAACATATCAGAAATCTAGTATTGACGGTTTATTCAATCTGATATCTTGTCTGTGATCTATGCCCTACACTATCTTACCTGTTCTATTACCAGCTCTATTAGATTTCTGTCGTTCTAGTTCGGCTTCAATTCGAAGATTCTCCATTTCATCCATCTCGCTGATAGCTTCTTTCAAGTCCTCAGCAAACTTACACCTATCGTGTTCATTTCGTGCATTGAACGTTACTAATAACTTTGAATCTACTCGTTGACTTAGACGTATTCCGAATTGGTAGTCTGAAAACAAAAGCTTTGATTCACTTCTTGTTTAACGTGGATACATGAAGATGCCAACCATATAATTTGCGACGTGCACTTATAATTTCTATCGTCACAGCGATATTGCCAAGTAGAATCGCAGTAATTTCCTTAGAAGTAACAGAAACAGACTCGATCTTCTTTTTAAAGAAAATTGTTTGTCCTTAAACGTGATACCAAACCTTCCAAGGAAAAATCACCCCGATACAACCCTAGTAATTATACCTAAGACTACTCTGTTAAATATGCACATACAACTATTGGGACAGGATAAGACAGATGCCTTTGGTATAAACTTAAGTGCTTCGCTACCCAAAGTGGCAAAGTGCTGTAATGCACTTCCGTGGTGGTATGCATGACGAACAGCTGAGAGGTTTTTATGAGTATGCCATATTTGGAATATCTCACGCTTTAGGCGGGAATCGATAATAAAAGCAATCTATAGAACTTTTCTGCTTGAAAGGGGCTCTAAGATTTCCCATATTCAACAAAATTTTGTCAAGTGGGTTGACTGCACTTCCTACACTGTTCATAAAGGATTAAATTCAGTTCAAGTTAGGTCCTATTGAGACAGACCTTATATCCTGGATAGAGGATAGTTGCTATGCTTTCATTCATTGTCCTAAGCCTAGGCCACGTTGATAAGTTGTCAAAAAGCGCGAAACAGCTGTCCATGGTTGGCTGTCTTTGGTCGGACGGACAAAAGCAGCTTGTTTAAGTTAGACCCTCCGAGAAAAAAGTTAATTACGAACTATCTATCTATCGTAAGTTCAAGCGGCAAATGTTCGGGCAAATCCATGATGCGTGAAATATGTATAATAGGCGCGTAGAATTACCGAGGTCGGGAGCGCATAAATATCCTGACACCAACCTCTCTCCACCCTTTGCAACCCCCAATTTTTAACTCCTATATTTTTTTCTGAGCGTCTAAAACGACAAAAAAGTTTGAGCGATTTTTTTTTCATTTTTGGCCATTATCTCCGCTGCCACTGGACCGATTTCCAAAAACTACAAAGCTATTTCGTCCTTGGAATAGTAATAACCTTGTGTAAGCCAACAAAAAAGTGTGAAATGGTTTTATGTGATACACATGTCATATAATATACTTTTTCATCAGTAGGCGTAGGAAATAAAAAAAGTACAAAAATATAAATATAAATATTTGACTTACGCGGTGCTTCAAACAGGGTGACAACCATTCCACACAAGGGGTAACTATTTCTAAATGTATACGTCACTGACGATTTCTTCTTGCTCAGGATCTTGGTAATGACAAGTAGATCATTGAACAAAAACACTTCTCTCTGATGCACTCCAGGTCTCTCCTTCTTGTTAATATCCGGAATTTCGTACAGTCTGCAGTAACAAACTAATCTACGGTGTGGCAGTACCAGGTTTGGCTTCTTGCCTACAATGGTAGCTTGGACTTTCATCACTTGAGTGACGTGGTCTGAGCCTGGTTTGAATTCGTTCGCCTTGACTCGTTCGTAAATACCGACTAGCATGTCAGAATCGATGTCACCACAGTCATCAGTGCCTCTTAGATTCTTTATGAAGTCCTCAACTCTCATCCTTCGTTCTGGCTTGATGTTTGGCGTGTGGAGATCAGTGTTCAGCATTATGATGGCAAATGCTAACACGAAGATCTGCAAAAGGTGAAGATTCATTCAGTGGTGCCACAATAAGTTTCTTTTTACGGGTGAATATACGGTATTCGGGATTTCAATGTTCTGCTAAAAAAATCTTGAGCGAATCGACAAATGGTGGAAATAAACTATCCAAATAGTGTAAAATGTCATGGGAACATATGGTGAAATTAAGGTAACTGTTAAGATTTGGGTACAATATGCTTAAACATTAACAAAACGTATACGCCCCTGACGTGCTCCATTCCCGACTTTCACTACAAATATCAACAAATAATTGTATATGTGGCTGATAAAACAATATACGAAAGCTCTTTGTATTGCTAGATACACACTATGATATATTCTCATGAAAAGATACACCAAAATTTTGTATAAACGCATAGAAACAAGTTTTTAGTGGTTCCTGAAAATTGTGTCACCCTCACCTGAAGGAGTTAAAATTGCATAATTCCGCGACAACATGACAATTTCAGGATTCGACCTTGATCAAAGCTCGTTCATAAATGCGGTCGCAATCTTGGAGTTTACTTTGATGAGCACCTTACATTTCATGAACATGTAACATGTTCAATAATCATTTGCTAAATTGAAAACCTTTTTATAATTTCAGAAATGTCTTGTCTGAGAATTAAGATTAAGCTAACTCTCTTATACTGAGCAAGGTTGAATATGCTGAGTCCGTGTACGGTCCTTGCGACTCAAATGGACGCAAAAAAAGACAAAAAAGGTACAAAACTGTTGCATTAGGTTTATTCCCTGTCTAAGTAGATTTGAAATAACATCTTGTATTAGAAGTATTCGTTGGCTTACGATGAGACAAAGATGGACTTATCACCAGATCTGTTTGGTTCATTCGGTGTTACTAAGGAAACAATCATCTTACTTGCATGAAGAGCTATCTTTAAGAACTGACATCCATGATCTTAATCTGAGGTTTATGGGTCACACTTTGGATGATCCCAAACACAAAACAACAGCTTTTAAAAGCTCCTTTTCATATCTAGCATCTACTTGATAAAACCCCACCGATAAAATCATGTATCTTAGAGCATTCAAATGAATCTGATTCTAGATATTGATTTTTAGTTTTATTTGATTTTAAATGAATGTGACTATGTACGTGTTATGTTTGTGATTTTTATGTTCTGTCTATGTATCTATTAACCATTTTTTCGATGTGCTCAAGCTAATTTCATTCCATTTTACCTCATGCTAAATAGCCTTTCTTCCTTTTTCATTGGTAATACTGTGATTAAGTATGTATCTTTTGGAAATATTGTATACATGCAACCTTGGTCGTCATAAAAAAACAGCATTTGCCGAATGTCCGCCGGGTGAAAATAATATATCATTTTTTATTAACACGTCAGTTGCTCGAGTAGTGTCGGCAGATACCCTTTGGTCAGTGGTTTCAGTATTAACCTTGGTAAGTATATATTTGTGAACTTTATTAGTACATCACAGCAACTACGTAAAAAACAACAATTCTTCTATTTTTTCCGAGGTGATGTACGTGTTTGTCATTACCCAGGCCTCACTTTTCTGTCAGGTTTCATGTTGATTGTTTTTTCTACTCTTTTTTTATAGTTCTTTTTTTTCGTCACTTCTTTACAATAAAAAATAAAAAGAAAAGCAACGGCTACCACCCGCTATCAAAAAAATGTCTAGTTTCCAAACTCAACCGTTACCCTGAGTAACTGTGAGCTCTCAATCTATATGATCTAATGATGTTTATATCACGTTTAAGTTATATTTTACATAGTTTAAATGTCGCCCTCCATGACTACACATTTTCCCCTGGTACCTAAAAAAGCTGTTAAAATCGAAATTTAATCTGACCCTTAAGTATGTATCACATATCATATAGTCTTGTAACACAATAAATATGAAAACAAAATAAAGTATTTTTCTTAGTTGACACTGAAAACCCAAATACAGTATGTTCACCCATACAACATCATATAGGTATATTGGTGAAGCGGCATGTTTGTAAGAAATTTTCATGTTATCTTTAGTCACACTAGAACAACTATTGGTTTAGGAATTACCCATATCTTTTTTAAATTATACACCTTACGAGGGCGGTCCGATGAGTACTTAGACATTACTTGGCGATTTATTTCTCAACATAGTCTCATTTCAGCGCGATACACATAACCCAGCGATGCCCCGACTTGTTTAACCCGTCTAAAAATTTACTTGATTCAACAAAATGTGTACATACCGTATCTGGTGACCTGAGTCTAGCGACTATATCAACATTGCACTGACAGTATCTCTGTGAAAACACCTCGATCAGTCTTTCGATTTTCTGAGCCTCTCCAGGCATCCTGAAGTGCTGTTGGAATTTTCTGAGTGCCACGTCAACTTGCATGCCTGATAAATCGAGTTCTGTGGCGAAACATTCCAACACAGCCATACAAAACGGACTTTGGATTTGTCCTAAGTACTCGCCGATCATCTGCTTGCTCAGTCCTTTGCGGGAAATCAGGAACCTTGCCACACCTAACAATTCACAGTACATTATGAGAAAAATATGCATTTTCGAAGAGTGGGTATGAGTTTAAAACAGTGGATTTGAGAATATAAGAGTTATTGCACAATGTCCACAATTCAAAAGAATACAAACGAAACCAACTGTTAGCAAAAAAAGTTGGCTACCAATATGTTAGTAAGAGAAATTGAACGGATCAAGTCTTTACTTCTTTGTGGTGGTTGAAGATGCCCTATTTAGTGTTGCTTAATTATCTTATTTAATCGAACCATCAGGTATAGAAGCACAATCACTATTTATTCCCCACCATAATTCATCTTTACTCCAGTGCAGTTTCACCTACAATGCTGCTAGAATTTATAACAACATAGATGCTAACTCTAAAGTGATGTCCTTAAACTAATTTAGAAAAGATATAAAAGGTTTATGAGTCATAGTAATACACTATGTACAAACATTGCTTAAAGTTGATGTCTACCATTTGCCATATGCATTCTTTTTTCTATTTTTAGGAGTATAAAAATTTATAATTTGTACCAAGCTCTACCTTGCCATTCATGTTATGTGTTACCTTGGATTTTATATATATTTTTTATTTTGATCTTCTCATGCCATCGCATACTTTGTATAATACCTTTCTGCACTAGTGGTTAAGTGTAAGAACGACTGAGCTTCGCCATTACTTTTATATATATATATTATTATATAACATCCAAAACAATATATCGTTTTCGAAATTTTTCGCGAATAAAATACTTCCTCGCCTGTAGCGTAGGCAGTAAAATCGAAGGTTTCTGAGTCGACAATCTCAAATCATCTTATGACGTCATCAAATTGTCTGATTGGGTATGTTATGGTTACCTGACAAAACTGCATTCGACTTACCCTGTGGCGAATTATCCAAAAAGCCTCTTCTAATAAGATAAGAAATTCCTCTTTCAGGCTTTTTGTTGAACAGGTTTAGCCCTACGCGGTACTGCCGCTTTCTGATGGTCTCTGAGATTTTGTAACTTTGCGGTACTTGCTGGTCATTGGTACGTTCCACCAAAGTATAGGAAGAGAAGCTAGAATCTGAAATATTGCTCAGGCTTGTTTCCAGGGCAGGTTCGGCGTATTCTGATACATGGTTGCCTTTTCGCTTCCACACTGGCGAACTGTAACAATTTTTTCTAAATATACAAGATGATAATAAAGTGTCCTGTCAAAATTTAAAGGGTGATTTCTTGGGTCATTCTAAGACGCAAAATTCATATAAACATAAGTTCATATATCGTGTTAAAAAAAGAACAACAACAAAATCCAGACACCCCCAAGGACAAAAGGATCAGGCCCTGAGCATAACTCAAACTTGAAGATGATCACATTTATGAATTTTGATCAACATTTTTCTTTTTATTGTAGTGCGTAAGTATTTTTTAAAAGTCTAAGTTGCGCAATGTTGGTTCAACTTGGAGAAAAATTTACGAGCCTTGGGTTTTTAAATTACAATCAAGTACCACAATAAAATTTTTGGTGAAAGTTTAAAATGAATGTCATATTTTAATATAAAAACTACTTTAACGAAAATAGTCACATGGATTCATAAGAAAGCAGTTCGGATAGATTACTACTATATTGCACAGTTTTTCACAGGATATGGTTGTTTCAACAGCTACCTAAAGAGGGTCGAACAGAAGAAGTACGCAAACTGCATCTATTTCAAAAAAGAGCAGGATACTCCTGATCGTGTACTAGAAATGTAGTAAACAAAGACAGCGGGAATTGACGCTCGGCGAAAGGTTCACTGCTAACAATTTTGCCAGACATGTAAGCGAAATAAATGGGGTAACGTTCAACCAGTAGTGAGGCAAATAATGCTTAAGTAAGGTATATGATGATAAAATCGGACCAAGCAATTCATAATAGGCTTCTACTTGCTGGGTTGTACCATTGATTAATGATAATAATAATAATCGCATGAGGTGCTATTCCACATCTAACCCCGCAAAAGTAACTTAAAAAACGGATTATATAGAAAAAAAATGTGAAAATAGATGGATTGTCACAGTACAATGTAATATGCAGAGTGATGCCGATTCACTTATGAAAAAGAAGAAACATAATAGGTTAAAAAGAAGAAACATAATAGGTTATAAAGAACCGGAAAAATAACTGAGCCAAAATACAATGTATGAAAACGAAAGAACTTCTAAAACTAGCAGTTGTTCTGTTATTCTTGTAAACGTATTCCACGTGAAGATTACTAACCTAATGCTAAATTCGCCCGTCCAAAAAATTATGAGATAGAATAAGATATCGTAGCGTCAACTATGAGAATTTATCACAACTGTTTTTCTCTATTGACTATGTGAACTTTCATTATATATATATATATATATATATAAAGAGAATATGATCATGCGGAGAAAAGTATATAACAACAGGTAGGAAAATAATGGGTAAAATCCGCAAAAAGGAGGAAAGTGGATTCGAGCAGAAAATAGGATAGGTAACCCGAGCGATACGTATTTCTGCTGGTTGGCTTCATCAGGCCCGAAATGAATGCACATATGAAACTACAAAAGTAGATACACATGCCCACACATCCGGATACGGGTGTAACCTGATGAAACGAAGTTGGAGGGGAAAAAAACGACACACGAAGTCCACAACAAGAGCCAACCTACACATGCTCGAATCCACTTTCCTCCTTTTTGCGGATTTTACCCATTATTTTCCTACCTGTTGTTATATATATATATATATATATATATATATATATATATATATATATATATATATAGGTGAAAAATTAAAGCTTCCGCCTTTTGTTGGGTACTTCGACAAAATTTAAGCAAAGAGGACTCTTTATACTTTCTTTAATTCTCTCTAGCTTTTAATCTGTTTTTAACTTGTTCTTGTCATATTTTATATAATTTTGACCATTGTACAATCTATCCAGCTCTCACCATGTTACTGGACGTTTCCCTGATGATGATGGCAAAGTCCATTGAAAGCTAGAGAGAATTAAAAAAAGTATAAAGAGTCCTCTTTGCTTAAATTTTGTCGAAGTACCCAACAAAAGGCGGAAGCTTTAATTTTTCACCTAACTGGTCTAGACGACAATGACCACGTCTCAAGTTATATATATATATATATATATATATATATATATATATATATATATATATATATATATTGCATAGAGAACCAGCTGCGACAAACTCTCATGGCGTTAGGTTATCTCATTTTATCTCGGACAATTTTGTTGACGCCGGAATATAGCATTAGGTCGGCTATCTTCAGGTAAACAATGGTTGTACATATGCATAGGAACGCATGTATATGTACGACGGTGTAAATAGAAAGCTTTCCCCTGTTAAAAATACTGTATGTTATGTGGTGAAAATACGATGTAGGTTAGATGGTAGACGTCCAATTGAAAGCATAATCGATTGTTTGACCTTTGCATCAAACTAGCTTTTGGCAATATAATTATGTCGTTTTCAACTCATTATCACCTTGCCTGTGTGGGACTTTCCTAATAGGTCCGGTGTGCATTGACCTTCCATATCGACAGACAGTGTCACATGATTAGTTTGGGAGTAAAACAGAAAAAAACGTATTAAGATTATACCGTGTAGCAGCGGATCAACCGTGTTCTTTACTAAAAAAATAAATAAATAAAAAAGCTAAGAGTATGTCTTGAAAGCGTACAGTTTGCTTTGTAATGTTAAGGATCATTTATTATTTTAAAACGTGCAATTTCCAAAAACCTTGCTACATAAACTTGTTCTCCAGTCTATCTAATTTTATTCGCCTTGTCAGTCTCCTTTTGATGTACATCTTCTTTAACGATTTTGCACCAACCTATATAATCCTTACTAATATTATAAATTAGAAACGGTGGATGTTGGTTACTCAATCATACCAAAATGAATGAACGGATCTGGATGAAATTTGGTACAGAGATAGATTATAATAATAATAAGCGTTTATTACAAAACAGTTGAGCACCATTTACAGAGCAATCCATTTTAAAAAGAACGGAAATAAACATGAGGTATTTTATAAAAAAGCAATTACAAATTTCATAAATCAATATAAAAAAAATAACAGAAAGAGTGGTAAGGAACTCAAAAATAAGCACGCAGTTTGCACTTGAATTCGCCATAGGTTTTGAAAGCCCTTGTAAATAGTTTGATTAATATGTTCATTGAAAGTTAGTTCTTGATCGAAATAGATGCCTAAGCCTTTAACAGTTTCGTTACGCTCAAGAACACGTTCATCCATTGTATAATTGTATAACAAACCATCGGGTCCTAGAAAACGTTACTACTCCACATTTACTTATATAAAGACGAAGTTGATTCTTTTAGATAGAATGGGAATAAAGCCTTGAAAAAAATGGAATGTCTTTTTCAATTTTTTGCAGACAAAACCCCTCCACCCCAGTCCGCTTTTTAATTTCCAATAGTCGATAACTCCCGCTTTTCCGTATTGAGTCCCAGATACGCCCTTCCGGAGACGAGCTTCTTGCTGGACATAAATCCTGAGCACGCACACCCCAAAAAATTTCAAATTCATCAGTACACCTTCCAAATATCTTCTAGATCCTCCCCTGACGCCGCTTAAAGTTATCAGCATCACGCATATTGATCACATTTTGATTGGGCCATATATACGTTCAAAATTTCTACGCGAACGATATCGCGAGCAACAGCTAGTATAGTACAATTGACCCCTGTAATCAAAAAGTAGTATCTCACCTGGAGTATTCGCACTGGATCCGCTCAGTGGAAATGCTGCTATCACTGCCGGAACTCTGTACGCTAGAAAGAGAACCGTTTTCAGTTGTTTTCGTAAGTCCATTAGATTTACGTGGTTCCACCGACCTCGAGGAGATGCTGGAAGTCCTCTTGGGCACTTCGGGTGGTACCTTCCGGCTGGGCAGGCTGTTCCTCGCTCGCATGTACCCGTTAGACGAAGAAGGTGGGTTGCTATGTCCGCTGTGTGAACCTTGGATTCCGGCATCCAGCTTACTGTCAGCCGTAGAATAGTAATGTTGCAAGGAGGATGATGAACAGTTCTCCCAGCAGACGTTTGGGGTACCTGCAACAAAGAACACTGTGATAAACATTCGAGTGTTTTACAGGTTGAAAAAGTGCAATGCATAGTGGTCCAAAACATTGAAAAGCCGACAGAAAATACATTTTCTATCACATTTACACAATATTCCGTACAGCAGGGTTTTTTGGGTCTCTTTCTTTAAAGTCGGGGTAAGTTTATCGCTATGAGGGTATTTGAAGGTTATTGCAAGATCATTTCGAGAAAATAGACTGAGAACATGAGCCCGACGACATGTCATTTAGGTTTTCCAGAAGTCCAAAGCTGAGGTCAGTTAGTCACTATAAGCGTAGCGCCATCTATGAGAATTTGTCACAGCTATGTTCCTCCTTTCCGCAGTAATTCGGAATCTACTTTGAAAAGGTGGTGTTGTAAATAGCTATATATGAGCAGATAGTTACTACGCCATCTACGAGACACTAACCTTTTCAAAGTAGACTTCTTTCTAATTATCGCGGAGAGGAGAAACAGCTGTGACAAATTCTCATAGATCACGCTACGTTAATCAATTCCATAAGGCGTTAGAAGGCCATGTTAAGGTCACTACAAGGACGAATTCAAAATAAATCTAGCAATCGGGTCCAGGTACGTGTCATATGAGTTTTTGTGGTAGTTGAGTCTAAATGAGAGATAAACTTTCAATATCAGTCACAAAGAGGCTAGTTCAATAAAAGTTGACAAATCGATTGTGACCTGCTACCATAATATGACAGTATATAATGTCATATTTCCTGATTAGTTGATAAGAGTTAGGAAGAATGAACTAGATTGTATCTGTCAGTACTTCAAGGTTCACGGTCATCATAGTTAACATGAAAAAAACAGTAATCCCCACCATAGGTAAAACAATAATGACAGATTTCTCTAACATTAAATAAAAGTTCGTACCCATTATGATCCATATTAAGATGTTAATAAGAATAGTTAACACACGATACGATGGATGATACAGAATTTTGCTGTAAACAAGTAGTGTTGAATGATTCGTCGCAAACGTCAAGTTGGACAGTCTGTAATGCTAAAGGTAACCATAGCAAAGATTTGTTTCCAGCTTTAAAATAGATAACAAACATCATCCATTTTTGTTACTTTGATTTTACTTCCCATGCCTACAGGAGGGAAATCGCAAAAAAATCGAAAAACAAAATAGGATTCATGGAAAGGGAGGATTTTTAGTAGATCGGAGGTACTATCAATGAATGTATAGACCCATCCAAAGTCATAAACGCAATCGCTGAAATACAGATTTACTTTGTTAGTTCCAATATTAGATAGTGAAGTTAAGCTCTAAGTTTGACTGGAATATACCCGTGTACCGTATACAAAATGAAGATTGCTTCATATAATTCAGATAGCCAAATCATATACCTTCATCGGAGGTACTTGCTAAGGTTAAAGATATATACTTATACTTTATTGTTTTTGGTTCATTTTGTCGGTAAGCCAAGTACTCAAAAATCTTCCATTCTCAGAGAAATGTATAAACTGTCTAATCGCAAAATACTACGGTCATATGAGCTAGTCCAATAAGCTAGTCACATCTAAAACAAAGATTGCTAAAAAGTCAACGATTTGTAAAGAAGGTACTGAAAAATTCACTCCGAAACAAGGAAAACATATATTTAGGTAGTTAACAAGTTGATCCAAATATGATTTGATATTCACGAACACCTCTCACGGCATCTCATTACTTATGCACCCTTTAATACAACGCCGGTTTGACGTTCATCATTTATGAATGAGACTAGGGAAATAAGAGATGTATATTAAGGATCAAATTCGAGAGGCAACTGTGGCGTTTTCAAAATAATGCGTTGCACTCTAAAAAAAAGTAGCATTTTGTTGTTTTTTCCATATTTTCGGAGCAACCATACTTGGATGAAACCTGGATAAATGCAGGTCACACAAAACCTAAAGTATGGGCTGACTCTAGAATTAAATCAGCAAGTCAAGCCTTCTTAGATGGACTAACCACTGGCCTAAAGAATCCGTCAGGTACGTGTATCTAACCAATTCGTCATTTATGTTGTAAAATGGTGTCAAGTAGGCTGAATCTATGAGCCCACGCTGAAAACTTAGCTACACTAAACTTAGCTATATCTGGTAGATTTGGAACCAACACCTGTTAGATACTCTGCTTGTATTATTATTAGTTTTCTTGAATACTATATGAAATGACTATTTCCAGGAAAAGGAAAACGATTTGTTATCTGTCACATTGGCAGTGAAGATAGCTTTGTGCCGACTGCCGTATGGGCATTTGAGACAAAGAAAACGACCGACTACCATGAAGAAATGGACGGGAGTTCATTGAAAACTAGAAAAAATTCCCACAATGTCCACAAGAAAGCCAGAAATTCAACAATGGCTCCTATCAAAAGACATTAGTTTCAATGAAAATAAGGTCAAAGCAGCATCTAGTCAGGCAGCACAAATATAAATATAATCTTAATGTTATTGACTAAAGGGCTAAAAACCAAAGTAAGACCGGTTTAAGGCTACCCCCATATCACTGCGAATTAAATCCGATTGAAATGATTTGGACAAATATAAAAAACTATGTGGCTTCGAACAATAGAACATTTACATTTTCTGACTTGAAAAATTTGTTTTATGAAGCTGTCAACAGAGTGATGGCAAACCATTGGAAAGATTGCATCCGTCACGTTCAAGAGACAATCGAAACAAAGATGTGGGATCTGGACAATATGATCAATATTCAAATTAAACTTGTAATAATTAATATTAATAATTCGGACGATCATTCAAGTACTTCCAGCGAATAACGAATTGTGACAAGTGTGTGCACTTCTTTCTATAAAAAAAATCATTTATTTTTTTAGATTATTCCAAGACTATTGAGGAAAATTCGGACCTGTACAATCCCGCTTCTGAGCATGTTGTGTTTTGTCTGGGCATAACTGGACTTCGAATGGGGTATAGTACTGTTTTAGTTTTATCTAACGAAGCCTTGATAATATTTGATAAAGGCTGATTATTGCATCTTAATAATAATAAAAAAAACGTTTATTGAGCAAAAACTCAAAAGGAAGAGGGTATTGTATAAATATTTTTCAGCCCTTCCGTATAAATTATCTATTACATAGAGTTTTTTCTTTAATAAACTGCTATTATTATATATTATAATATTAATCAATAAAGACTGAGTTTGGTTTTTCTTGGAGACACACTAATATTTTACCTCCCATATCATACTCCTCAGTTGGAATTTTCGGTTTCGGCCGAAACCATAATTGGACCGAAATTTCGGTTTCACCTGAAATACTAGTTTCGGTCGGACACTACCTATTACATTTTCGATAAAAATTAACCAACACCAAAAAATGTCTGTTCGTATAATGCCGTAGTCCAAAAGCGTTTGTACCGCGGTGTGTCGACGTTGCTCGTCCAGCAAAGAACATGGCACCACTAGCAAAATCACGTTACGATCATCAAAGAGTAGTTATATCAAGTAAAGATAATTCTTGGAATGTCGTTATAATTCGCCGGTCGGCTCTATTGACCTTGGGTTTCTTTTGCATTATAATGGGGAAGCTGACCGCAAATTTTTTGTTACATCATTGCGTACTGATATTATTCGATAAAAACTAGTCAAATTTTTATACTAAACAGCAAATTTTCCGAGTTTTCAACATACCGTCAGTACCCGATGTAGCCCAAACTTTTCAGACGGCTCTTGGACTAATACTGGCTTACAAAAAAAAGGAACTATGAGCGGACCGTACTTGGTTTGGTGAATGGCTCATAGATGGCTCGACACTCTTCCAAGGATAGGTGACTCTCCATGTACTGAAGCGGTGTCGCCAGACTGACAACGTTTTGACATTCATACTGAGCTGGATGGAGTTAGTTCTTTTGATCGTTTTTGCTGGCTACGTCAAAAAGTCATTCCAAATAAATGAACAAATTTGGTGTATTTTTTAATTCACCGGTTGAGCAACCGGTGCCACCGGTGGACCAGACATCCGTCCTTTTAATTCAACCGGTTGCTGCCGTCACCATACAAAGCTGTCAACAGTGTCAACCATAAGCACCGCATCCATCAGTGGTGGAATCAACCGGCGAATTAAAGAATTCACCTTATCGTCTTAAGGCCAGGCTGTCTAGACAGCCATGTCAAATACACCGAGGATTGGTCAAATAAGCAATCTGAGGTTAGAAAACAATGAATTTCTAGTTACTAAAGCAAATTGTGTAACATTCCGCATATGCTCCTAAGAGTTAAATAGCTATGTGATAATTTACAGGTTTTGAGAATAACTTCTGTTTACGTGACAAGGAAAGTTTTCGTAAGAAGTGTTTTATAACTTATTGAATGTGAATATATTTCGTAGGCTGCAAACAACAGTAAATTTGAACGAAAAATACTTTGAAAAATGATTATCTACAGTAGCAGACAAAGGTTTGGAAAATATATATATATACCTGAATTAAAATTGTGAAGGAACAGATAATGTAATATATTAAAGTCTACATTTTTCTCCCGTACTAATACAAGGTTCATCTTATCAATATTCAGATTCTCTGAAAATAGACACAACAAAAGTATGGAAACATTTTTTAGTTTTGCCGTATTTATTCGTTCTGCAATGGCGTGCGGTAAATATTAACATCGGTGAGAATGATAAAAGTAAAAGAATTTTCGGATAGACAAGACAAAGTAATTGAATTATTTAGAAGTGGTGTCAGAAATGATGATATTTCTCGAAGATTAAAAATGAACAAAGCGACGATTTCGAAAATTATTAGTGAATATCAAGAATACGGATCAACAACAACGCAGCCCAGGTGCGGAAAACTGAAAAAAAAAAACAGATAATGTTTTGGATCGCTACGTTTGTTCCATGAAGATCTTCGAATGCCAGCCACACAGATTTTCAAAAGAATCGTAGAAGAGGGCGCCGAGAATCTTTCTGTCAGAACAGTGCAGAGGCGCTTGGTGGATTTTGGGCTTTTTGGTAGGCGTCCAGTGCAAAAGCATCTCATTTGAAAAAAAATCGCTAGGCTTGAATTTGCTAAAATTCATCTAACTTGGACAGAACAACAATGGAATACAGTTTTATGCGATGAAAGAAAATTTAACTTGTTTACGAACAAGATTCGACAAAAACTATCAGTTGCCAACAGTTAAGCACGGTGGAGGCAACATCACGGTTTGGGGCTGTTTTTCTAGTTCTGGAACGGGTCCAATTGATAAAATTATCGGGAAAATGGATCCAGAAGTTTACAAAGATATACTTAGTGAACACATGCTCCCTTTTGCTGAAAAAGAAATGCCTTTACGATGGACATGCCAGCAAGATAATGACCCCAACCATACTTCAAAATTCGGAAAGGACTGGTTAAGACTAAAAAATGTTAATGTTCTTACGTGGCCTTCGCAGTCCCCAGACCTAAACCCTATCTCATTTTTGGTCATAAAATAATATGAAGGTATTTTAATGCTAGTCTGTAGTACCACAGCAAACACAAATCGTCATTTGTATCCTCAAGACTGTAAGCAAACTATATAAGAAGAAAATAGTCCTTAATAATAAAGAATAAAAAATTAGCGGAAATTACTAAGAATGTTTCCAAACTTTTGTCCGCTACTGTATCTGGCAACACGGCATTTCTCTAATTGTCTGTCTTCTCTTAGTATAACTACTCTTTGATCCAGTATAGTGAACAACGACTTTCAAAAGCGTCAAAACATACCGGATTGACTCCTAGGAATCGACATATTGTCAATGTGCCTCCGTTCCCTCAAAGAGATGGACCTGACAGGCAGTGCCCTCAGTGAGCTGCACCTGTGGGCCTGAAACTCCCTGGAATACTCTGGACATTGCTGTTCTGAGCTTCCAGTTGCCTTATTCTCTTCGTTAGGAGCTGGCAACCTCCTGCTGATTCTCTTCTCTGCTTTCGCCATTGCAGTGATGGCCGCAAACTTTTTAAGCAGAGTGTACCTCCTGAAGGCCCTTTGGATAGTAAGGGCGGCCATACGTGCTCGGTCACCGCCATATTTGCGCTCCAGGAGTTCAATTTGCTTGTCCAGAATGTCTTGGGATAATTCGTACCTGCAACAAGTAAGCTCAGATTAAAAAATTGGCATTAACCCGTTAATAAAAATAAAAATTCAACGAATCAAGCCAGTCAAACATGCCCATATAATTATTCTAAAAAAAATTCCCTGTTCTACTGATTGTGCGCTAATCATGCGGCAAGTTTCTATGATTCGCCTTGCGTTGTTGCGCACAGTTAGTACGAAACGCGAATCTAGCTGTTCAAAAGTCCATAAATGTACATTTTTCAATGATAATCTGAATTGTCTTTAGAGATCATTCGAATGACAGTTAAGTGGATTTTTATGAATTAAAATTACCTTTTTAACAATGGATAGTATTGTGAATATCCAAGTATGTATTTTCCCGAAAACGTCCATGAGACTGGTTTATCATGGCAGGTATGTAATTTAATGTAATTCCCTTTTATCAAATTTAATGAAACCAGGAGAGCAACAGCTTCTTCGGGGCTATAATACGTAGGTTAATTTGTATTCAAACGTTTGTGGTTTGTTGACCTTGGTGATTCTTCATTATTTCTACTAAAAAACGGTGTTCTGCAACGGCTGTGATGTGAACTGTTTAAACTGTGCATCTGTTAAACCATTTTTTTCTCCTGTTTCATATTACTTTGCTTTGTTGGTTTGAACTTTCCTATTTGAGTATTGTCAATATTTCATCTTTCCACTTTGCCTACTTAGTTTTCTTTTTCTTATTATTTTGTTCTTCGTGAATCGAGTTTATCTTTGTTACTTTCTCTCACACAGTGAGGAGCACCTTTTGGGTAAACTTCGTCTCACTAATGTATATTAGTAAAGACATTATTATTAATATTATTACTATCCTGCCTAAAACATCCCATAATTCTGTCAAGCATTTAGGGGAAACTTTGGGAACTGAATTTGAAAAAAACTCTAGAAAGGTAAGTACCATGGTGGGGTCAAATTTGACCCTCCACGTTTTGTATGCCAAGTTTCGCTGCCAAAATATACTAAGTGACATATAAATCCGAACACCCAGTTTAAATGGTTTTATTTTAATAAAATTTTGTATAAGTACTGCATAATAAGTAAATGATAAAAATTTCAAAATGATTGCACTGCTTTAAAGCCCTTTGACCTTTAATAATGTGTGGATGCACCCTGATGTGCTACGCATTCTCCAACGCGCCTAGGCATGCTTCTGATCAGGTGGTCAATGTCCTCCTGTGGTATCTCATTCCAGGCAACCACCAACTTCTCTCGAAGTGCTTCTCGAGTCTGAGGAGGACGTTGCAAATTGAGCAATCTCCTACCCATCATATCCCACACGTGCTCAATTGGGGATAAGTCGGGAGATCTTGGTGGCCATGGTAACAATGTGACATCATTATGTTGAAAGAAGTCTATTGTGACTCTTGCAACATGTGGTCGGGCATTATCTTGTTGGAAAGTTGGATCTGCCAGGGTGTCAAGATAGGGTACAAGATGGGGTTCTAGAACTTCGTGGATATAACGCTGCGCGTTCATGTTACCTCTGATGAAGATTAAAGGTGACCTGGAACCATAAGCTATAGCACCCCAAACCATAACTCCAACAGTGTGATGAACATGTCTGTCAACAAAAAACTGTCGATTCCTCCTTTCACCACGTCGCCTTCTAGAACTGGCACGACCATCGTGTATGCCTAAACAAAATCGAGACTCGTCACTAAAGACAATACTGTTCCATTCCTGATCCCAGAGTGACCGTTGTCTGCACCACTCAAGGCGATTACGTCGGTGTTCTCGAGTTAAAGGGAGGACCCAGTCTGGCCGGTATGAAAACAAGCCAAAACTTCTCATTCGTCGGTAAACACTTCGCATGCCAATAGGTCTTCCGTGTTCTGCAAACCATTCATTTGCAATGGACCTGGTAGTGGAGAAACGGTCCCTTAAGGCCAATAATCTTAGGCGGCGATCTTCACGGTCTGTTGTTCTACGGCGGCGTCCAGTGCCCCTTGCTCTTTGCGTACGGCCTTCTCGAAGCCATGCCTGACAACACCTAACCAGTGTCTACACTTCTTTGCACTCTAACTGAAATTGCCCGAAAAGAAAGTCCAGCTTCCCGAAGTCCCACTATACGGCGCCTATCAAACTCACTAAGTTGACGAAATCGTACAGGTCTCCGTACTCTAGGCATCGTAACCGATCGCAAAGGATATCAAGAACCAAAATCCGCCAACGTTGATTCTTTACTGCGGCTGAAATATTCATTTTTATAGCGTTAGTGAATTAAAAAAGCAGTATAAAAACCGGAATGTCCAACTGATAAGGCTGAAAATTTTTTCACTTGTCATTTACAGTAAGATAAATACATTCACCAACTTTTATTAAAATAAAACCATTTAAACTGGGTGTTCGGATTTATATGTCACTTAGTACGAGTATATTATTATTACGCGTTCTGCTAATCTTCGACCGGTAGGTGATCTATCGATCCATAAAAATTCCATTAATTTATCTGTTACCACTGCAGAGTTAGGCACGTGTAGGGTCAAATTTGACCCGTTTATGGTATAAGTATTTCTAGTGCGAGTAGCGAGTAATTTGAAATGGCGAGGTGTAGTGGCAATACACGCGCTCTGAGACAGAAAGAACTTGAAGCGGACGCGAAAAAAAAAATATTTCTAACCACTTTAGGTCAAGAACTTATTAAGGACCATTTGACTCGTAGAGCTCAGCATGTTTACCGAGAGAACTTCGTAGTGTCATTTTTAAAGTTTCCGGACTTCAGGAACCAGTGGAGGGGAAGGTGTAAAATATGTCCATATTCTAAAATTCAAAAGAAAGAAAGCTCATCGTTGCGACAAATGTAGAAAATTTATTTGCCAAAATCATGCCCGCACTAGGACGTTATGCATAAGTTGTGGTGAAAAGTAAGGTCAAAAACATGCTTGTCATTTTTTAGATACGAAATCTAAATAATTTTTTTTTATTTTAGGTAGCAGCTATGATACCTAAAATTCACCACTGAATACAAGAAAACTGAAAATTTTTATAATTTTTCTTATAATTTGAGAAAGTGCACATATTTGTTGATTTCACCGGATACCGAAGTTTTTTTTAATAAAGTTATAACTAACAATATTCGTTTTATTTTATAAAATTGTAAAACTAGTTGAAAACAAAATAACATAAAAACAAGGTATGAAATTAGAATTTTTATGTGAAAAAAACAATGGGGTCAAATTTGACCTTGCCATGGTATAAATGTTACTGTTTTTGGCCATGGTAGTTAAGGGTTAAGGACGCAAAACTGTCTCAATTTCCAGGTTCCATTAGGTTCCATAGAAATGGCAGTCCATAAATGGATTCTAAAACCACCCTATGCAAATAGGCGAAATGGAAAAATCTATGTACATACCTCCGTCGAAGATTTCCATTTGGAAAAAGTTTAATAAAAATGGAAAAAAATCGGGGTAAAAGATGTCAGAACTTATTTTCACTGGCATCCGCAATAATTGAATGACTCGTGATCATTATCGAAATTGGTTTTAAAATAATATTTGTTTACTTAGATGACACAAAGCGCACTTATCGAGTTCAATCGTTCGCGTCTTGACACAAACTGCATGGCACGGCAGATGGGCGACACTCATCGAAGAGACCATAGCGCAGCGCAAAGATAGCCAGTGACCAACGACGAGCATCTTCCTTATTCTGAGTTTTGGGGCAAATGTAGGAGGAAATTTCTGATGTGTGAAATATGTTTAATAGGTGCGTAGAACTACCGGGGTTAGAGTATAGAGCCATATACCCTATTTCACGAGTATCCATGACGCTTTGACGTCTACTGAGGTGAACAGCTGATCAGCAAGTGACATTTTTGTCTTAGTCTGAAACGTTTGCAATAATGGATCGGGTATAAATACAGGGTGACTTCGAAGTTGAGTCATTTATTTTAACAGTGAGTAGATCTGATCAAAAGAAATGTTTTTTCCTTTACCATTTTTCTGGTAAAATTAAAGTAACAAAGTTATAGCCCTTTGGAAGTTTGAGTACCGCCCTGTCTCAATAATAATATTATGTGCTCGTGTTTGGCGACAACGGATATAATCCGCCGTATCGGTTCATCGCGTCGGAAACAAAAAAGCGAAAGAATTTGGAACGATGTTTTTACAATTATTTTATTCATTTGTATACAGTCAGTGTTAGTGAATAGTGTGTTGCGTGGCTCAAACGAAATAAAAAATGGCACATGTTTATGCGGATCGGTTTCCCAATCGAGTGCAACCAACCCCTCGTGCCTTTGTTAATGTAGTACAACAGGCTCGTGAATCAGGTCAGACCTCACAGGGGACCTCACGATCAAATACAGGTCCGCACTGAAATACTTGTCGGGAGGATACTTTATAAAACAAGGTATTTTTTTTTTTAATTTTACACACATATTTTGGTTTATCTTCCTTCTACAATCATTATCTGAAAATTAATGACTCAACTTCAAACCCTGTATAGTAAAACTGGTTAGTGGCGTTTTGTTTTTTCTATGCAAATAAACTTTTTTAAATAAAAGAGGTGCTAGCAAGTACAAAATGAATCTGTAGCGTACAAAAAAACAAAACAAAATTCTACCTGGCGTTGACGGATACGTCAGAATTATGTGTCCTGTGCTGATATGGGGAATTTTGGGGTATTACTAGATAATCAGCTGTCATTTTGCCGTGATGGATACTCGTGAAATAAGGTATACTATCGCCATAAAATTGAGATTACTATCACAATAATAATTATATTAATTTTAGAATTCCGCGCGAGGGTCGAAATTCTGAACTGGCGTATTGTGTGTTGTCTGTAAGGTGTATTGGGTCACTGTAGTAGTAGTGAAGAGGGAAATTTCAGTGCGTATGTATACAGGGTGACTTTGAAGCTGAGTCATTAATTTTCAGATAATGATTGTAGAGGGAAGATAAACCAAAATATGTGTGTAAAAATAAAAAAAAAATTAAAAAAAAATGTTACCTTGTTTTATAAAGTATCCTCCCAACAAGTATTTCAGTGCGGACCTGTATTTGATCGTTCGGTCTTGGAGCACCGGCATGCCCTCCCCTGTGAGGTCTTAAGTCACCTGATTCACGAGCCCTTTGTACTACATTAACAAAGGCACGGGGGGTTGGTTGCACTCGATTGGGAAACCGATCCGCATAAATTCGTGATGCCGTGGCAGCATTTTGTAAAGACTCCCCCCCGTAAATAAGAGTCATGTCCACAAGTTCAGCATTTTCGTAAACATGTGCCATTTTTTATTTCGTTTGAGCCACACAACAAACACCACTATTCACTCACGCGTTACCGACTGACACACTGACTGACATCGTGATAAACGTTTCAAATTCTTTCGCTTTTTTGTTTCCGATGCGATGAAACGATAAGGCGGATTATATCCGTTGTTGCCAAACGCGAGCACATAATATCATTATTGAGACAGGGCGGTACTCAAACTTCTAAAGGGCTATAACTTTGTTACTTTAATTTTACCAGAAAAATGTTATAGGAAAAAACATTTCTTTTGATCAGATCTACTCACTGTTAAAATAAATGACTCAACTTCGGAGTCACCCTGTATAAGGTTACATTAACTCTTGCGAACCGCCATTAGTGGAGTTTTCTTATAGAAATTGATAAAAAGTAAGTAAAAAACACGGAATTGTTTCATATTTGTCATAAACATATTATAAGAGAGTCTGCAGCATATAGTTTCCATGGAATGTTGTAAACCTGTTGAATTTTCAGTTATTAAGTTGACGTATTGTTTGGAGTACCTTATTTGTACCACCGCCCCTCAATAGATGTTTCTCTTTTCAGGGAGTCAAAATGGATTCGGTACTGTTGCGTCCTGTAGAACTTCTGACTTCACTGTTTTTTCACTTGAAACTTCTAGAGGGTAGTTTGATAGATTATTTTAAATAAAAAAAAGTGTAGATGAAGCACGCTTTTCATGCATTTTTTCCCAAAACACGTATTTTTAGCAGTTATTTCTACCATTATTTACACCGCTATCTGCCATATGACGACGTTGACGTCTGTACATATGTCATATATGAGAGGCGCTTGCCTGCGGTGTTGCCGGATTAGGCTCAGCATTTAGGGAAAATGAAAAGTGCAAAATCTATATACATTTATATTAATCAATGAAACACAAAAAGGAAAAACTGAAACAAACAACAATAGCAAAATAAAAAGCGGTTCTTAATAAGTATAAAACAAAAAATAACAGTAGTACGCTGAAACGCATTAAATTGTAAATAATTATAAAAAACTAAAAATAAAAACAGTGGTAAAGCAAAAAAAAACAATAGCATGTAATTATAAAAAATAAAAAATAACAAACATTAAAATAAAAAGCTATAGTGATAACAAAAAACAGTAGTAAAATGAAAAACAATTCCATGTAATTATAAAAAAATTGCTTTTATTTTACTGTTTGTTATTTGTTTTTTATAATCACATGGAATAGTTTTTTTTGTTTTACTACTGTTTTTATTTTTTATAAGTATTGACAATTTATTGTTTTTTAGCTTACTATCGTTATTTTTTGTTTTATACTTATTAAGAATCGCTTTTTATTTTGTTACTGTTGTTTGTTTCAGTTTTTCGTTTTTGTGTTTCATTAATTAATATATACTAAGTGACATATAAATCCGAACACCCAGTTTAAATGGTTTTATTTTAATAAAAGTTGGTGAATGTATTTATCTTACTGTAAATAACAAGTGAAAAAATTTTCAGCCTTATCAGTTGGACATTCCGGTTTTTATACCGCTTTTTTTTAATTCACTAACGCTCTAAAAATGAATATTTCAGCCGCAGTAAAGAATCAACGTTGGCGGATTTTGGTTCTTGACATCCTTCACGATCGGTTACGATGCCTAGAGTACGGAGACCTGTACGATTTCGTCAACTTAGTGAGTTTGATAGGGGCTGTATAGTGGGACTTCGGGAAGCTGGACTTTCTTTTCGGGCAATTGCAGTTAGAGTGCAAAGAAGTGTGTGGTTAGGTGTTGTCAGGCATGGCTTCGAGAAGGCCGTACGCAAAGAGCAAGGGGCACTGGACGCCGCCGTAGAACAACAGACCGTGAAGATCGCCGCCTAAGATTATTGGCCTTAAGGGACCGTTTCTCCACTACCAGGTCCATTGCAAATGAATGGTTTTCAGAACACTGAAGACCTATTGGCATGCGAAGTGTTTACCGACGAATGAGAAGTTTTGGCTTGTTTTCATACCGGCCACACTGGGTCCTCCCTTTAACTCGAGAACACCGACGTAATCGCCTTGAGTGGTGCAGACAACGGTCACTCTGGGATCAGGAATGGAACAGTATTGTCTTTAGTGACGAGTCTCGATTTTGTTTAGGCATGCACGATGGTCGTGCCAGGGTTAGAAGGCGACGTGGTGAAAGGAGGAATCCACAGTTTTTTGTTGAAAGACATGTTCATCACACTGTTGGAGTTATGGTTTGGGGTGCTATAGCTTATGGTTCCAGGTCACCTTTAATCTTCATCAGAGGTAACATGAACGCGCAGCGCTATATCCACGAAGTTCTAGAACCCCATCTTTTACCCAGTCTTGACACCCTGGCAGATCCAACTTTCCAACAAGATAATGCCCGACCACATGTTGCAAGAGTCACAATAGACTTCTTGCAACATAATGATGTCACATTGTTACCATGGCCACCAAGATCTTCCGACTTATCCCCAATTGAGCACGTGTGGGATATGATGGGTAGGAGATTGCTCAATTTGCAACGTCCTCCTTAGACTCTAAAAGCACTTCGAGAGGAGTTGGTGGTTGCCTGGAATGAGATACCACAGGAGGACATTGACCACCTGATCAGAAGCATGCCTAGGCGCGTTGGAAAATGCGTAGCACATCAGGGTGCATCCACACATTATTAAAGGTCAAAGGGCTTTAAAGCAGTGCAATCATTTTGAAATTTTTATCATTTACTTATTATGCTTCATTAAGTAGGTACTTATACAAAATTTTATTAAAATAAAACCATTTAAACTGGGTGTTCGGATTTATATGTGTTTAGTATATTTCACTTTGTCTGAGTTTGTAAATAAATTTAAGGCTATTACAAATTTTCTTCAACTGAAGAGGATGCGTTTCAAATCTGACCAACATGGGGTTTGTTCAGTCCCACGACTGGGGTAAACACAATCTAATTTAACTGTCAAGTACTTGAGAAATCTCCCTCAATCTCATTAGTATCGATTTAATAATATGGATGTCATAAACTTGATGCGTATTCCAGCTTAAAACGCATTAAAGGGCAATATAATGTTTTAAGTGCCATCTCACTATAAACTGTTTTACAATTTCGTATTAAAAAAGAAGACATTTCATGCAGATGGCACTATCGTATTAATAATAATAATTTAGCAAGAAACAACACACCACAATCTCTTACTT